TCACCACAGTTGCAACTTTTTTTTCCCTTGTGAGAACTTTTAAAATTTACTCTCTGAAATTTTTAAATATGTAATACAATATTTTTAATTGTAGTCACCACACAATACATTACTAAAGTCCTATTTAACTCATTCAGATTTCCAACCCGCTTTACTGAAACTTCAAAGCGTCAAAGAATTCTAAACCACTTCCAAGCCATCCTAATCCTCAATCACTTTGACCATCTTTACCTGAACTTAGCTTTGTGGAAATATCAAAGCTACCCAAAATATTTCAAGACATTTTGTTAATTTCAACTTATTCTACAAATTTTCTTATAACTGCAAAGCTGAATCAGAACGAACAGGAGAGCGATGCAAAGAAAGGAAAAGGACCCACTGAACTCAGTGAAAAACTAGCCTATGATTCCCATAACTCAACACTTCAAGTGCCAAAACTCTCATCCCTTGGCAACCCAGGCAAGTCCCCAAGTTACAGTCACACCTGGTTTTCACGTTTACAACCTACATCTCAGAAGAACCAATGGTAAAAGGATTGTTTAGATTCCCAGACATGCTGAGGAAGAATCTGAGTTCTAGATGCCATCAGTGTCAGGAAAGAACAGAATTCTAGACTCCTGCACACAGAAAAAATAAAGCCTGTGGAGTCTGCGGAAGTCGGAAATCCCAACTGCCAATTACTAACTGCATGATCAAACAAAAGTTATTTAACTTTTCTGAGTTCTGATAAAAGATAATAGAAATCAACCAGAAAAATCTATGAGAGTAGGTACTCAATAAATAAAAAGTTCTATTGCCCTCTTCCCTTTTCCACTACCCTTTGCACATTCTTTTTATCCCGTTTTACAGTAGGTACCCAATCCAGTATTCAGATCTTAGGATACAGAATCAGAAAATCTAGGTCTGATTCCAGACACTATTTAAAATGAGATGTGAAACTTTATTAGGCTAGGTATTTAATGCCTCTGAACATCAGATTACTCATCTGATAGAGAAAAAAAGGCATCCAATTATCATAATAATTAAGTGACACAGTTTATCGACTGGGATAAATTGTACAGTGCCAGAAATGTTACCTACTTCTACCTACTCCAAAGTGCTCTTGCTCAAGGGGCCTCCCTGGTGGAGCAGGGGGTTAAGACGCAACCTATGAAGCTATCCACAGCCACTACAGCATGAGTTCGATCTCCAGCCAAGGAGCTACCCACATGGCGCAGCAGACCTCTCCTGACTCACCTGCTGCTCCCCTCAGCAGTGTATTTCGTTCACTCTGCCTGTTCTATTCCCCACTCTGTCTCTGGTGAAGCCTCTCACCTCCACACCTGTACCCCAGCTCTTGTATCCATAAATAAATAAATCTTAAAAAAAAAAAAAGTGCTCTTGCTCAAAAATTACCTGCATTCCATGCCAAAAGTGCACAATGATCAAATGAGCAAATAATAAGTCCTGGGATGAGGAAAGCAAGCTAAATTAAGTAGCCCATTAACAGCATTATCTTTATATTCTCAGTTAGAATATACATGGTAATTCATATAAAGTTTCTGTTGATGGAATTCCAGGTAAAAAAACTGAATTAAATTAAAAAGTTTAGCTAGGATATATGGAAGACTTTTCTATCCTTAGTCAACCTAACAATCTGCATGCAGGGAAATTTGAAGCAGCTTCTACCACTTTTCATTTAGCTACCCTTCTTATTTCCCAAAATAGTTTCCAAAGGCAAAAGCAGTATGGACATTAAAGGAGAGCAAAGAAAATTAGTCAGATGAATGAGTGGGTACAAGTTGAGGAGTGACTATTCTTGAAATAATCCAACAGAAAAAAATGAAACTAAAGCAGGATAGAGAGGTAGATTTCTATGTCTAAAGAAATGTGTGGGGCCTCCCTGGTGGCGCAAGGGATTAAGTCTCAGCACTATGAAGCTGTCCACACCCACAGCAGCACAGAGTTCCATCCTCAGCCAGGGAGCTAACCCTGGAGAGGTCTGATGCAGCAGACCTCTCCTGTCTCGCTGCTCTCCTCAACAATGTATTTCGGTGGATCTGCCTATTCTGCTCCCCACTCTGTCTCTGGTGAATCCTCTCACCTCCCGCACCTCTTGCCTATACTACAGTTCTTGTATGCATAAATAAATAAACCTTTAAAAAGTAAATGTGTGGGTTTAAAAAAAAAGCACTCTCTACTTTAAATAGTTCCCCATAACAATTTCAAAATCACTTTCAAGGTGGAATACCCTTTTGAGAAGTTTTACTATTAATAATACAATTTAACAAAGTCATTAGGGCCCAAAGAGCTAATAAGTACTCAAGCACTTAATTGCACTATAGTCAAAAGAACCTGTCAGCTAGTACAGCTGAACTAAACTGTAATTCCAAACTGTAGGAAAGTAACAAAATGAAAATTGAATTCTCAAAAATCACTAACTCATTCACCTTGGGTATAAAAAATTATCACAACACAAGTAGCCACATACTTTCTCTGCGAAAGTATGTAGAGAGTTGGTTAAAACTCAGTAAGACTCACAGAAAGAATAGTGAAAAATCTCAAAAGACATTCAAATGGGTATTTCTAGTATTATTTGCACTTGCAGCATCAAAGGTAGAGCACAGCACAGTCAGCTACTTCATCACCTTCCACAGAGTCTTCATCATCTTCTGCGCCTATCTGAGCACTGATCCTATCTGTACATCTTCAAAAGGCAGCTAGTAGCTTGCATAATGCAGCCCAAAGTTTAAAGACTACAAGATAAACATTGCTATGGGTGAATTTCATCTCCCACTCCCACCTTCCCACCCCCAAGTAAAATCAGAATACCTCACTGGAGTCAAGTTTAGGGCCACCAAATAAACTTGGACCCACTGACATGGATAGATCTTGGCACCATGGCACTAGCATGTTTAAAGTAAGAGATCACGTAAGAAATAACATGTCAGAATCAGGGATATTACTGGTGATTAGAAGTGCTGCAAAGTTACATGACTGGAGGTGGGAGGGAAGGAGGAGAAAATGAAAGGGGTCAAAGGGGAAGAAAAAAAAAAAAAAACCTTACAGCACCCAACTACCTGAAAAAAGAAATAGTCAACAGACAGGTCAAAACACGTTTGCATTTGCCAACACGTAGCAGTTACCACACCATATATTTGTTAGATTTCCCAACAGACAAAACAAAAAGAAGTCACTTCTTTATGAAGTACTGATCTGCCTACTTCTACAAAGCAATGAATTTTTTGGAATGGGGGCAATTTAAATTTAAGTTCCTGTGCTTTCCCTCACACTTTCAAAATCTTTAAAACTTTCAGCAAACTGAGATTCACCTCAATTTAAGGCTTTTCATGTTAACTTGAATGAACTTTAGTTTTAACACCAATAAGCTATAAAATCTATTTCCTGTTTGAAAACTACAGCTACATTTCTACTATCTATTAAAGTAGTTTTAAAAGGTCAAATACAAAGTTTGCAGAAACAAGGAATACAGTAGCTATGGCAAGCGTTCAATTCAACAAGTTTACTTATCAGTAGAATTCCTAAAGTAAAAGCTTGAAAAAAAAAGTATGAGATAAATTCCTAGTAGTGCTACTGAAGATACAATGTTACTAATATGGAAATTGAGAAATATTCAAAACATTCTGAAAACAGTATCCCCTTCTAAAAATAAAGAGGAGGAAAAGCATTTGCCAACACAGAAACTATTGGTTCTTAAAAATGATAATTACATGGGAGGCATATCTATAAAAACTTCTAAAACTGCAATACTCTAAACCTTTCAAAGCACCTTTTGGACATGCCTTCCACTAGCCAGGGAGTTTCTGGTGCCATTACATTGCTACAGAGGACTCTGCTACTTTATTTGCTTCTATAGCAAACTGTTGGCTTATGCAGTTAAAGATCTGCAAAGAAACTCCCACAACATAATCACTTTCAATCACTGAAATAAAAGCAAACAAAAATCTGTCACAGATACGGCCCCTAGAATTATCTAATAAATTTACAGTAAACATTTTGCGTTCTCGTTCTGACCCGAAATATGTTCCGTAATCTCGCTGGATCCACGTTCTCTACAATTACTTCGGTTGCAGAGAAACCTCAGAAAATAAGCAACCGGTGATTACACCATTCTATTTTAAGTTACTTAGGAAGCTAACACTTCAAGAACTTTTGGGCAAGACAGCGGATTTAAGACATTTTTTCCCCAAGTAGCCGACAACAATTGTGTTTTATAATAATGATAGCCCAAATAATTTCTGTCAACATCACAGTGGGGCGGAACTGAAAATGATGGGGGGGGGGTGAGAGGGGACCCCGATTTGAAAATGGACAGGCAGGCAGCCTGACAAACCTTCAATTAGAAGAATTGGAAGATTAACTTCTCTTCTCCTCTGCGCCCTCCCTCACTCCCCACCCGCTTCCTCCTCTCCTCGGGGAGGTCTGTGTAATGTGACTCATGACAAATTTTTAAAAAATAAATAAATAAAAGACACACCCTCTGGGTTGAACTGACATAATCGCCCCCACCCCGCTTTTCCTCTCCCTTCAGCTGCTCCTCCCAGCGCCTCCTCCCTGCCCTTTCCTCCGCCGGCCCCAGACCCCACTCCGGGTGGGGAGCCGCGGGGCGCGCCCCCGGGTCAGCGGCGGCGGGCGGGAGGCTGTTGGGGGGCCGCGCGGCCCGGGGTGGGGGGGGCGAGCCCGCGGGGAGGCGGGCGGCCAGGGGGCGCCGGCGGCTGCGGGCTCCCCGGTTCCCTCGCCCATTTTTCTGTCTCTCCCTCCGCGGCTTCAACCCCCACAGCCACTTCCTGTACCGCAGCCCGACTCCCTCAGCCCCGCCGCCCGGTCCCTGCCCGCCCGCGGCCGGGGTCGGGGTTCGGGGTTCGGGACGGAGGCGGCCGCCCAGGGCAGGGCAGGTCCCCACCCCGCCCAGGGGGCTGGTCACTCGCGCGGCCGGCGCCGGGTCCGCGGCCCCGACCGCCCGCCCGCCCGCCCGCGCCCGCCCCGCGCCGCGCGCTCACCTGTATGTAGTTGTTCTCACAGTAGTCCGCGACCCGGGTCAGGTTCTGGTAACTCTCTATCAGCGCCCGCTTGCCAGACGGGATCTCCTCCTCTAGTAACATCTGCAGCTCTGCCATTTTCCACCCCTCTGCATCGCTTCCTCTCGCGTTAAAGAGACAGAGGCAGCGGGAGCCGCGGCGGCTCGGAGCACCTCTCAGCCCGGATACAAATCGCCTACCCGCCCTCCCGCCTGGTATTGTGGGACGGCGCCCCCGCCCCTTCCTCTGCACTCCCTCCGCCCACCTCCACCCGCGGCGCGCAGCCACCTTAGTCTCGTTCCCTCTCGCGAGGATTCATGGCTGGTTTGGCAGCGCCACCATTCCCGTCCCGCCCCGCGGGATTTTTTTTTTTTTTCCTTTGGCAGGGAATTCTGGGAAATGTGGTCTCTCGCGGGCTGGGTGACTCATCAACAGCGCATGCGTCCAGGTAGCGTTGGAAACGACCGAGAGGGTAAGGAAGTGTTGGAACGAGGTTTGGTTGAAGTCTGGCGTTTGCTGACAGCTCCGAGAGATGGCGCCACAGAGTAATAAAACCGGTTTCTCCAGAAGGCAGTGAAACTTGGCGAAAGTTAGGGAAATGACAGTGAATCAGAGATGTCGATTGTGATAAAGATCAAAACGGGAGGGCGTTCCTGGTGGCGCAAGGGGTTAAGCACCGCGCTATGAAGCAATCCACAGCCTCTGCAGCGCGAGTTCGATCCCTGACCAGGGAGCTGGCTCACAGGGCACAGCAGACCTCTCCTGCCTTGCCCACTGCTCCCCTCAGCAGTGTACTTTAGTCAGTCTGCCTGTTCTGCTCCCCACTCTGTCTCTGGTGAGTCCCCCCACCACCCCCAACCCCGCATCTCTGGCCTGTACCCCAGTTGTTGTATGCATAAATAAATAAATATTTTTTTTAAAAAATAAAATTTTAGCTCCATCTAAAATGGATGGCGCTGGAAGGGATCATGCTCAGTGAAATAAGCCAGAAAGAAAAAGAAAAATACCGGATGGTCTCACTCATAGCAGGAATCTAGAAAACTTAAATAAGGGACCAGGAAAATGAATAACTATAAGAAAGTGAAAATCAAAATCAACAAAAAACTATGAATCAGAGACACTCTATGGGAGGTGGGGGGTGGGGAGGGGAGGGATTGGGGTCAAAATAAGGGGGTTGCAATTGTATGGGGAATAGAAAAATAAAATTTAATTAAAAAATAAAATTTTAAAATTTAAAAAGATAAAAATTCGTTTCTATCTTGACCAAACAAGTTTAAGCTTAGACAATTAAGGAGTTTAGCTAAGGGCACTGAATATAATAACAGTAAAGTCCTCTGACTTTAATATCAGTTTTCTTTTCTAAGAAGCATAACAACTAACACTATCTGTTTAAATATAAGGATTCATATAAAGCCCACTCAAAGAAGTTATCCTTTATATCTTTAAGGTAATAGAGTTGAATATGCTCCCTTCACATTTAAAAAAAAAAAACAACCTAGGACCTCCATGGTGACGCAAGGGGTTAAGTCTCAGCACTATGAAGCTATCGCCAGCCACTTCAGAACAAGTTCAATCCCTGCCCAGGGAGCTAACCCACACGGAGCAGCAGACCTCTCCTGTCTTGCCCGCAGCTCGTCTCAACAGTGTATTTCAGTCAATCTGCCTGTTCTGTTCCCCATTCTGTATCTGCTGAATCCTCATCTCCCCCACACCTCTGGCCTGTACCCCAGTTCTTATATGCATAAGTAAATAAATCTTTAAAAAATAAAAATAAATGGGGTTTGTGGAAATACAACACGACACCACAGAGCCATGAGCTCTCAGTATTTTTTTTTAAAGATTTATTTATTCTTATACAAGAGCTGGGGTACAGGCCAGAGGCGCGGGAGGGTGAGAGGATTCACCAGAGACAGAGCTGGTAGCAGAACAGGCAGACTGACTGAAATACACTGCTGAGGGGAGCAGCGGGTGAGACAGGAGAGGTCTGCTGCGCCATGTGGGACTCTCCCTGGCCCGCCAGGAATCAAACAGCACTGCAGAGGCTGCGGACAGCCTCACAGCGCTGCGCTGAACCCACTGCACCAAGCACCACCGGGGAGGCATCTCAGTATTTTTTGATACAATTCGAAATAAGAAATAACATTATACAACATGACCCAGTACAGATATGTAGGTAAACATATAAATACTAGGATACGTTTCACAAAACTACTTAATATCATAGTTCCTATTCTATTTCATTTTATCATTTTATTTAATGCTACTAAGGAACTTCAAATTGATTTTACAACCCACTATTGACTCATCACCCACAATTTGATAACCATTTTCCCTTCCTTCCATAAAATTAAGCAAATATGACTATATCATAAACATGTTTTTTTTTAAAGATTTATTTTTATTTATTTATACAAGCACTGGGTACAGTCAGAAGCGCGGGAGGGTGAGAGAATTCACCAAAGCCAGAGCGGGGAGCAGAGCAGGCAGAAGGACCGAAGTACACTGCTGAGGGGAGCAGCGGGCGGCAGGAGAGGTCTGCGCGCCACGTGGGACCCGCCTCCGGTGGCCCAGAAGCAGCCGGGGATCGAACCGGCGCTGCAGAGGCTGGGGGCATCGTCACAACCCAGTGCTCAACCGCTGCGCCACCGGGGAGGCCCCATAAACATGTTTTTACCATGAATTTGTATTGAGTATTAAACTAAAAAAAAAAGTTTTTTTAATATTTATTTATACATACAAGAGCTGTGGTGCAGGCCAGAGATGCGGGGGTTGGGAGTGGTGAGAGGATTCACCAGAGACAGAGCAGGGAGCAGAGGTCTGCTGCTCAATATGGGTTAGCTCGCTGGCCAACAACCGAACTTGTGCTTCAGTAGCTGCCTATTGCTTCATAGTGCTGAGACTTAGCTCTTTGCGCCACCAGGGAAGCCTCAGGTTTGCTTTTTAAAGAGAGGAAATATTCAGGCAAAAATGTAGATCTTTTATGCACCACAGCAGTTCCTCCACCTACTGCATCAATCACTAGCATGAACTTAGTGTTTATCTGTCAATCTCTTGAAAAAATGATTTTACATATTAAGTTCATAGAAACAATTTATTTTTTCAAAAGATTTATTTATTTATGCATACAAGAGCTGGGGTGTAAGCCAGAGGTGAAGGGGTGAGAGGATTCACCAGAGACAGAGTGGGTAACAGAACAGGGGGATCTACCGAAATACACTGCAGAGGGGAGCAGCAGGAGAGACAGGAGAGGTCTGCCTCACCATGTGGGTCACATCCCTGGCTTGGGATCAAACTTGCAGGTGCTGATAGCTTCACAGTTCTGGGACTTACGCCTTGTCTCACCAGGGAGGCCCCTGTATAAACAATTTGGTTGTTTTGTGTTTTATAGTACACAAACTGATTTTTTTCATTTAACAGTATTTTCTTCAGATGTATACAATATCATATAATTTGTTTTCATTGCTATATTGTATTTAATTATTCAAATTTTCCCATTTTATTATCTGTTCTATATTTGAAGGTATTTTTGGTTGCTTCAAGTTGTTTGCTAATGCAAACAGCTCACTGATGGATGTCTTTATAACTGTCTCCATTATCCTATGGATGTGTTCTTTAAAATAAAAACTAGAAAATGGCCTCCCAGGAAGCGCAGTGGGTTAAGCGCAGCACTGTGAACCTGTCCACAGCCTCTGCAGCGCTGGTTCGATTTCTGACCAGCAAGGGAGAGTCCCACATGGCCTGGCAGACCTCTCCTGTCTCGCCTGCTGCTCCCCTCAGCAGTGTACTTTGGTCCGTCTGCTGTTCTGCTCCCCACTCTGTCTCTGGTGAATCCTTTCACCCTCCTGCGCCTCTGGCCTGTACCCCAGTTCGTATATAAAATTAAATAAATCTTAAAAAAAAACAGAAAAGGAAAATGCTTCATTATTGGACATGTGTATTTCTAGTTTCTCTAAGAATTTATGTGAGATCTGGCAGGCATAAGCGAAGCAGCTCTGGAGGCGTGAAGTAGCTACATGAACTCTAGCTCCTGAGTCTTAAGTCAGGCATGAGTTCAGCTCCATAGAGACTTGTACCATTTTCTACTGAAGGTCAACCGTGTCATTGAGTTTAGCAGTAATGAGAGAGAACGCAGGATTCAATTTGTCCGCACTGGCTCCAGTTTGTCCAGGGATTTCAGTCTGTCTTTCATTTCACACCAGTTCCTGACTATAAGACATGGTGACCTCAGGTAATTTCAGGTTCACCTCTGGACAGAGAGGCAGTAGCCTTCCATAGTCTCTTCACCAGCTTCCACAATTACATAAAGTCTTTCCCTGTAATGAAACTCTTACAGTGGTGCTGCTTTCCTGATCAAACTCTGGCTGATACAAAAATAGTCTATGGATTTATAAACAAAGAACTCCTTTGCATAGCTTATATGACTTTCAAGTTGGCCTCAAACAGCCGGCCTGGGGGTCAACATGGCCACACCCCCTACTCCTTTATGTCATATGACAGTCCCCTTTGCATCTGACCTCTCTGTTATTTTTTTTTTTTTTAGATTTTTTTTTTTAATTTTATTTATACACGAACTGGAGTACAGGCCAGAGGCACCGGAGGGTGAGAGGATTTACCATAGTTAGAGCCGGAAGTAGAACAGGCAGATGGACTGAAACATACTGCTGAGGGGGGCAGCAGGAGAGACAGGAGAGGTCTGCCGCGCCATTTGGATTTCTCCCTGGCCAGCTGGGAATCGAACTGGTGCTGCAGAGACTGCGGACTGCCTCACAGCGCTGCGCTCAACCCACTGTGCCACCAGGAAGGGCCATCTGTTCTTCTTGAATGAAAAAGAGATTGCCCCATTTTCAATTGCCCCACTTTGCATCCTCCCTGTGTGGCCAGTGTTGTCAGGACACTGTGTGATTTTTCACAGGACGGGTTCCTCAAGGTTGGAAGGTCATAGCCACCATCTGAGGAATTCTCAATAATTTATTATTTAAACTGGAAAAAAAAAGTTGGCTTCAATAAGCTTTTAATACAATTCCTAGTTGTATTAAACCTTCCCACCCCTCATATCTAGGGTACAATCACATAAACAAATTGCTGCTTATAAACTAGATGCTATTTTGTTTTAGCTTTTATACCTTTCCCAAGAATGGATCTTTCCAACTTGTAAATACCATCCATTCCAGAAGAACCAGTTCATGTCATTGCTTTGGTGACATCTCCTCATCTGGGTCACATAGATTTACTCACTCTTTTGTTCCCAAGGCACTTAAATTTTTTAAAAGTAAATTTTAATTGAAGTATAACATACACAAAGAAAAATAAATCTTAGTAACACAGTTCAATAGAGTTTCACAAAGTAAACACACTCATGTAGGAAGCATCTAATACAAGAAATAGAACATTACCAATACCCCAAAGTTCCCTTGTCTTAATTCCAGACAACCCTACCTCTAGCTTGAATTTAAACATAACATGTCAGTTTTGCCTATTTTTTAACTTTGTATGAATGGAATCAGACTTTCGAATCTAGATTGTTTTTCTCAACATAATGTCTGTGAGATTCATAAATGCTGATTAGTTGCAGTTTGTTTGTTCTCATTATGCTTCAGTGGTCTTAATGTACCTATTATACTGCTGGTGGTCATTGAGTTGTTTCCAGGTTAGGACTGTTACCAAATAGTGCTATTATGTACAGTTCTGTTCAAGGGTGCACACAGAACTTTTTATATTCTTCAGTTTTAATATTTTTGTATTACACTGTAATTATTGTATTACATGACTTTTTACCACAATAAATTGAGCTCTCTGAGGTGTTTTGTAACCTCAGTGTCAATTACATCACATGGAACATATTAGAAGATAAGGGAAAGAGCATCTAAAGGAATCCTTTCTTGATTTTTTAAATGCTATTCCTTTGTTTCTTAAAACCCCTAACAAAAAATTATTTTTTCTCCCTATGGCCATGAGTAAAAATGGGTCTATTCTTAATTAAGATGTCTCTAGAAATAATGATCAACAATGCCTTACTTATATGGTGATGGTTTTGCAATACATACAAATATAGAATCATTATTTTGTACACCTGAAATCAATATACATCAATTATGTATCAATTTTTAAAAGTGCTTCATTAGTCACTGTACAGAAAGTACTGAAAGGCATTAACTAATGTTCCATGAAATATATTCTAGGTAGAATTACAGGTTTCCATAATTGGAGGGCACCTTGCAAACTGATTCAATCTATCGTAATCATCTTACTTTCCAGAGTCATTATCACCTCTAAACCTGCCCAAGTATATGAAAGAGATATTTTCCTTTCTCCTATGCTATTTTCCCATAACATCAATTGCAAACAAGACTTATTCACTATTATCTAAAGATCAACAAACCATACATTTCCTAACTACTTAGCTAAGTAAACAGTTGTCAAAATGAAGTTCCTAGATTAGAAATAGACATCCAAACCTTTTATAAGTATTTATGACTGAGTAGATTGGAAATGAAAAGAATATTATAAAAGGGCAAGAAAAGAGGAAGAAAAAAGCTTTAAAAAAGAACAAAAATGAGTAGAGAAACAGTATATATGAAATACATAAGATCATCCTGGTGTGAGTAAATTAGAAAAACTGCTAGTCTCTTAATTAATTGAAGTAGAACATACACAAAGAAAAAGAAATCTTATGCAGTTCAACAGTTTCCCAAAATGAACACATTCATGTAATTGAAGTGAAACCCGTTTTCCAGGACAACTTAGTTTCCTGGAAAAAGTCCAAGACTATTTCCTAATCTCTGGGGCCTTGAGTAATGAGTTTCAATTTCCTAATTCGTTAACACCCAACTGTTTTATTTTCCGGTGTTGTTGTTTGTTTTTAAAGAACGTGTCATAGGCATGACAAATACCAGGCAGTCAGTAAAAGGCAGTCTTTGTCACCTGTACACCTCAGCTTTCAGGTACATGACCTTAACATGAATAAGCATCAGGAACAAGAAATTAGACTCCAATTCTCGGATTCAAATCCAATCACACCAAGAAGCCCCGGAGAGACATCACTAAGGGCTCCTTCTGCTAGAAGCGGATGAGGCATTTTGAACCAGCAGGGCCCGACGCAGCCCCGGAAGGAAAGTCTCTGCCCCGCTGAGAAACCCGACCGGAATGGGCGGGAGGAAGCGCCGCCGCGGGCGGGAGTGTCCGGAAGCGCCGCCGCGGGAGGGAGTTGTCCGGAAGCGCCGCCGCGGAGGGACTACATTTCCCACAAGTCCGCGGGGCAGGGCGAGGGGCGGGCGTCGGTGACATTACGGGACAGGCCTTGCCCGGCAATACCAAGGTAAATGCCGGCAGTGCGGCTCCGAGGGAAGAATAACCTGTAGTCCTCGCCTAGATCTGTACTAGTGACCCCCCTGACCCGTCCCCAACGGACAAAAACGACCTGGAGACTTGGGGATTTCCGGGTCCCAGGACCCCACCCTCACACTCCGCACCAGTCCCCCCGCGAAGGGTCTGGGGTCGCCCTCCAGGTGCCCGCGGACGCAGGGCGTGGTCAGAAGGTGAAGTCCAGGGAGCTCCCCTCTAGGTTGATGATCTGGTTTCTCATCCGCTCCTCCCCCAAGCCCGGTCGCTGTTAAATCTGGCTGGCCCAGGGCTAAGCCCGGCTCCCCAGCCAGGGCTGGATGCTAGGGGTGGTGCAAGGGAAGGTGCTCGCCCTCCTCCGGCCCGGCCAGGTAGTGGGCGACCTCGCTCCCTCCTAAATGTTGCGCGGAAGTCCTTGGCTCTGGACGGTAAAGCCATCGAAGACCTGCGGGCCTGCATAGCACCTTGATCCAACATCCCTAATCCTGCCATCTCCCTTTGGGGTGGCGTGAAGATTGCTGCTGGCGAGGCCGAGTGACTTGCCCTAGGTTACAGAATTTAAATGGCAAAACTTCAGGTTAGCACCACACCTGTCCGGAGCTAAAGTCCGCCGTTGACGACTCCTCACCGTCTCCCCACCCCCACCGCACCCTAACCCCAGGGCAGGTGCTGGGACCTCAGAATCGTCTCGTCTTTTTTTTCCTTGCCCAGCGGAACCGACGCACGCTGCTTTGGGCCCAGGCGCAGAATCCAGCCCCAGAATCCAGCCCCGCGCGACCTGCGAGGTCTGCCTGCCCCGTTACCTTGGCGCGGACACTTTGGTCCAGCCAGTTCAAAAAGCGAGCACGGGGTCTTCCGTGGACCCATCTCCCTTCTCTTGCCCCCCACCCCCCGGCTTCTCCGGCCCTCCCCGGGGACCGCCGGCCAGCGCGCGTCCTCGCAGTGGCCGGAGGGCTGGTGGGTGGAGTTTGCTGCCAGGCGGTGGCAGTGGCTGCGGCAGCTAGTGGGTCCTCCGGTGGCTCTGGGGCGGGGCTGCGGGGCGGGCGCCGACTGACCCTCAGACCCCGCGGTGATGGGGGGTGTGGCCGCTCGGCTAGGGTCCTGCGGGTGGGAGAGCGGCTCGGCGACCACCGGTGGCCGGAGCCCCTCCGCCTTCTGGTAGAGATGCTCTTCCTCACGGTGAGGTTTTTTTCTGTAGTCGCGGGCCGGCGTCTCGACCTTGGTCACGCCCCGGGGAGGAGGAAGCAGCCGGGCCACCTCGTCTGGGTGGCCTGGATAGGGCAGGGCAGCGGGGACCTGACCATCTGTGCTCCTGGGCCTCCTCCCTTTGGGCATGTTGATCCGCGGCTGCGCTCCATTTTCCAGTTCCATGCAGGCTCCTGGGAAAGCTGGTGCTGCTGCTGCCTGATTCCGGCCGACAGACCTTGGGACCTGGGCGGGCACTGGCGACTGGAGATGGCAGACACAAGATCCGTGCACGAAACCAGGTTTGAGGCGGCGGTGAAGGTGATCCAGAGTTTGCCGAAAAATGGTACGTGCACTTGGGACTCCTCTGAAGAAGTCTCTTGCTGAGGCTTGTCGCCCCAGTTTCTGAATCGTGTCTCCTTTAACCTTCTTTCTGCTTCTAGTCTTGCTTATTTAACCTACTTATCTTCTGCATTGAAAAGGAATGTAATCGAAGGGGAAGTATCAAATGGGACTCAGTTACCTGTGCCCTTTCAAGCCGGAGACACGTATTATCCAAGTCTTAAGTCGTTTGTATTGTTGAAAACAAAAGTGTTGTCACTTAATGACTGCGGATATGGTTATGTTAAAAATAAGTCTGAAATGGAGATGCTTGGTGCCGCATAGCATACTCACAGTCTACTTGAGCCTTTGGAAGACTGATATGAATTGAAGAGCTACTTGAATAGCTATTCATTTGTAAAACAATTTATTTTAATAAGGAAAATATATATTTACTACTTCGGGGGCTCTTCTATTGTGACTAGTGTTCTCTTTATACTCATACTGGACCTTCTTTGCAGCTTGGGAGAAAAGGAATTCAGTTTTTGTTCATCTGCATTTAATATGTCATCTCTCACAACTTTAAGATATCTCTCTCACTTCTGTTTTTAGGGATTTAACTCTTATGTGGCTTGGTACGGTCTTCTTCCTGTTTTACCTGTTAGGGTTTTGCAGAGCTTTTTGAATTTGTGGTTCTATATCTCTGACCAGTATTTAATGACATTATTCAGGTTTTTTTCTGTAGAGTAGTTTGAAGAGGAGGATTTTTCTTACTTCATATCCTTCTGCAGCCTGAATTGTTTTTCACAATAAGCATGTACCTTTTTTTTTTTAAATACATCTATTTATGCATACAAGAACTGCGATGCAGGCCAGAGATGCAGAGGGTGAGAGGAGTCACCAGAGGCAGAGGGGGAACAGGTGGATTGACTGAAATACATTGCTGAGGGGAGCAGTGGGAGAGACAGGAGAGGTCTGCTGTGCCAAGTGGGTGACCTCCCTGGTCAGGGATGGAATTCTTGCTGCAGTATTTGAGGATTGCCTCATAAGTGCTGATGCCTAACCCCTTGTGCCACCAGGGAGGCCCCATGAACATGTACTTTTTCAATGAAGTTTTTAAATATTGTCCCATCATGTAAAACTAAGTGAATACAACATCAGCTTATTGCACTAGATTACTATCATGTTCTCTATTTCATTAATCACAATTTGTCTAAGTAATGAATTTTCAATCTTATTCAATAAAAATTCATTTAGTGGATTCAAAGGGTTTTTGAAAACAAATAGACACAAAATAGTGTTCCTTTTTCAATCTTAAGCATTGAATTGGAGGAGGACATATGGGGGATTAAAAGATAAAAGTCAATGAACAAAATGTAAATAAATAATAGGAGAACTTATGTATTGATTTTTTAAAATATCCAATTAAGGGAGTTTATAGTAAGATATGATTCTAAGAGTTTTATGTAAGTTGTACCTTCATTCTTTTTCCTAAACCACGCATCTCTAACTTTAAAGCTAGATTTGATATCTCTAGATTAGTAATCTTTGTTGATATATAACTTATTGTGAATCTGATATAGATGTAAATATAGTTTGGAATTACGTAACATTTAAGAAAGTAATGTAAAATCAAAACACCTATACATTTGACACCTGTTCCAGACAATATTCATATACTGTTATCGCCTTTTATTTTAAAGATTTATTTATTTATGCATACAAGAGCTGGGGTACAGGCCAGAGATGCTGGGGGTGAGAGGATTCACCAGAGCCAGAGTGGGGAATAGAACAGGCAGACTGACTGAATTATACTGCTGAGGGGAGCAGTGGACAAGGCAGGAAACATCTGTGCCATGTGGGTCAATGCTGCAGTGGTTGTGGATAGCTTCATAGTGCCACGATTTAACCCCTTATGCCACCTGGGAGGCCCTATATTGTTATCTCCTAAAACTAAATTCATATTAACTGAAAAAGTATTTTTATAATTAATTATCAAATATTTATAATAATACTTTTAAATTATTTGGCCTGCCCTGGGCTATTTTGCAAAGAGTAAGAACTTACAGTTTTTTGTTCATTGTTGCTTTATCTTCATTTGAGACCTAATGTAATAACGAATCCTGTGGTTTGTATGTTTGGTATGTCCTTGGCCTTTGAAATTAAAGAGCTTTTTTTAAAGTTTTAAAATGAATAGTAGAATTTAATACCCAAAAGTACTAAATACATATTTTTAGAATTATCTTCAGAAAAACTACCACATAGATGTGTTTTGCCTCTGTAGGCAATACTTTCACTGCTATATGGGTAGACATTGATTTCTAATGAGAAAGAGAAGAGGTTAAAGAAAAAATGCACAAAATGACAAAAAATAGGGCCTTCCTGGTGGCACAGGGGTTAAGTCTCAGCACTATCAAGCTATTGGCAACCACTGCAGCATGAGTTCACTCCCTAGCCAGGGAGCTAACCCACATGGCATAGCAGACCTCCCCTGTCTCACTAGTTGCTCCCCTCAGCAATGTATTTCAGTAGCTTTGCCTGTTCTGCACCCCCTCTGGCCTACACCCCAGTGCTTGTATGCATAAATAAATTTTTAAAATCTTTAAAAAATAAAATATTAAAAAAAAATAACACAGAACAAGTGTTCTGCTTAGATGAAACCACTGTTGCCACTGCTGTTCATGTCTGTGGCAGACATTACCTCATAAAAATTTATATTCTTGGGCCTCCCTGGTGGCGCAGCGGTTGAGTGCTGGGTTGCGAAGCTGCCCTCAGCCTCTGCTCCCCGGCCACCGGAGGAGGGTCCCACATGGTGTGCAGACCTCTCCTGCTGCCCGCTGCTCCCCTCAGCAGTGTACTTCGGTCCTTCTGCCTGCTCTGCTCCCCACTCTGGCTCTGGTGAATTCTCTCACCCTCCCGCGCTTCTGACTGTACCCAGTGCTTATATAAATAAATAAAAATAAATCTTTAAAAAAAAAACAAACACACACTTAAGAAAAAAAAATTTATATTCTTAATATAGGGGAGCCAAATAAGACATCAGTGTAAAAAAATTAATAACAGTACAAAACAGAAAACAAAAATGGACAATTATAAATCAGAGACATCTGCAGGGGAGGAGGAGGGAGAGGGATCAGTGGGAGGGAGGGAGGAGCACAGGGGACTGAGGTGATGTGCACGGGTGCATTGGTGAAGGACACTCTATGGGGACTACACCTGAGGGGGTGGGGGGAAGCAAATATTGTTTAAAAATGAACAATGATGTAAAAAAATAAAAAATTGATATAAAAAAATAAATAAAAGAAAAAAATTATATTCTTAGATAATGTCTTTAAATCATCAAATATATCATGTATGAGCTACTTGTGGACAGGGCTTATACTTTATCCCATGCTTTGCACACAGAATACATCCAATAATATGTTTTCAGTTTTTGCTCTACCCTGTTATAGTCTATATATCATTAACTTAAACAAATAAACTTTTATGTCTTCTTTGAATGACTTCCTGAAGATATAATGAGATACTTTTTTTGTTTTGAATTTAGATTTGTTATTTAAATAGGTAGCCACTTTTAACGGTAGTTTCTCCATTTTTCCCCTTAACTATGTAAAGGACTATATAATTAAAGCCCTGTAACAAATAGATACTCCTAAATGAGTATATGTTGTCAGATAATTATTATTGTGATTTAGGAGTTAGTTACTCTCTTTGACCAAACTTGAAATACAAGCTTTCGTTTGTCTTTGTTATGATTTGCACATTTATAAACAACTAGCTTTTGGTTGCTACATATTTATTATATAAACTATAAAGTTTTTATATCTTTTTGATTTTTATTTTAAAATTTTTGCTTATAGTAATTTTTGTTATAAAAGTGTTATACACTGAATGTAATTTTTTTTTTTATAGAGGCATGTTTTATTTATTTATTTATTTGTTTGTTTGTTTGTTTATACATGCATTGGGTACAGTCAGAAGCGCGGGAGGGTGAGAAAATTCACCAGAGCCAGAGCGGGGAGCAGAGCAGGCAGAAGGACCGAAGTACACTGCTGAGGGGAGCAGCGGGCGGCAGGAGAGGTCTGCGCGCCATGTGGGACCCTCCTCCGGTGGCCGGGGAGCTGCCGGGGATCGAACCGGCGCGGCAGAGGCCGCAGGCAGCTTCGCAACCCAGCGCTCAACCGCTGCGCCACCGGGGAGGCCCTGAATGTAAAATTTTTTAATACAAATAAGGGAAAAGGAAAGCAAAAATAACTTGCATAGTTATTTTACTATCTAGAGATATATTATCTTTTACCATTTTGATATATATCCTTCTGCTCTACTTATGTATATAAATGCTTATTTTTCAGAAATTGTTTGGACTAAATTGTGCTAATTGTTTGTCTTTAAGTTGCTGTTTTTTTCCTATTTTATAGGTCATGAAACTTTTATCATAACATTTTTTAATACTCTGCAATATAATTTTAAGGGCTGTAGCAATAAATTATCCTGCTGTGTATGTTATCATAATTATTTAGCAAAGGAGCTGTCATAAAAATTACACATTCCACTTTTTCATTATGAAGAAAATTACTTACAGCATTGCTTCTGTTACCAGAAGACCGGAGTTCGGGTTACCTGTCACCACCTAATGCCAATAAAGTAGAGACAGGAATTGAACCTTTCTTAAGTGTCCTTTAATCACACCAACTGGCAGTCTGCCTTAACATTTCATTTCCAGCTGCCTTTTTATAGTGAGTTGAACAAAGAGAGCTCAGCAGTAAGCAGGCCTTCACTACTGCCAAGAGATTATCATGTCCAGACCCCCGCCCTCCACCCCAGCTCCTTATTGTCCTCCTGGACTCCTGGCCTCAATCTCTTCACACTGTGCTGAGGCTGGTCTTCAGACAGCACTGGCTCCCCACTCTCCTCCAGACCTGTCGTCCTTGGGCTGGAAAATTAACTCAGAGCAGACAGGCCATAAACAATATGTGTGTGCAGATTTCCTACTATACCAGGTTAGTGTCTCATCCAATCTCCTCCCCTTCCCTGGCCCCTATTATTTCTATAATTTGAATTTTTTTAATAAAAAGGTATAAGATATAGTAGAAACATGTATGAAGACTGATTTTTTTTTAAGATTTAATTTATTTGTGTATACGAGAGCTGGGGTGTAGGCCAGAGGTGGGGGAAAAGGTGGGAGGATTCACCAGAGACATAGTGAGGAGCAGAACTGGCGGATTGACTGAAATTCACTGCTGAGGGGAGCAGTGGGCAAGACAGGAAAGGTCTGCTGTGCCTTGGGGGCTAGCTCTCTGGCCAAGGGTTGAACTCTTGCTGCAATGGCTGCGGATAGTTTCACAGTGCTGAGACTTAACCCCTTGCATTACAAGGGAGGCCCTATGAAGACTGATCTTGGAAGAAATTGATGTGTTAAAAATTATAGAGGTGGGAAGTGTGTATTTTTTTTTAAAAGGTTTATTTATTTATGCATACAGGCCAGAGATGCCGGGGGGTGAGAGGATTCACCAGAGACAGAGTGGGGAACACAACAGGCAGACTGACTGAAATACACTGCTGAGGGGAACAGTAGGCACGACTGGAGAGGTCTGCTTTGCCATGTGTGTTGCTCTCTGGCCGGCCGGGTATTGAACTCATGCTGCAGAAGCTGCGGATTGCTTCGTGGTGCAGTGCTTAACCCCTTGTGCTATCAGAGAGGCCCAGGGAAATGCGTATTTTATCTTGTATTCTTTTTCTATCACTGTACACAGTGTTTGGCTTCATTTATTTATTTTTTTGCAACAGTGGTTGTCTTTATTTAAAGTTCCTTTTTACTTTTCTTTTAAGAGATTGAAATTTAGTCCAAGAGGAGTTATATTTATTACTGTTGCAATTTTGTTAAGCAGAGTAAACATTAGCTTTGTATTTTATGCCAGTCAGTTTTGACTTCTCACACTCTTTGGCTTAAAATACTTTATAGTTGCATAATACAATTATTTTATATTTAAATATATTGATTTTTCAATGTCATTTGCCATTTATTTTGGTTCATATACAGCATGTTTGCTAATTATTGTCTTTTATTTATTGAAGCGTAATATACTGTTATTGAAATATAAAATCACATGATTTAAAAAATAGCAACTAACAGTCATAGCTTTTGTTTCTTAAGATAGAGATCAGTAAATTATTATTTGAACTGTTAATGAAATATTTAAAAATCACAATTAGTGTAGCTAAGCTGATTTATACCCTTATATTATCAATTGCATTTTCCAAGTCATCTATATTTAATGTATGTTTCCAATAGGTTCATTCCAGCCAACAAATGAGATGATGCTCAAGTTCTATAGTTTCTATAAGCAGGCAACAGAAGGACCCTGTAAATTTTCAAGGCCTGGATTCTGGGATCCTATTGGAAGATATAAATGGTAATTTTATACAGAAAACAATGAAAGAAAGTTTATCTTAATGACATAATTATATCACTATTGTTTATGTAGTTATGTGTTATTCTGTGCATAAAGTGTTCTAGGTACCATATACAATTTTTTTTAAAGATTTATTTATTTATTTATACAAGCACCAGGTACAGTCAGAAGCGAGGGAGGGTGAGAGAATTTACCAGAGCCAGAGTGGGGAACAGAACAGGCAGACTGATGAAATACACTGCTGAGGGGAGCAGCAGGTGCGGCAGGAGAGGTCTGCACGCCATGTGGGACCGTTGCTGGCGGCTGGGGATTGAACCGGCACTGCAGAGGCTGCAGGAAGCTTCTCAGCCCAGTGCTCAACTGCTGCGCCACTGGAGAGGCCTGGTACCATATACAATTTATCCTCTATGTGCTCTTAACACAATTTCACACAAATAGGGAAATCTTGGGGAAAAGAGGAAAATGATAAAACTAAAAGGGGTAAGTGCATCACAGATAAAAAAAAAAATTCAGTTACTTTTTTCCTTTTATGGAGTTTTTTCTTTTTCTTTTTATGTGAAGAGCAGCTCCCAAACTAAGTTAAACTCCTCTTCCTCTTTATAATGACTCTTGCTTATCAAGTGACATTGTTTATTTGAGAGTAAGACAATAAGTAACTAGGAATATGGTACAGCCATATTAACTTTTTAGATAAGCCTTCACTCTTGTCCCACTGTAGTTGAATAGAAATTTGATTTTTAATATGCTTAAAAGAATCAAAGTATCAGACCTCCCCAGTGGCGCAGTGGTTGAGCGCTGGGTTGTGAAGCTGCCCTCAGCCTCTGCGGCACCGGTTTGATCCCCGGGCTGCTCCCCGGCCACCAGAGGAGGGTCCTGCATGGCGCGCAGACCTCTCCTGCTGCCCACTGCTCCCCTCAGCAGTGTACTTCGGTCCTTCTGCCTGCTCTGTTCCCCGCTCTGGCTCTGGTGAATTCTCTCACCCTCCCACGCTTCTGACTGTACCCAGTGTTTGTATGAATAAATAAATAAATCTTAAAAAAAAAATGCAATTTAAAAAAAAAAGAATCAAAGTATCTAGGGATATGCCTTTGAATTTTTTATTTATTCTTATTTTATTTTTTATTTTTTTTTTAAAGATTCATCCATCTATGTATATGAGCTGGGACACAGGCCAGAGGATTGGGGGGGATGTTTGGGGGGGGTTTTGGGGGGCAGGGTGGGCAGAGGATCCACCAGAGACAGAGCAGGGAACAGAACAGGCAGACCAACTGAAGCACATTGCTGAGGGGAGCAGCAGGCGAGTCAGGAGAGCACCTCATGCGGGCCGCTCCCTGGCTGGCTGGGGATCGAACTTGTGCTGCAGAAGCTGTAGATTTCCTCATAGGCCATGTCTCAATCCCTTGTGCCACCAGGGAGGCCTGCCTTTGAAATTTTTATAATGAACATTTGAAGACTATTGAAGACTTTGCAAATGTCTAACCAATTTCAATTTTAGATTGTGCTTTTATAAATTATGCCAACATTTTGATGGCTAAATTTCGTCATCCTGAGTTGAAAGTGCTTTAAACTCTTTTGAAGATTTCTTAATACTGTACTTTCCTCTAAGATTTTTATGAGTAGTCATAAAACAATAGATTAAGAATAAATGGCCCTATGCTATTAAACCTGTTTTAAGAAAATTTATTTACCTTATGATTTCCCCCCAGAACTCCTTATTGATAGAGTTAAACTGCTTCTGGAAAAATGTATAAAAAGAGAAGTTTTATTTATTTTATTTTATTTTTTTGATTTATTTATACAAAAACTGGGGTACCAGCCATAGGCGCGGGAGAGTGAGAGAATTCACCAAGACAGAGCGGGAGCAGAACAGGCAGACTGACTGAAACACACTGCTGAGGGGAGCAATGGGTGAGACAGGAGAGGTCTGTTGCGCCATGTGGGTTAGCTCCCTGACTGGCTGGGATCAAACCCGCACTGCAGAGGCTGCGGACAGCTTCACAGTGCTGTGCTCAACCCTCTGCACCACCGGGGAGGCCCCATATTTTTTATTTTGAAGATTTATTTTATTTATTTATGGTGGGGTGTAGGCCAGACGTGCAGGGGGGTGAGCAGATTCACCAGAGACAGAGTGGGGAGCAGAACAGTGGACTGACTGAAATACATTGCTGAGGGGAGCAGCTGGAGAGACAGGAGAGGTCTGCTGTGCCATGTGGGTTAGCTCCCTGGCAGGGATCTAACTCATGCTGCAGTGGCTTCCTTTGCTTCATGGTGCTGAGATTTAACCCCTTGTGCCACCAAGGAAGCCCAAAAGAGAAGTTTTAAATACAAAAGTATTTAAACCTAAAAATGTTTACCAGTTTTTTTACTATAGTATTTTAATTCGAGCCCGTTGCATAATGTGGATTTAAGTAGAACCTATTATAAATTAATAACACTATAGTATCAACTATAAATTGTATTCTGAACAGTGGAGAATCAGGTCTCTTTTTGTGGTTATTTTTACATTTTCATTTCTAGGGATGCTTGGAGTTCATTGGGTGATATGACCAAAGAGGAAGCCATGATTGCATATGTTGAAGAAATGAAAAAGGTAGGGAATGTAAATTCCAGTAAAATATAACAATATTCAGAGCAGTGCTAATCTAATGTTCTATCATGTGTAAATTAGCTGCTTAGTTTTAAGGAACAAGAAGATTGTAATATGTTAGAACATAATATCTAGATTATTGAGTTTATTAGGACTTTGTCTTATCAAAGTTAATCTTAGGGTATTTTTTCCTTAAGATATATCACATTTTGGTGATATAATAGCTTACTGTTGTTTTTTCTCTCATATCTTTTTCTATAGTTGACTTATGAGGAAAGTGCAGAAACAGAAATCTTTTTTCTTTTTTTTAAAGATTTTTATTTATTTATTTTGCATAGAAGAACTGGGGTGTAGGCCAGAGGCATGGGGGTGTGAGAGGATTCACCAGAGAGTGGGGACAGAACAGACAGATCTACTGAAATACACTGCTGAGGGGAGCAGCTGGTAAGCTAGGAGAGGTCTGCTGTACCATATGTGGGTTAGCTCCCTGACTGGGCATTGAACTCAGAACAGGGAATTGAGTTCAGGCCATTGGTGGTGACAGTGCAGAGACTTAATCCCTAGGCTATCAGGGAAGTCCAGAAACAGAAATCTTTTTAAGTGTTAATGTTCCTTAGGAGTCTGGGAAGTATCTGGGCTGCTTTTAAACTTTTTAGTTTGTAGAAATATTTAATAAGACTGCCTTGTTATAACAGTATTCTTATACACATTTTTGTCCCACAAATTGAGATGTTCTCATCACTGGACTTCTTAGTACAAGCATTTTCTTGTTTATGCAAAGATTCTTCAGGATCAGAATAAGATCAGGATTTGTATTTCCTCTGGTAACTGCTTTGGAGAACATTCCTTGTTAATATGCTCTTTTAAGTCTGTTCAAAATATTATTTGGTAGAGCATGGTTATAAAGAAATTAATAGATTTTAAAGATGACATTAGTTCCTTTTTAGAAAGGACATTTTTATGTTGGAGATGAATCAGAAGTTGTGAAATTTGGGTCTGTTTGATTATCTTAAATAAATTACCTTTGAACACAAAGAAAATCTGTGTAAAGGAATAGTTTTGTTGTCAGAAGATTTGGCTGTGTTAATCTCCAGTAATTTTTGTCTGACAGATTCAGACTAGTTTTTTCTTTTATTGTATGTTTTATTTTATCTTCATTCCTTTTACATGGCTCAAAGTTTTGCCCTTTGCTACACTTTCACAATTTTTATTTAGTGGACTTTGTTTATCTGTAATAAAGGGCAGAGTTTAGTTCACTCGGCTAACTATATCAATAACCCAAAAACAAAGAGCCTTTCAAAAGCAGAGGGGAAAAGGGAATAAAGTCTTTTTAGTTTGACAGCTATTCTTTTTTTCTTTATCTTAAGTATCATAATTTTTAGGACACATTTTTATAATGTGGCATTGACTTGACACCCTAAGTAAAATTTACCAATTTTCCCATCCAGTTTCATTAATAATGTAGTCACAGTTTAAAGTGGGAGGGGGAGGTGAAACAATGTTTATAACATTTTTTCCAAAAAAGAACAAAACTGTACTAGTGCCTTTTAGCAGTGTTTAAATGCCTTCAGTGTACCTAAAGAGTTCTGTAGCTACTTAGAGATAAAGAATATACCTATTTTGATTTAGACTTTGAAAATTCCATTTCATACATTAAATTCAATAAAGTTTCTGCTAAACAGTTAGAGAGAAATCTAAAAATATTAAGATATCCATACATTGAAATTTTGATTAGTATTTTAAGTTTTTTTTTAATGGTTCAGCTTTATGGATATCAGTAGATAAAATTGCATACTTCTAAATAATCATGTAGGACAATACAGTGTCCCCAAAATTTAATTAACTGAATTTAGGACTTTTTCTTTTCTTATTTTTTGCCATCACTATATTGTATACATATATTTATTATAGTATTTCGCAAGCTGCATTACAATTTTCTCTTTTTTTATTTATATATATTTTACATCATTGTTCATTTTTATTTTTTATTTTTTTAAGATTTATTTTATTTATACAATAGCTGGGGTACAGGCAGGAGGCACAGGAGGGTGAAAGAATTCACCAGAGACAAAGTGGATAGACTGAAATACACTGCTGAGGGGAGCGGCAGGCGAGACAGTAGAGGTCTGCCGCGCCATGTGGGTATCTTCCCGGCCAGCCAGGAATTGAACCTGTGCTACAGAGGCTGCAGATAGCGTCACAGCACTGTGCTCAACCTGCTGCACCACTGGGGAGGCCCTCATTGTTCATTTTTAAACAATGTTTGCTTCCCTCCAGCCCCTCAGGTGTAGTCCCCATAGAGTTTCCTTCACCAATGCACCTGTGCATCATCACCTTAGTCCCCTATGCTCCTCCCTCCCTCCCTCTGATCCCTCTCCTGCCTCCTCTCCTGCAGTATGTCTCTGATTTATAATTGTTTGTTTTTGTTTTGTTGTGTTTTGTATTGTTAATATTTTTTTCCCTGATGTCTTATTTGGTTCCCCTATATTCCTTCTATAAGTGAAACCATCTGATATTTTTCTTTTTCCTTCTGACTTATTTCACTGAGCATAATTCCTTCTAGCTCCATCCATGTTGCTGCGAATGGCATTAGTTTATCTTTTTTTTATTGTATTGTGTATATATACCACATCTTATTGATCCAGTCATCTATTTTGGGGCATTTGGGTTGTTTCCAGGTTTTACCTATTGTAAATAGTGCTCTAATAAACATAGGGGTACACGTGTTCTTTTGAATCAATATTTTTGTGTCCTTTGGGTAGATCCCTTGGAGTAGAATTGTTGGGACATATGGTACTTCCATTTTTAGTAGTTTGAGGAACCTCTAGACAGATTTCCATAGTGGTTGTGTAACAGGGTGGTCCCCAGGAAAGGGGGAGGTTCCAGCTTCCCTGCCCCACCCAAGGAAGGGTGGAGCTGAGCAGGGAGAGGAGAAGCTGCAGAAGAGACTGAGGAAGGAAGGAAGCAGGATGGAGCCAGGAGACCTGGAGGAGGCGCATGGAGCCTAGAGACACGTGAAGAAACTGCGCTTGTCTTTTGGTCGTGGACTGGGTGACACAGATGTGGGTGAGACCCGTGGGGAGGTGACCATGGCAGCTTTTATCTTGATGTTGATTTTGCTCTTTTCCTTCCGGGCTTGTCCGGTTGTTTGTGACCCTTTTCTGTGGGTCCCCACTGGAAGATGCTTTAGTCTTGTGGCAGGCTTTGGGGCCTTGCTTTGGGCCGACCCCATATGGATGGAGTTTTACCCACGAGGGGATGGGTAACTTTGGGTGCTTCATTTAGAAACTAGACTCTTTGCCTCACCTGTATTGTTTCCTAGTTTTTATTAAAGATCCTTCCCATTAAAGTGTCATATGTTTTGTGTTGATGCGGCGGATGGCAGAACCCATTTAGAATAGGCAGGTTTGCGGGGTTTGGGCTGACCCTCTCCCTGTCCTACAACAGTTGGACCAGTTTGCAGTCCCACCAGCAATGTAGGAGAGTTCCTTTTTCACCACATCCTCACCAACATTTGTTGTTGCTAGTTTTTTTGATATGTGCCATTCTTAATGATTGTGGTTTTAATTTGAATTCCCTGATTATAAGGGATGTTGAACATTTTTTCATATGCCTGTTGGCTGTTTGCATTTCCTCTTTGGAGAAGTGTCTTTTAAGTTCTTTTGCCAACTACTTCACTGGATTGTTTACTTTGTTCTTGTTGAGTCCTGTAAGTTCTTTGAATATCTTTGTGTTTAGTCTCATCAGTTGTATAGCATGCCAAGATTTTTTCATAATCAGTGGGGTGTCTCTTTGTTTTGGCTAATGTCTCTTTTGCTGTATAGAAGCTTTTCAGTTTGATGTAATCCCAGATATTTATCTTTTCCTTGACATTCTTTGCTTTGGGTGATGAATCTTTAAAGATGTTACTGACTTGTATGTCTTATAGTGTTTTACCTATATTTTCTTCTATATATTTTATGGTTTCATGTCTTATGCCCAGTTCTTTTATCCATTTTGAGTTGATTTTTGTGCATGGGGAGAAGTAGTGGTCTGGTTTCCCAGCACCAGTTCAATAAATTGTCCTTGTACCACTGCATATTCTTTGCTCCTTTGTCAAAGATTAGTTGTGAATTTAGGACTTTTTCTACTTGCAATAGTTTATTAATGGAAATGGTCATTAAATTATAGTTCACTATAAAGTTTACTATTACTCTTTAAGAATTATTCTTATAGTATAAATCTCAAGGATTGAAGGAACTTTATTCATTTATTTTAGTTGTTGTAATGGAGACTGTTTTATAGGAAATTTTTTTTTAAGATTTATTTTATTTATTTATGCATACAAGAGCTGGGGGATAGGCCAGAGGGGGTGTGTGTGAGAGAGGAGTCACCAGAGTTAGAATGGGGAACAGAACAGGCAGATTGACTGAAATACACTGCTGAGGGGTGGAGCGGGCGAGACAGGAGAGGTCTGCTGCACTATATGGGTAGCTCCCTGGCCGGGGAGTGAAGTGGCTGCAGTGGCTGCCGATAGCTTGATAATGCTGCATCTTAACCTTTGTGCCACCAGGGAGGCCCGGAAAATTGTTTCTCATAATTTATACAGCCTAATGAAATATCATTGAGAAGTTGCTAAAATAAAAATTCTTTAAAATTAATAGTATTTTAACTTTTAGCACAAAGAGTAATTAATGTGTTTGGGGAGAAATCTATATTTCTTTAAATAAATTATTTTTACTCATAATTGGAGGGGGGTATAAAATTCTGTTTTCTGCACAGGCTATCTTATGGGGATTCCCAGGTAATTCAACCAGTACTTGAATAATGTGCATTATGAAAATTGAATTTTAAGAAAGACCAATGTACTCAACTCTGGCTGCACATTAGAATCAGCACAGGATCTTGTATGAAAAAAAAATAAAATACACTTGTTCCGGTATAATCCTAGACCAATTATTTCAGGATTTCTAAACAGATGGGACAATCACTGTAATGAAGGGAAGATTAGAATAGGGGCTATAAAGAATGGAACCAAATATTACCACTGATGAGGGTCTTGTGCATAGCTGTGAGACCAGGACATTGGCTTTCTCTGGTACTAAAGATTAATTTGTTTTTTATTTTTATTTATTTATTTATTTATTTTTTTAGTGAAGTTGATTTGTTTTTAAAGGCTTAACTTGGTACTCCCTGGTGGCACAAGAGGTTAAGATGCAGCATTATGAAGCTATCAGTAGCCACCACAGCACAAGTTCAATCCCCGGCCAGGAAGCAACACACATGGCACAGCAGACCTCTCCTGCCTTGCCCACTGCTCCCCTCAGCAGTGTATTTCAGTCAATCCACCTGTTCTGTTCCCCACTCTGTCTTTGGTGAATCCTCTCACACACACACACACCCCCCTCTGCCCTGCACCCCAGTTCTTGTATGCATAAATAAAAAAAATAAATCTTAAAAAAAATTAAATAAGGCTTAACTCATGATAACCATCTTTTTAGAAACTTAATTAAATTTCTTAATTTAGTGTGGATAATAATATATTTTTCTAGCCATTAGCATACCCAGGATTAGGTATGCCTCCTCAAAATGTCAAAGGCACTTGGCAGACTAGATGAGTATATGCTAAGCTTGTCTACTGAAGAGAGAGAAGAGTGCTGGGTTTAGATAGCTTTAAGAGATATACTCAGTTTGGTTACTTGTTTCCCTACTCAAAATGCTCAGTGAAGCTGCAGAAACTGTCCTTGCTACTGAGCAAGAGTTGCCACAGACTCAGGCTAAACAGGATCTGGAACAAAATCTACCTGTGATGAATCAAGACCAGAGCTTGAGGATTAGGATGGCACACAAGTCCAGCCAATACAGCAGCTGAAATTGGTGAAGAACCAGTCAGTAAAGCAAACCAGAGCCAGAGTGACAAGAATGGAGGGCTGTGTTCAAACTGTGCCTTGAACAGGTCTTTACAGGGATTACTAGTCACTGTCCTGAAACCTAAGAACACCATCAAGAACCCAGCTTCAGATAGCTACTTTGTTTGGGGGGATGTAAAAATGGAGGATTTATTTCAGCAAGGATAGCTAGCAGCTACTGAGAAATTTAAAAGTCAAGGTAAAACTGTCTGCAACATTCGAGTAAACACAGATTCCACCTGTGCTAGAGGAGGGTGAAGAGAAAGGTTGATGAAACAGGTGTGGGAGTTAAGTATATACTGATAGAATGGTCATGTCACAAGCATATGTGTGGAAAGCAGAGGTAGTCTGAGTCCAGAAGAATAAAACAATGATACTGTGAATGCTGCTATAGAAGTAACAATACAGCCACCTGAAAACAAGAACTTTTGTTTTGTTTCACAGTAATGGCTGCAGTTTTGCAAAATTTGTGATGTTTTTGTCATGAATAAAGTTATGGTTTCTTTGTTGGATGTATCCATCTAACCAAAAAAGTCCAAGAAATTTAGTCTTTGCTTTACAATATAGTATACCTGTACCTTTCCCATATATTTACATCATACTCATGGCTCTCACTAAGAAAAATGCTGAATAAACCTAGAAACATTATTGTTCTATTGGATGCTGCCTTTCTAGAGTCCATGAAACTTAGCAGATATTTCTGTTAAAACATTCTTCATTTGGATAAGTTACAACCCAGTTGAATTTACTTATTCTTTAAATAAAATCTTCTCAGGATAAATTTTAGTTGCCTGCTAAATGTCAGTAGGCTGACAGTTGCTTCTGTCTGCTTGTCTGGGGGTCTTCATCTCTGCCTGTACTATGTGGATGTGTGTGTTATTATGGGTGTGTGCCATTTCTTTTATCTTTTCTTTTTGACTGAGGTCATTCTGTTTTGTTTTAAAGCTTCTTTTTCAGACACTTGACTTTTTTTTTTTGACAGTTATCCTCTTAAATTCTCAGTGTATCTTGCTATGGACACTTGTGTCCTGATTATATTGACTATTGAAATTCTGGCTAAAATGAAGGAAAAATTACTCTGCTCTCCTTATTGGCCCCAGCTTTATACTAACAATATTTCCTTTAGAAATATTTAGAAATCATATGTCAAAAAGACATATGAATAAAGAATTCTTTTATACCTATTTTATTTACAACCTACCTAATTTATACCTATTCTATAATATCTACACCTACCTTGCCATTTGCAACAACATGGATGAAACTGGAGGATATGCTAAATGAAATAAATTATAAACACCAGTGATGTCATTCATATGTAGACTATAAAGAAACAAAACAAAGGAACAGACAAAACTAAACCAAAACAAACCCTAGAAATATGATTGCAGAATCGAGAGTCTAAAGGCGCAAGGTGGGAGGTGGGGAACAGATTGGGGGAGGTAGCCCAGTGGTTCATGGTGGAGGTTATGGATTCTTCGGTGGTGGATATAGTGTTGTGACATACATCTGAAGAGGTGTGAATCTATTTCCCTAATCATATACAGTGTTGTAAACCAATGTTACGCCAATAAAAAAAAGTTACAGAAAAAATTTGAATGATAAATGATAATTCCAATTTGTTTCACAGGTATGAAGGTATCTGAAAGTGGTTCCCTTTTCCAACTTTTGTGCCCTTTTTATTTTTTATTTTATTTTTTTAAAAGATTTATTTATTTATGTATACAAGAACTGGGGTGCAGGTCAGAGGTGTGGGGGGAGGTGAGAGGATTCACCAGAGACAAAGTAGGAAACAGAACAGGCATATTGACTAAAATACACTGCTGAGGGGAGCAGTGGGTGAGGCAAGAGAGGTCTGCTGCACCATGTGGGTAGCTCCCTGGCCGGGGATCAAACTGGTGCTGCAGTGGCTGCGGATAGCTTCATAGATTGCGTCTTAACCCCTTGCGCCACCAGGGAGGCCCTTTTGTGCCCTTTAAACACTACTTTAGTATCAATAAACACATGTCAAAATTTTCCTTTAACATCATAGTTTTCTATTTTCTTTAATATTAGTGCCTTTAGTTTCATGCATATTTTTTTGATTATTTGTATGTATTTTTATATGAAGCTTATAGAAAATAATTTTCAAGATGAGAATACTTTAATATACTTGAAGCTTTTCTAAGGGAGTATGCACATTAAGTATGTAATTAATATGCACATTAGGGTAGTATCTATAAATGAACTTCAGATCTCAAGATTATTATTTTTTGTTTTAAGATTTATTTATTCATGCATACAACTGGGGTGTAAGCCAGAGGTGCAGTGGGGTGAGAGGATTCACCAGAGAGAGTGGGAGCAGAACAGGCAGATGTACTGAAATACACTGCTGAGGGGAGCAGCGGGCGAGACAGGAGAGGTCTGCTGCTTCATGTGGGTTAGCTCCTTGGCCTGCCAGGAATCAAACTCATGCTGCAGTGGCTGGTGATAGCTTGATAGTGCTGTCTTTAATCCCTACACCACCAGGGAGGCACAGATCTCGATATTATTGATAAATAAATTAGAATTATTAAATTATTTGACACTAGTGCAGATAAGATTAACAGTTTGTGATTTCACAAGATTGTTTTATTTCTATTACAGATACTTGAAACTATGCCTATGACTGAGAAAGTGGAAGAATTGCTGCATGTCATAGGTCCATTTTATGAAATTGTAGAGGACAAAAAAAGTGGCAGAAGTTCTGATTTAACTTCAGGTTGGACTGTTTTTTCTTAGTTTTTAATTTAGCAGCTAATACATATGCATGCATTAAAGTTTATATGTCTAATTTTTTTTTTTACTTTCACATGCCAGTCCGATTGGAGAAAATTTCTAAATACTTAGAAGGTAGGCAAAATGAAATCCATGTAAAAATTTTGTTTAAAACATACATGCTTAAAAAATTCAGCACAAATTTATATAACTTAAAAACTTCTATTTTTAAATTTTTTTAATATTTATTTTTATTTATTTATATACACAAGAACTAGGATGTAGGCCAGAAGTGTGGGGGATGAGAGGATTCACCATAGACAGAGTGGGGAGCATAATAGGAGGATCTACTGAAATACACTGCTGAAGGGGTAGCAGAGGAGATAGGAGAGGTCTGCTCCGCAATGTGGGTAGCTCCCTGGCAGGCCGAGGATTGAACTTGTGCTGCAGAGGCTGTGGATAGCTTCATAGGTTGTGTCTTAACCCCTGCACTACCAGGGAGGCCCCTGAAAGTATCAATTTTTTTACTGAAAGCTACATTAGTTTTTGTTGAAGATCTTACATAATCTATAGTATATATAATGTATTACTTTGGCAAAATTAGAAAGCTGCATTTCAAATCCTCTGGATTCAAATGTTGTAAGAGATAAAGAACTGTACCATAATTTAACCTGTATCATTCAAATGGACAGTTAGTTTGTTTCTTTCGGTTTTCAAAAAATGTCATTGAGACTAACCATGAGCAACTATCATTTTATATATGTGGAAGTATGTCGATAGGATATATTAGAAGTGTAATTTCTGGATCCAAGGATATGGGTATTTAATGGGTATTTGCATCTTTTAAGATACTGACAAATTGTAAGACACTTTGCAATTTTAACTTTTGTTATTCAAACAAAGAATCTTGCTAAAAGTAACCAGGTGTATTTGCAGTATAACTTTACCTATTTGTGTAGTGGGCTTTTTCAACATATACGTAATTAGTAAGTTTGGAAATCGGGAAATATGAGCTGTTTATTATTTGGATCGCTCACATTTCCAAATAAATTTTTGAATCAGCCAATCAGTTTTTGCAAAAAAAGTCAACTGGTATTTGGTAGGATTTGTAATGATTTGTAGAGTAATCATTTGTAATCATTTGGGAGAGTATAGTTATCTCAACTGCATTGTCTTCTAGTCCATTTAGATCTTCTTTGATTTCTTTCAACAATGTCATTTGCACATATAATTTGTACACTCTTTCATCAACTGTATTGCTAATAAGAATTCTTTATGCTGCTATTATAAATTGAATTACTTTTCAATTTAATTTTCAAATTATTAGTTTGTAGAACTATAATTGATTTTTTTGTATGTTGATCTAATATATCCTGTGACCTCATTGAGCCATTTTTTAGTTCCAATAGTTTCTTTTTCTTCCTTTTGTTTTTCTTTGTAGATTCCTTAGGCTTTTCTATATACAAGAGCATGTCATCTGCAATGAGAGATCATTTCTTTCCAGACTGGATGGCTTTATTTTTCTTGCCTAATTTCCTGGGCTAGGACTTGCAGTTTAATATTAATTAGATGTGACAGAAGCAGACATCTTTGTCTTATCCATTATCTTAGGAACAGAACTTTCAGTTTTTTTAACATTGCGTATTCTTCCGGTTGTGAAAGTTCATACATGCAGTTCATCAGATTAAGGAAATTCTTTTGAATTCTTAATTTTTTCACCATTATTATCATTAAAAAGTGTTGAGTTTTGTTAAGTTTCTTTTCTCTATCTATGATTACAATCACTTGGTTTTATCCTTTAGTCTGCAATGTAGTGTGGGGTTTTGTTGTCATTAATTGTTATACTTGCTTTTTCTGGTTGTCAGGGGAAAAGTAAGAGAAACTTTCAAAAACAATCCTGCTCCCATGATTCTCTAAGAGGGTAATAGGACATAATATTTATGATAGGGTTGAATTTTTACTCTTTGCATCTAATCATTAGTTAGACTTAACAAGAGCATAGACCTGGTTATTTAAGATGTATGGAGATTTTGAAATTTAATACGTTATTTGGGATGCAGAAAAGCATCCAAAACATTTGTGTAAGTAAAAATCAAGACCAAAAATTTATGAAGATCACTGTTTTTGACCAGTAGGCACTTAAGATCAATAGTATCTTAAAGAGTTGATGAAAATATCATTCCCTATACCATATGTGCTACATTACTATCACATGGGAGCTTTATGAAAGTGCAGAATCTTAGATCACTCCAGACTTACTGATTCGGAGTCTGCATTTTAACTGATTCCTATGCATACTGTGTTTGAGGAGCTCTTATGTATTCTCAAAATATGACTTTGGGTGATAGGACAATTTTCCTTTTTAGGTGATTGGTTATTTTATCTGATAATTAAAAAAAATAAATATGAAGACACAGTAGTGTCAGTTGTGCACTTGGATTCCTAAAGGCATGTGAATTGCTAAAGGTAATAAAAGGATACAAAATTTTAAACATAGCCCAACTATAATACTGATAAGACTGTTGTTAGAGCCAAAAAATGTTATGTTTTCAGCATGCTAGCACATAGCAATTATCTCTTCAGTTACTTTGTATACAGATCATTCACTTCTAACTTCACTGTTTTGATTGATGTTAACTTAAAAATAATTTATCCTCTGTTTTGTTCAGAAAAGTTTTATAATAGATTTATCATTTTTGTTGTAAACTGATACTTGGAGGAATATATTTGTGCCATGTATGGATATTTATAGTAAAAAAAAAAGAGTACTATTAATGATCAAAATTCTAACTTTTAATTCAAAATTATTTTATCAGTTATCTATCAATTATACATTGTTGTATGTCAAAGTATTAGTCATTAAGTGGTCATTCTCTGTTTTAGATCTGGGTAATGTACTAACTTCTACTCCAAATGCCAAAACTGTTAATGGTAAAGCGGAAAGCAGTGATAGTGGAGCTGAGTCTGAAGAAGAAGAGACCCAAGAGGAAGTGAAAGGAGCAGAACAAAATGATAATGGTAATCTTTGGATGATAGGCTACAATTTTAATAAAATAACAATTTTATTAGATAAAAGGATATGGGGAGGTTTGGGCTATTTTGAATTATATGCAATTAGCGCATATGGTGGAATCTAGGCTGTTGACCCAGTAACCAGCTTTGTTATGGTTACTGGGTCTACAACAGTGTCTAGGGACAACCAGCCTATGCATAGATATTACTTGAAACTACATGTTAATTGAAGTCTAACCCAATAGGCCACTCCTCTGAATATAATACCTGAAATGCTATATTAGAAATAGATTCCTTTAAGGAATTGTTTCCAATATGAATATGTATATGTTACCAAGAAAGGGAGACAAGTTAGACTTTCATTATCTTGTCAAGAATAGAACTGAATCCAGAAAATAGGATGCAAGCAGAAGTTTTGATGAAGAGGGAACCCTGGAATCTTGGGTTACTGCATAGAATGGGCCTTGTTAGTAACAAAGCCAGTTATTCTTGGGAAGGCCATTTTAGAAAAGGGAGGCAGAAAGACACTAACACAAACCACACTTCTTAGTTTTGCTTTACTTTACAGTAGGGTATGACGAACAGTACCTTTTCTTTTTTCTTTTTGTTAAAGATTTATTCTATCTATCTATGCATACAAAAAGTGAGGTGCAGGCCAGAGGTGTGGGAGGTGAGAGGACCCACCAGAGACAGAATAGGCAGATCTACTGAAATAACTGCTGAGGGAAGGAGTGGGTGAGACAGGAGAGGTCTGCTGTGCCATGGGGTTAGCTTGCTGGCAGGGGGGGATCGAGCTCCTGTCGCAGTTGCTAGCGATAGCCTAATAGTGCTGAGACCTTAACCCCTGTGCCACCAGGGAGGCCCGAACAGTACCTTTCCTGAAGGATGATTTTATTGGCTCTGTGGAGCTCTTTGTACTTCTGCGTCTCATAGAGCAATTTGCTTATGCTAAAAAGGAATTCAGGGATTGACAGAGATTCAATGTAGGAAATCCTCAAAGGGATTAAAGTAGGTGATAAAGTTATTACTTGATATTACAACATAGTATGCAGAAGCTTTTCTACTGTGAACCTTTATCTCTCCTTTTTCTTTTTTCATAAAAGATAAAATGACGAAATCCACAGACCATAAGAATTTGGAAATTGTCACTAATGGCTATGATAAAGACAGTTTTGTTCAGGATGTACATAATGACATTCAGGTCACTTCTCTGAAAGACAGAAGTGCTGAAGAAGTTAAATCAGTAGACCAAAACTTGGAGAAAACTAGAAAAACTGTCTCTACCCACCAAGGTATTGTGCCATAATAATTATTTATCCAGAGTCTTTTGTATGAATGGAATATTCTTTTTTTTTTAAATGGGAAATACAGCCTTACTCTATTTATTTATTTATTTATTTGTTTTACAGATTTATTTATTTATTTATTTATTTATTTATTTATTTATTTATTTAAGCACTGGGTACAGTCAGAAGCGCAGGAGGGTGAGAGAATTCACCAGAGCCAGAGCGGGGAGCAGAGCAGGCAGAAGGACCAAAGTACACTGCTGAGGGGAGCAGCAGGAGGCAGGAGCGGTCTGCCCGCCATGTGGGGCTCTCCTCCGGTGGCCGGGGAGCAGCCGGGAATCGAACCAGTGCTTCAGAGGCTGCGGGCAGCTTCCCCACCCAGCGCTCAACCGCTGCACCACCGGGGAGGAATATTCTTTTAATAATTTTGTACTTAGGAATAGTTTAGAACTTTAAAAGCCTTTATTCAATAATATTTTAGGGTTTGTTAATATTATAAGGGTTTATTTATAGCTTTGAAGGATAGTAAATCAGGGCCAGGGCTTTTATGTTTCATTGAAGTTTTTTTTTTTAAGATTTATTTATTTATGCAAGAATTGGGGTACAGGCCAGATGCATGGAAGGGTGAGAAGATTCACGAGTGACAGAGCGGGGAACCCAACAGGCAGACTGAATGAAATACACTGCTGAGGGGAGCAGCGGGTGAGACAGGAGAGGTCTGCTGCGACATGTGGGATTCTCCCAGGCAGGCCGTGTTTGAACCCGTGCTGCAGAGGCTGCAGCCAGCCTCACAGTGTGGCACTCAACCGCCTGCGCCACCAGGGAGGCCCTCATTGAGATGTTTTTAATGTGTCTTATATGGCATTTGAAAATAAATCTTTGAAATATTTAGTGTGTTTTTGGAGCAGATATTCTTTATTTGTTGTTGTTGTTTACAAATACACTAAAGATTCATTCAAGCTGCCAGAACTGGATGCAATCCTGGGCCATAGATCTGCAAACTCCTTTTTGTAATTGGTCCTGTTATGTCAGTATCTTTCATCTTGCCTTTATTGCTTACTATGACTCCAGTATTATCTTCAAAATAGAAAAATATACTGTCTTTTGTATGATTTTCTTTGTTGAGATACCTCCTGCTGAATGTGCCTTCTTCCTGCACTCTGGTTTGCTTTTCTTGACTATGACCTTTTATAATACCCCACACACCAGCAGCAGGTGGTCTGGTCTGTCATTCATTCCTTGATCCCCTTCACAGAGGTGTTGTACAAATTCTTGGCTCCTATGGTGTCAGTACAGTTAATTGTGGCTCCTACTGGAGAATCTAAAGAAATTAGAATTTTATACCAGAGGACCTGCCACATCTCCTCCTGACATCTTAAATACTGGGAAGAGACAAAAATTGAAATGCTTATTTTTTTTCCTGAGGTTTCTTTTAACCAAAATCTCTGATCATCTATTTTTTTTCCAATCAGCAACATGAATTATGGTCTTTTTATATCTTAGAACTGTAGGGAATGTGCCTATTGTATGTAATGGTGAATTAACAACATTGCTGCAATTCAGTTGAGAAATCAAGATGTATCATTTCTTAATGTAATAACCAAACTTGCATAGTTTTATCCCAGATGTAGGCCTCTTACCTGGTAGTCAGTTTTCTGTTACAAGTTTAAGTTTTTGTAAGGTTTGATCTTGACAGCATCTTTCCGTAACACCTTATAAAAGATTTTAAAGTTTTAGTAAGTTAAAAAAAAAATGTGACTTAGTAAAATAAATTTGTTTCCCAGCATGAAAATACTATAGAGTTGATAAATTTTGAAATGGAATAAATGTATATTTTTCTTGAAGAATAACCATCTGTATATTTGTTCATATTTAGATGTGAATGATGACTATATTGAAGATGTTTCAGGAATTCAGCATTTGACAAGTGATTCTGACAGTGAAGTTTACTGTGATTCCATGGAGCAATTTGGACAAGAAGAGGTAAAAATAACATTTTTTTTAATCGGTGATTTTCAAAGTGGTATATTAGAATTCGGTAAACAACTTCTATTAATAGAAGATTTACATGCTGTTCATCACTTTGAAAACATACCTCTAAAATGTTTAAACATTTGTATTTTTAATTATTTCTGTGAATTAAAAAATAAAAAATTTCTGTATTATTAAAAATATTTAAATATGTTATAATTTATAATGTAACAAGTGATACGGGACAAGGGAGCAGAGAGTGAACTCTGCTAGTCTCTGTGCTTGAAACATGGATTGTTTACTGATGTTATATCCTTTCCCCATCACTGTTCTAACATAATTTTAGTGTGTCTTATAGAAAATCATTTATCTTTTGCCTCTCTAAATCAATGGTTTTAATTTTATTTTTTTTCTCTTTGTGTTTTTCTCTTTTCAGTACATAATACAATGAAATCTACCTCTTAATTTGGTCAAATGTCAAATTTTAAAAGCACACGAATAAAAAACTTTTTAAGTAAGGTTAAACACAAATGAATAGCATAGATGGAAAAATAATTGTGAGAAAACCAAGCCGAGAATGAGCTGAAATGAATGAAAAACAGAAATAAGTAGTGATTAGAATCCAGAATCTCTTTTATTTATTTCTTTTGTAAAAGATTTGTTTTGGGAAAGCTAATGAAAAAGGACTACATAGGGATAAATCTCAGTAATTATCTGGCTATTGCACTCCCCACATTCACTGCTCCTTTATAGTTACATGCTGTCCTCATCGCCACACCTTTGACTTATACTCTTTTGTTCAAGTCTTAGTTGATATAATTTCCTTGAGGAAGACTGCCCTGACCAAACCTCCACCCAAACCAAGTATGTGTTAGTTGATCTCTGTGTGTGCTGCCTGTATACATATTTTTTATAATATTTATCAAACTATGCTGCAATGATTTTGCTTCTTTACCTCCCTTACTAAGACTTGAAGCTTCTTGCAGATAGGGAATCTGTCTCTTTCTTCCTAGTATTCCCAGAGTTAAGCATAGTAACTAGGATAAGAATAGACATTTAAATGTTTCTTAGATGAATAACGGACTCACAAGAAAAATTCATTGCCAAAAACTTATCAGTTCTTTCCTCATAGATGAATCATTCCTACCCCATTTCTTTCTTGCATATAAAAAAACAGAATATGAATTTAAGAAGAGTTTTTAGAAAAATATTCCCTATAATAATATGAAAAAACATTTTATGAAAACAGTAATCCTATTATGAAAATTTGTGATAATATGGTTTATGATTATGGCTTTTAACTAAATATTATTTTCACTTTGTAGCCTCTAGACAGCTTTACATCCAACAATGGACCATTTCGATACTGCTTGGGTGGTAACCCCAAACAGCCCTTGGAAAATCCTGTTTTTTCTGGAAATGTTCAAGTGTCTTCTGGAAGTGGCAACTGTGAAGATATGCACATGATAGCAGTTGAAGGGAAAGGTGAAGTAAAACATGGAGGAGAAGATGGCAGAAGTAACAGTGGAGCACCACACCGTGAGAAACGAGGTGGAGAAAATGAGGAATTCTCTAATGTCAGAAGGGGGAAAGGTATGTATTACTTCTTTCTTGTTCTCACTATCTTTATAAGCTAATTAGGAAAATGGGGAGGATCAACATAAAGAGATGCACTAGGACTCTCAATTTATAAAGGGAATGCTAAAAGTTATTCTTACATAGTATCTGACATTTTTTCTTTCTATCTAATTCTTTGACTCCAGAGGTCGCAGTAGTGTGTTCTCCAAATATCTGGGGGAAATAATTCTACTTCAACATCTTTTTGGTAATTTTTTAAGGTAGTCAAATTTATGATTCATCATCTCCCCAAACAATCACTTAACTGCTGTAATTTTACTCTTGCTTTTTTTCTTACTTTAGGTGAAAATCTGAATTCTTTATCTTTCCCACATTTTTTTTAAGATTTATTTATCTATGCATACAAGAACTGGGGTACAGACCAGAGGTATGGGGGAGGGAAGTGAGAGAATTCACCAGACACAGAGTGGGTATCAGAACAGGCGGATTGACTGAAATACACTGCTGAGGGGAGCAGTGGGCGAGACAGGAGAGGTCTGCCTCACCACATGGGTCACCTCCCTGGCCAGGGATCGAACTCATGCTGCAGTGGCTGGGGATAGCTTGAGAGCACTGACTTTAACCCCTGCTCCACCAGGGAGGCCCTCTATTTTGTGCACTTCTTGATTTGCTTCCACTTCACTTTGCAAGTTTGAATCTCAAAGAAATAACAAAAAACCCAAACAGATTATTTCTACTTTTATAAGAAAAAATTACAGTAAACTTATTTTGCTCTCTTAAAATAGGGCATAGGATGCAACATTTGAGTGAAGGAACTAAAAGTCGGCAAATGGGAAGTGGAGGTGATGGGGAACGCTGGGGTTCAGACAGAGGGTCAAGAGGCACCCTCAATGAGCAGATTGCTCTTGTGCTCATGCGGTTGCAGGAGGACATGCAGAATGTCCTTCAGAGACTTCACAAACTGGAAACACTAACAGCTTCACAGGTAAGCTTCCAAATTTGTCTTTTCTCCTTCCATCTGTTGATTCTGTAAAACAAATCTGTAATGATCCAGATTTACACATATCAATGTATTTTATTGATTTCTAAAAAGAAGTAAAACCTACTTTTGAAAATATATAAATTTTATTTAAGGCGGCCATTCTCCAATGTGTTTGTAAATTGGTAGTTCGTATGTAAATCAAGGAATTAATAAGTGTGTGGAATTTAATAAGAATATTTCAACCTTCAAAAAATTAGAAAATTACTGTATTTTTTCATTTTATCAAAATTTAATCACTTTTGTTTGTATTTCTAGGCAAGAGCATCAACATTACATACTAGTGATCAGTCCTCACAGGTAAAAAAATTTTTATTAAATATAAATGCCAGGGTTTCAAAGAAGTTAATAAGTTTACATTATATAAGGTCCTTAAAGTATTCCAAGTAAAATCTACCCTTTAGAACTTTGAAGTTAAAAATATATTTGTTCTAGACAAAAAATTCACAGAAACAGAGAGTAGTAGAATGGTTGTTGCCAGGGACTAGGGATGGGGTGAAATAGGGAGATGTTAAACTTGCAGTTATGGTGTAAGCAACTGGAATGTACAGCCTGGTGACTATAGGTAACAGTTTCGTGTCATACACCTGAAAATTGTTGAGAGTAGATCTTAAATGTTCTCACCGGAAAAACAAAAAAATCCTTTATGTTAAGTGATGGAAATACTAACTAGCTTACTGTGGTAATCATTTCAAAATATATAGTCTTTTCAAATCATCACTTTGCATACCTTAAACTTACACTATATATGTCATTTATATGTAAATAAGTTGAAAGGAAATAAAAAGGAAAATTAGTAATATCATGAAAAATATATATATATTTGTTCTGTGAATTATCCTGAAAGTCTTCTTACTGAATTATGTTCTGAAATACAGAATGTCTCTCCTCCCTATAGTAGGAGTTAGATTTGTTATTACTTACATATTTACAGAATTATGTTAGGTGTATTCTTAAGTTCATATATGTAATATGTAATCAATTTGTGACCACTTTATTTTCTCAGAGACCATCTTGGTGGCCCTTTGACATGTCTCCTGGTGCATTAACTTTTGCTATCATATGGCCTTTTATTGCTCAGTGGTTGGTGCATTTATATTATCAAAGGAGGAGAAGGTAATACTATAGTTTTATCATTCAATGTGATGTATATATAAACTCTTTTAATGTAGTATAGACAGATCTTCCAGAAGGTAATAGGTCTGTTCTATTGCTATTAGTATATCGTTATAAAGAATATTCTGTGATAATCCTTAGACTAAAACTGCAATACCTTGGAAATGATGTCTGATGGATTTCTAGGTACTTGTTGGACTTAAAATTTTTTTCATTTGTGATCATCTGATGGATTTGTTCATTTAGTCAACAGTGAGAAAAATTACAGGCTTGTGTTTTATGGCTTATGAGGAAACAATACTCTTAAAAGTCTGATAATTGTTTTAGACCCTTTGCTAACATTAAAGGACAGTGGGTAAGTAAATAAATAATACCTACATGGTCTGTATGCCTTTGAAATACAGGCATTGATATTTCAGAAAAATTTCAGCCTGTCATTTAACTATCTCTAAAATAAGAGAATCATTCTAATTTGAGGGTTACAATTTCAGTTCGGGATGCCAGCATATACCTGAAATAGGTCCAAGGATAATTATAAATCCTTGTAAGTCCTCTGAGTTTGTCTAGATTAGGAATAACCTGAGGCCAAAACTCTTCAGTTCAAGAAAATCCTTAGAGCGTATTCTGGATGCTGTAAAATCTCATCTGCTTTCTGTGGATGGGCAGATTTTTATCTTACTGACACCCTCTCTGGTTATGTTTTCATTCCCATTTCCCATTAATTAACAATAAATGGGGAAAAGAAATAGGGTACTGGGTATAAACTTTAAAGTGCTCTCTATAAGTTAATTATAGGTATATTGTTCCTCTAACAAAGAACCCACATTTCTAATTACTACATTTGATAACAAAAGAAAAATTAAACATCACTATTTCTCATAGGCTAAAAGGGATAAGCTACTACCTTATTATAAGTGTTCCATGCATATTACTTTATAGTTGAGAAACTGAAATACATGATATTAAATGAATTGTATTAGTCATCCTTGTTCTCTGCCTCGGTTAAGACTGTTTGGTTAATATTCATAAATTAACTAAATAAGTTTTCTGATACATTTATGTTCTTGACATACACCTGCCCAATTAAAAAACCTTTAGTAGGATTTTAGAAGCATTAAGTTGCTTTCTCAGTATTATTTATCCCCTTTCATGTCTCTGTGTGTGTGTGTGTGTATGAGTGATTTCAGATGTTAATATGTAGGTCTTAATTTCTTCTTTCACACATTTTATACTTCTCCTATGATGTTTGGGTTTGTTGCTGTATTATGTTTCACATTCTAGTATCCTTAATAATGGGGGGAAAAGAGAAACCTTTTTTTTTAAATATACAGTAATGCTAGCTTTAAGCAGCAAGAAACAGTGACACTAATGGTAGGTTTTTATATACTTTGCAATTTATCTCAAAGTTCTTTTTCACGGTTCCTTTGTAGAAAGTTGATGCTTGGAGAGTAGAAAAATTTGGCATAGGATAATGATTGATTTTACAATTAAAGTTGAAGCAGGTTGTCACTTCATTAAAAACAAAAAATAAGCTATACTTTGGCTTAAGAGTCACTACCCGAAGGTAGTGGTGGTGATTTAAATGATTGGGGCATTTAGAACCAAAGTTGTGTGCTTTTTTGTAAATCTGTAGAAGACCTTTTTATAGTAATCTGTATTATGTGGGTTAATTGTGTAGACATCTTATACGGGCAGATTCTTTAGAACCACCCACATTGGTCTTGTTTTGTTGACAACTTCAACTGTAATCCAAGGGCCTTTTTTCTTTTTGTCACAAATAATTTTCTGTTATGTGAAAACTGATCTGAGTATTTAAAATATCACTCCTGCCTAGGAGATATACATAAGAGGATTTCTACATAAGATGAAGAATGATCTGATTATTTGAAATATTACTCCTGCCAACAAGGTTGCATAAGGGCATTTCTAGAGAGGAGAGAAATGAATCTATGAGAGAGTTTTAGGCATTTGGCATGTTGGGTCCTTGGGAGGGTATAGAGATTTTGCAGCTGTGGGACCTTTCTCACACTTCAGGTATTATGTGATAATTGAGTTTTGTGTATGCAAGTGCACCCTTCTCTGATTCCTAACTCACACTGCTGTCATTTAAACCATCACATTATACATATCTGAGCAGTTGGTTTATATCTCCTGCCCTCTCAGCTAAACTGAGAGCACTTTTGAAGATGGAGAATCATTTATTTGATTCCCCAGTGCCTAGAAATTAAGATACATAATATACATTGATTAAATGTATAGTCCAGGTTGTATATCTGTCAGTCTTTTATAGTTTTATGAAGATTTTTAATTTTACAACTTTTTCATTTTGATAAAATTATGAAATGATTTCTAAAAATATGAATTATACAAAGCCAACTAGAAAAGGATGAGGAGGAATATAAATTTAAAATATTTATTACAAACTATTTGGTAATGTTGACACCTGCCATTGGATCTTTCACATCAAGCTATATAAGTCACATGAAATAATTTCATAAGGATCATTTGTAACTTTATGATTTTGAATTTGGAATATTGTTATTCAGAGAATTATTTGGTGTCAATGTGCTTCATATCCAAGTTGCATTTATATTCATAGGAAATTGGTTTTCACTTTCTTTTTCAAGAAAATTGAACTGAAGAAAATGGTATTTTGCTCAAGAAGACTACTGGGCCTGGATGACCTTGGAATGAAATGGATTGTGAAATTCACAAGAAAATCTTAGTTTGTGATGACTGCGTTTCTTTTGTTGTCTAGTAGATTGATTTGTGTACATACATACATACATATTTTGCACTACACAAATGATAACATTTTAAGGACTAATATTGCTGATACTTGAATAATCAATCTCAACTAGGTTATAAGTAGCATACTTAGATTTACCCTACCCTTGAACTTGAAGGATGTTAAATTATTAATTATTGTTTGGTAACATGTTTTACCTGATTATCTCCCATACAGAAATATAAGCTGCTTTTCCAGATACAGTTGTGATGAGATCAGATTTATAACTGGACATTTTTAATTTTCTACATTAAATATAAGAAAGAATGCAAACCAGGAGTGAATTTCAAGTGAGATTAAATCAACTATAGCTTAGTCACTAAATTACCATGCCAAGGAGTAGAAAACTACTGTAAGAATCTTTTCCATATCCACTCTGTGGGCTGCCCCTAATTCTTTCTTGGGCTTTCACAACTCTGACTTTAGTATTCAGGCATCATTACTATAAAGTACAACCTGGTGTACTAGGCTTAATTTTTACAAATGATTCACAACATACACAAAACCTGCTGGAAATGATGAAGAATAGAATTAAAGTAGGTTTGACAAGTGTATACTGAGCCTGCAGATCATTAATAAGATCTTTATTCAATCATATACATTTATTCCTTTGTAATCATTTTAACTGAGGATATCTTGTCTCTGCTTCATAGGTGCTTTGAAATATAAATGAAAACTTATTTATACTGTTTTTATAAAGGTCAAAAAGGAACATATGAAGATCACTTTTAAGCAATTGGTAAACTGCGCAGACTGGACTCAACCTCTTAGTGCCTCTGTCTCTTCTTCATAGTGTAATATGTGAGATATACCTATTTCACAGGGGTAGTAAAAGGATTTGCAAACTAACAGGCCATATGAATAAAGTATATCCAACTAATGGAAATAGTCCCTCTCCTGTTTTTCCAGTTAGACATAAAAGACTGTCATTTAGATCCTTGAATGCTTTGTTTAAAAAAAAATTATTCTTCCTGTATGTCTTCCAAAACAAAGGTATCTCTGATTTGAAGGACTTGTAGCAAATAATTTGTAAGCATACATGCTGTGTATAATGTTGAGTTTAGCGTCGTGTGTTCAGAGTGTTTTCAAGAGGGAAGTAATCCATCTCTAATATACAGGATGGGTCTTGTTTGTCTGAAGAAAAAAATACAATTCGCTTTTTTCATCATGTAACTTGATATTTTTTATTTTTAAATCCCACCTTGATTAAAATATGTCTGTCTAAAAGGATCTAATATTTGCTTTTTAAAAACTCCTCTGTTTACTTAGGAGAATAAAATGAAGCAAGTACTGAATTATATGTAAAAATATAGACTTATGGATCAGGGATTATTTTTAAAAAATTAGATATCAATCTGGTACAGAAAATGGTGGCTTTTCTCTTAATAAATAATAAAATAAATACAAATTAAGTATGTAAGCAGTTGTGATTCATTATAAGTGGTGGGGATAACTAATTCCTAGTGATAACGATTTATATCCTAAAGTCTTATTTTATAGTTTTAAAAACACTTTGCATACAGTTATTGAATATAAAAGATATAATTATAGGATATAATATTACTGCTTTGTTTAACAAGACCCTCATTTAAAATTTTCAATTGACAGCTGTGGTTTTTTTAATGATTCACTTCTGTTAATTGTAAAACTAAGTTAAAAATAAAACTTTAATGAGAAATGGTATGATTTTATTCTTACTGTTAGAAGTGCATTGTTTATATACTAAGGATTAAGTGAGAATAGTAGGAATTCATATAATCATGCATCTTTCCAAGCAACAAACCAGCCATGCAATCACCCTATTAAATGTCATTTTATAAAACAGGAAAGAAAAATAACTCATTTATTCACTTGGTTGGGAATGTTAATATTGATCAAGTCAAAATCTTGGTTTTAGTTCTTATGATAGTGTCCCATGGTCACTCAGTGCACCCTTAATCAGCCATAATAATATCTATAGTGGAAAATGGTGATAGGGTTTTGTGTGTGCATGAGCTTATTGAGGTAACATTGTTTCATAATACTGTATATGATTCAGAGGTGTAGAATCACACCCTAGAGTATATTACCACACCAGCCCCACCACCAAGACACCCATGTACATGTTGCACCCTGTACACTTTTTAGCACCCTGTACACTTTGCTCTGCCCGCCTCCCATAACCTCAATTCTACAGTCTAATTTCTAGATTGTAAATGGTTTGATTTTGTCTGACTCTTACAGTATGAAAAACAGTAAATGATTCTACAATCTTCTGAACGCTAAGCATGTTTGTAATTGATGGTTCTTCCTGAGAAATGGAGTGATTGGACCTGCACATCCTTCAAGATGGTTAGGAGCAGGACAATGGTTTATATAGCGAACACTTCCCAAAACCAAAATTAAGACAAATATTTCAAGCAGTAGCAGGTACTTAGGATCAAATAATGATCATTTATTAAACATCTTTTATGTTTGCGCTCATCTAATTCTGACAGAGGTGTTAGAGGAAAACAGATGCAAACATTTTATGAATTTAACATTTAGTGGAGATGAGAGACATTTTTTCCTACTAACAAATTGTATATAGAAACAGACATACAGATTTCTGACAGAAGCAGTCAAATGTTTTTTTTTTTAAAGTGTATGCACACACATTTTGAGTAAACACCATTACAGCATGCAAAATTCCAGGTGACTAGCTACACATTAGGTCTAATACAGAAAACTGTTTTTAACTTTTCTATTTAAGGACACAGTTTCCTGCATTGGGATTAGGATTACTGTACATTTCCCCCAATTATTCAGTAATGCTTCAAGTCCCTGAGAAGACTGGTATCCTGAACAATTCCATTAAGGAACTCTTTAATCCTCATCATACTGGTAAACAATTAGCAGCTCAGTTTAACCCACCCAAGACCTTTTAATGTGGCAGAGCACCATTTAAGCCACGTGTTTGATTCCAAAGCCACTATTCTTTCTACTACTTGAAAAGACCTTTTAATGTGGCAGAGCACCATTTAAGCCACGTGTTTGATTCCAAAGCCACTATTCTTTCTACTACTTGAAAATACCATTAAAAGGGTGATAAATAATTCTGATTTTACCTAATTTAAGGGAAAGTTGTCATTTATATTAAACAAAGCTTTAACAACTGTAATTTGAACAATTTATTGGAAGAGATGACTCTTAGGAGCTTAAATCTAGTAAGTAGTCATTACTGAAACAAGCTCAGTAAAACTAAGCCATGGAGATTCAATTATTTGGCATTGATTAGAATGGTCTATCTTTGTGCTCGCTTCGGCAGCACATATACTAAAATTAGAATGGTCTATCTTTCACTCTAATGGGTCTAAAGGGTCAAGGCAGCAAAACTGTATCCATACTAAAGTAATCAGAACCTTAGTCCTTTTATTTATTCCTCATTTCCCAAAGGAGTTTTCTAGCTGCATGTTTGAGATCAAAATTGTAGCCTTAAATGTCTGCCCTTAAGACTATAGCTTTTGTGGGTAATCATGTATAAATAAATTACATCAAAATAAAACTATGATTTTTCCGTCATTTTAACCCCTAACTGAAAGGTGTTCAACAGATGAGAAAGGAAATCAAGTTCATGGCTCACTTTTTCTCTAATGTGGTAATGTCATAGTTTTATTGATGCATTAATTTGTATAAAGTGCAGTAACAAAATAAGAAATGTGCTTTGAAGAGCTATGTACAATTCTGAGATAAAGATAAATTACTGATTATATTCTCAATAGCTTTTTAATCTGTGGAAACTGTAATATACATTAGCAATTTATTGATCTAGGTAAAACAGTGATTTTTCTCCCCTTAGATCAACCTAGATTTAAGGAGTCTATAATAACATAAGCTTGCGATATCACAAAGTTTAAGGAAAAAAATATGTGCTATAGGCTAAATCCAGATACAGTCAGGTGTTGAGCATTATTCCTGGCTTCAAAATAGGATGTATCTGTTTCATCCTCTGGTTGGGGTATGAAAGGCATAGTTTGATGCTGCAGATTTTCCCAGTCCACATCACTGAAGAGAGGGTGGCATTTCAGCTCTTAGGAAAAATATGAAACAAAACAGAAATATGACAACACCATTATCTAAATAAGTACTGTTTTATAAGAATTAAGAAGAGAATGTTTTATACACCATTATCTTAATAAGTACTGTTTTATAAGAATTAAGAAGAGAATGTTTTATACATGCCTCATTCTACTTTATTATGCCAGTTTCAGAAACACTTGTTTAATCTGTCTCTCTAGTTAACAACATACTATATACCAGCACATACTGTGTTATCTTAAAAGTATACCACTTGGCATGACAGGTGTGTTTGGTCTGTATTTGTCAAGTGAGTGAATACATTAATTTACTTTAATAGAAGCCTAACTCTCTCACTGCATCTTCTCACAGGATCCCTGACTTGATGCATGATAAGAGATTGGCCTACCTCCTACCCCCCATCCAGCTTCCACACCACAATCTTCCAGGAGTAACGCCCAATTTCTCATTCTAGGTACTTAATACCTGTTTATATCTCTGCAATCCCTAGTACTATTATCTATTGCATTAGATCTAGCTTTAGCATGAAGCTCATCCTCCACTCCCTTGCCTTCTTTCCTCTTCTCCATCCTTATCCTTTCTTGCTAGTTGCAACATATACACCCATGATATTTCTGACACGCTATCTTCATGGCTCCTGGATTCCACTGACTAGTTTCTGTACACATAGCAAGTAGCTAGCGGTATGGTCACATCTGGAATCATTACTGCTCCAGTTACAAGATCTCAACTTTCCTTACCTTTTCAACTACGTTATCAGAACCTGCTATCTTTCTTATTTTCTTCTACCTACTAAAATGAAATTATGCTTTTAATCACACTGTGATATTTAGTTTCTAGACATAAATTGCCCTCTCCTCAACCCTTTACTTGATAAGGCAATAATAAAAATATTGGCAAACAATAAACTGACAGTTAAGATAGCAAGTCCTTTGTAAAAAAGTCACCAAATTTAAGAAAATATTGGGAGGAGACTACACAGGAAAGAACTGTGTGACTGGTTTGGGGGTGATGGGTTGGGAAATCAAATGCCAAAAGTTGGTTCTCTCCCTAAACTAAAAGACTGGTAGGAAAGGGGATTAAAAATGGCAATAAATAAATAAAAAATAATTCACATTTTGAAAATTTGTCTTCTAATTATTCAAAATAAATAACTGAGCATGGATGACTTTAAAAATTATTTTAGAACAGCGGTTCTCATCTGGAGTGATTTTGTCAAAGACATTTAGCATTGTCTGGAGATATTTTTGGTTGTCACAACCTTTATCACTTTAAACAAATCAAGGGTAAAAGGGCTTATAAAACAAAACCTTACCTTTCATTCCCGCTCTCATTGTATCATCAATGGTTAAAAGTGCTTCGACTGCACTTTGAGCATTATCAGACAACTTTTCATCACCTTCTGGCCAAGGAATATCTACAAATATTAGTTTGTGAATCATTTCAGAACAGTAATACACAGACATTAATGAATCAATATATTTTTTTTAATTTTTATTTTTTTTATTATTTTTTTTTATTTTTATTTATTTATTTTATTTATTTATACAAGCACTGGGTACAGTGAGAAGCGCGGGAGGGTGAGAGAATTCACCAGAGCCAGAGCGGAGAACAGAACAGGCAGAGTGACGAAGTACACTGCTGAGGGGAGCAGCGGGCGGCAGGAGAGGTCTGCGCACCATGTGGGACCCTCCTCCGGTGGCCGGGGAGCAGCCGGGGATCGAACTGGCGCTGCAGAGGCTGTGGGCAGCTTTGCAACCCAGTGCTCAACCGCTGCGCCACCGGGGAGGCCCTTATTATTTTTTTTAAACATTTTTTCTTTTTTTATAGAGGCATGTTTTTATTTATTTATTTATTTGTTTGCTTGCTTGTTTTGTTTATACATGCACTGGGTACAGTCAGAAGCGCGGGAGGGTGAGAGAATTCACCAGAGCCAGAGCGGGGAGCAGAACAGGCAGAAGGACTGAAGCACACTGCTGAGGGGAGCAGCAGGTGGCAGGAGAGGTCTGTGCACCATGTGGGACCCTCCTCAGGTGGCCGGGGAGCGGGGAGCAGCCGGGGATCAAACCGGCGCCTCAGAGGCCGCGGGCAGCTTCGCAACCCAGCGCTCAACCGCTGCGCCACTGGGGAGGCCCTAATGAATCAATATTAATAGGAGAAAATGAATCACCTCTTTTCAGAATATTCTGGAACACTTGTTGTGGTGTTTCATCATTAAAAGGGGGAATTCCTGTCAGAAACTCAAATAAGCAAACTCCAAGTGCCCACCAGTCTACCGCAGGTCCTAGAAGTCAAAAGGAAGTAGCTAAACTTGCAAGCATTTTCTACAAATACTTGATCAATTAAAACATTAACATATGGATACATATGGACAGTCAAAGCATTCATCAAAGTTTTTCTCTGGCTTCATAAGGTGCAAAGCCCCAACTCACCTGCATGAGGGAAAGGCATTAATTTCCTCATTTTCCAAGAAGTTTAGCCATTAACACAGCCAGTTAAAACTAAGTTAAAGCAATCTTTAGCTAAAGCAATCTTCTTTCATTTTTAAGTAACTTCTGATATGTATTTTTTTAAATCCTATAACACAACCAAGGATTGCATTCAAGCTAAAGATTATTCTCTAAAACAGTACTTCTCATTTTTACCTTCAGAAACAATAGCTTTTAGATGACTGTGTATCCCATTTCTTTCCCAAAAGCATGAGACAAAGTAGCATAATTTAGAGGATAGCCTGGTGTTTTAATGTGGCTTTATTCTTTCTAAGAACATGAAGGAATAAATTAGCTTAACCAAGGAAATTCACTTACAGCTTGAGGAGGTAACTAGGAGATGTCAAAAAATAAGTAAAACTGATTTCTAAATAACATCTGTTTGGAAGCATCTTTACATATAAAGATATTTTAATCTTGTAATGTGATTTGGTACTTTCGTTCAGTTGTCTAGGAATAAAGTGTTTCTAAGTAGAGGTATTTATGTTAATAAGCCTCTTAATATATATTAACTTCAATATAAATTGAGAGTAGGAATTCTTGTCTAGTGCTAAATTTGCCTGAAAAATCAGTTTAAAATCAATTTCTCAAAATTCATAATGTGGCTAAGCAATTGCCACTATTCCACTTTAAAACAAGTAGGAAAGCATTGTGGAGTCTGCCGTTAGAAGACAAATGTCTTTTCATTTGCAAGCCACATAATTCACCGCCATTAGAAGACAAATACCTTTTCATCTGCAAGCCACATAAGTCCACCTTCTCCAAGAAACACAAGATGCATATAATACAGGTAGGCTTCACTACAATTGTTATCACCATAAAACACATATAAACCACCTCTATTAGTAGATCTTCTAATCAGCACTTAGAAAGAGATATTCTAGTAGATTAGCTAATATAACCAAGTGACAGAAAAGGGAAAATCAGGGGGAAAAAAAAAAACCCATACATTTAAATTTACCTTACTTAGGTTAGTAATTAGGTTAGTGCTATTTTGGCTGAACATTTTTCCCAGTACAGCCAAAATATGCTCATGTCAAAAACATACGTGATTTCTCCATGGATATGTCATACATACCCATTTACTTGAGCCAAAGTCTAATAAGATCACATATTATAAATTTTAGTAATTATATGTTATCATTTAGAGAACTAGAACAAGCTTATTGTGCACTGTTGACTTTCTAATCCAAAACCCACTTCTGTAATTTGTGGGGCTATATTGATATGGTTTCACCTATTACCTAAAAATAATGGAATCAAATGATTTAGAAAATTCAAGTCCTTTTGTATCTGCTGCAATATTAATATTTTATTAAAATAAAATATATTAATGTATTGATATTTTTATTGTTTCCTCAGTTGCAACAAAAAGACTATCTTTACTCTATACTTGTTAAAAGTTGGAAAATATGCCACAGGCCTAGACTTGTTTTCACAGAAAAGAGCAACCTCTCTGGATGTCTTTCTGCTCAGAAGACATTCATTTTTGTACTTCATAAGTGAGCTGAAAGGAAAGCAAATTGTTTTATGCAAGTGATCTAGTTATACTTTGTTTAGTTTAATATGCTTTGCCATGTTACTTTCTAGAGAAATTCACTTACCTGAGTTAAGACACCCTGCATGTAAAAAAACAGTATTTAGGTACATTGTATTAAAATTATGAGTTCATTTTCTCATCATTCATTCAACTAGATACCAGGTTTTGTGCCAAATATAAATATGATATAAATAGGATATAAATATGAGAATCGAGAAAAAGCTTTTACCAAGGAGACAGCAGCCTACTTTGGTAGAGACAATACAGATCATTTTAATACAATGTTAAGATATCAGAACAAAAAAATACAGACAATGCTATGGGAAACTCAGATCAGAATTCCTAAGTCCACTGGGCCGAGGGGTAAAACTACTAAGGGAAGATTAGAGAAAGCTTAGGCTGGTGCTTCTCAACATGTTGTTTAGAAATAGAGATCATTAAAACAAGAAATAAAGGCGCTTGTATGACTGCCTCATGGGCCTGGGATTCGGGGGAATAGCTGTTTTAAAAAAATTATTATAAATTACTTTAACTATATCAAATTATTTTATAAAAAATAAAATTTTAAAAATATGTCATTAGGTAATGAGGTTACTAGATGTCCCACTAAAAGAGAAGATCCTACAAAATCTTTACATTTGAAGTTTACTTCACAATATATTTTAAGTTAGAGTAAATATAAATTATAGGAAATGAGCTAGCAAATTTGTGACTTAGCAAAAAGGCGGTATACAAAAGTAAGCTAAATGCCTTTTTTAAAAAAAAATTATTTATTTATTTATACAAGCACTGGGTACAGTCAGAAGCGTGGGAGGGTGAGAGAATTCACCAGAGCCAGAGCGGGGAACAGAACAGGCAGAGTGACGAAATACACTGCTGAGGGGAGCAACGGGCATGGCAGGAGCGGTCCGTTGTGCCATGTGGGACCCTCGCCAGCGGCTGGGGATCGAACCGGTGCTGCAGAGGCTGTGGGCAGCTTTGCAGCCCAGTGCTCAACCACTGAGCCACCAGGGGACGCCCTAAATACCTGAGATTCTTCAACCTTTTAAACCTTAAGAAACTTTTATATTTAGAAGATAAGGAAAGAAATGAGAACTAGCAATAGAAGTAAAAGGAATGAGACACGGAGAGACTGGTAGATTTGACCATAAGGAATCATTGGTGATCGTTAACAAAAGTTTTAGTTAAATATTAGGGATAACAATCATTTTGCTAGAGCAATAATTAGGCAAAGAAAAGAGTCAACTTTGAGAAGTTAGGCAGTATTCCAGAGAAGCCAAGGGTAAAAACATTTTCAGGCTCAGGGAAAACATCAGAAAAGAAATAAAAAGAGGCTTCGGCCATAAAGCAGGGAAAATGGGATGGATGATCACCAAAGAAACCCAAAGCAAAGAGAAGCAATTAATATCAATATGTAGAAGCAGGGCCTCCCTCGTGGCACAAGGGGTTAAGCACAGCACTGTAAAGCTATCCACAGCCTCTGCAGCATGAGTTCGATCCCCGACCAGGGAGCTACCCACATGGCACAGCAGACCGCTCCTGTCTTGCCTGCTACTCTCCTCAGCAATGTATTTCAGTCTGTTGTTCTGCTCCCCACTCTGTCTCTGATGAATCCTCTCACCCTCCTGCACCTCTGGCCCATACCCCAGCTCTTGTATGCCTAAATAAAATAAATCTTTCCAAAAAAAAAGATATTAAATTTAAACAAAAGATGTAGAAGAAGCATTCATGTTATGGGTTTAATTTATGTTTCCTTGAAAAAAGATCTTTTAAAGTCCTACCTCAAAAATTACATAGTTATGTAAATGATTGTCAGATCAATATAATTTGAGAAAAAAGACAAAATACAGTGATAGATAACAGTTCAAAAACTCAAGATGTATGCCTTACCATGGGCTCTGCCCAACAACAGCTCAGGTGCAAGATAGTCTGGGGTTCCTAGAATTCGCCCATCATCCACTGGGGCTGCCCCTCTTCTCACACTCTTTGGAGTTCGGTATGGAGTCCCTGACTTGACTTGTTGTGGGGTCTGCTAATTTAAGAGACAATAAATATCTTAATTACTCTCACAGTGAGTTGCTTCTCAGCCTTTTGGCTAAGGTCAAGTGTAATTACTCTAACAGTGAGACATAACGCCAAAACAAAAGTCATGCTGTGCATAAGACTTGGTTTTCTATTTAGAACTTAGTGACTTAGAAGTCCCTTATGTCATCCTGTTCGATCTGTTTCTAAGGTATAATGATACCTATCTACTGATATCAGAGTCATGTGAGACAAAAAATAACTTGATCAATTTGGAAACCCTTAGTCAATTTGGAAAATGGACTTATCACTAATTACAATTAAAAGAAGTCCTTATGCCTAATGAAATTCAGTAACTTAGGTAACATCAATTATTTCAGTAAGACCTGGATATGTAAGAAACAATAAAAAAAATTACCAGAAAGTTTTCTTTACAGTTTGGATTAATATAAGCTTAAGTCACTGAGGGAGGCGGTGCCTAAATAATGACTGAATTATTAGGAAAATATATATACAAGAATTAAATATAAATAGCTATATGCAAACTGACATTTAAGTTTTATGTTACTTTGTTGTCTCACACGACTCTGAGATCAGCAGGCATCATTATACTTTATAGACAGATAGAAAACAGGATGACATAAGGGACTTCTAACTCACTGAGTTCTGAATAGAAAACCATCTAATCAATAATAAGAAAAAAGTCTTATTATTGTAAATTTAGAATTTATAATATTAAGATGTCTCTCCAAAAGAAGAAAAAAAAAGAAACTTTGGGCTTACAAAGGTTTAGAAAATAAGACTTGCAATATCTATTTTCAATAACAACAAAAAAATCATCTAAATATGTCATTAGAAGGTAGTAAGGTAGAGTGGACTTCAATTTTGTAACTCACAGAGTTACTGCGGTCAAGTGAAAATAATGTGATTGTAAACATGTAAACCTGTGATTGAAAATGTCTGAAAGTATATAAAGCAATACAAATGAAGGAGGCATGGTATTTCAGAATATTATTACCAGCTTTACTTTTCTACATTAAAACTTTCAACAACCTATAGATTCCCAACAAGCAGAACTATATGATTACTATCACCATACAGTCTAAGTGAGAGGTTAAGTGTCTGGTCATAATAGTTTATTCTTCTAAAATCCAAAGGACAAAGTGTTAGAAAATTATAACATACCTGATATGGAATACAAGATCTTCCTTTTTGAGTCGGGGTTATAGCCATGGGATATGAACCATTATAAGCAAAGGAAACATCCATTGCATCTAAGGAAGAAACACTCATTTTGGATGGTTCTGAGTTATTGGATAGGCTAATGTGACTGTTAAAACTTCGAAAAGCTACAGCATTTCTTTTAGAGGAAGTTAATGTTTTCAGCACCTCCAAAGAAGGAGCTAACATTTTTTGGTTACTGTCCTGCACAGTGAGATTCTCATCTTCTTTTGGTAAGGTGTTTTCTTGGCTGCCGGGTGATACAGTAAGTAGGTCTTCAATATTTGATCTTTCAAAAGAGGACTCCTTGATGCTTTTATCTGGCTCTAACAACTGACTTTCCAACGGACTCTCCATTACAAAATTTCCAGGAAAAGGTGGATCAGAGTCCATAGAATTAGTTTTAGGAGGTCTATCATCATTAGAACAAAGAAAACTAGAACTTAAGTAGTCCTTATTATTTTTGTCACAATCTTCATCCAGTTCACACATCAGATTTTTTGCTATCATTGGGATAGGTGATTTTTCTGGTGTTTGTTGTTTATCAGTAAAAGAACTGGCCATGTTCTTACTAGCACAGTCATTTTGCTGACTTCTATTTGCTGATAACTTAAGATCCTGGATTTCAGTTGTTAAGCCTGTACTTCGATTTGTATCACAATCTCTTATTTCATTACTACGCTTACAGTCTACACAATTTTTTTTATTCTGTATAATTTCCTGACAAGGGCTGGAGTCAACCAACTCAAAATTTCTTTTAAAACTTTTTTTCCCAAGGTGCTCTTCAGACATATCACTGGTATCCATAGCCCACCGATTTGACTGATGAAAATCAGACTGTCTCGTGTCAGTGACCATGTTACTTAGATCCAGTTCCCTTTTTTCCCAAGAAACTTCCTCAGACAAGCAGTTTTTAGAAAGGTTTTCACAAGAGCTTCCAGTGGCAGGAATGGCAGTACTATTATGAATGGGAGAAAGTACTAACTCAGGATCTGTTTCATTGAAACTTTTGGTCTCAATGGAATTTGTAGATTTTATACACAAAGGCTTTTCAACTGTATTCCAACTCATCACTGTAGAACCCAATGCATCATCACTTTCCTAAGAGGAGGCAAAAAATAAAAAAGAAACATTTTTTAGATTTATAAAGCTGAGATTCTTTAACTTTTTAAATCTCTGCCCACCTAGATGGGATAAAACGAACCCTTGAACCACTATGCTCCTTATTTTCATTTTCTAGTGGATTAAAAGGACAATGTAACAGAACTAAAATCAATACAAACAAGCATAATAACTACACACATTGTTTTGGGTAAAACTCTGCTCTAAAACTAAATAAATTATTCTATAAAGCTTATTTGATAGTGTATTACATGTCATTTAAATAGAAGAAATAAGTAGGCAACATATTCAGGCAAATTTGGGGGTAAGGTTACCACACATACACACACACTCTCTCTCTCTCTCTCTCTCTCTCTCTCTCTCTGTAATAGGGGTATAGGAGATTCTGTTTTAAATCCCAAAATGTACAGGCCTTGAAACAGAGTTAATGGAAACCCCAAACTAAACATGTTGTTTATGTAATCATGTACCACATCGTACAGGTAAAATAAAATCAAGTTGATAAAGATGAAGCTAAATTAATGGTAGCTTATAACTAAAAACCCAATATTATAGGAGTTAAGATCCATTGTCAACATTCATTGTGAACTGATGAAGAATTGGCAACAAACGCTTTTTTTAAAAATTGAATTCTACTATCTGCAGGTGCTCTTGTGTGACTGGACTTTGCATAAAACATTGCAAATTGGCACATGGTAAACAGGACTTTTACAGAAGTACTCAATTACAGTGAAGGCTCAATAAACTCTAATAGTGCCTATCTTTGATATGGGAAAATAAAACGTTACCAACTTACTGAGCAATAATAAGCAGAACTTAGTCATGAACAAAACAAAAATTCCTGAGTTACAACTCACTGATTTACAAGTAATATAGAGAAAATTATACACTTGGGAATCAGAACAAGGTTTATCAGGGGTCCTTTGTGACCCATTGCTATTCCTCTGATCACAACTTGAGAAGCAGGGCTAGAATCCAATCATTGCAATCCCCAGAGATATAAAAATGGGTGGGAAAAAATATGAAGCTGTACATAGCTTGAAATACAGTATAAAATATACTTTATTGAGTGGGAAAGGGGTGAAATAATAGTAGGAAAGGAAATATGGTTTATTCTGTAGTATATATTATCTATATAGCAGCCTATATGAAAAATTGAAAAAGTATTAAGAAAGCTTGATTTGGGCCTCCCTGGTGGCAGAGGGGTTAAAGTCTCTGCACTATCAAGCTATCGCCAGCCACTGCAACATGAATTAGCTACCTGGCCAGGGAGCTAACCCACATGGCTCAGCAGACCTCTCCTGACCCGCCTGCTGCTTCCCTCAGCAGTTTATTTCAGTAGATCCGTCTTTTCTGCTCCCCACTCTGTCTCTGGTGAATCCTCTCACCCTCCCACACGTCTGGCCTGTACCTGGGTTCTTGCATAAAAATAAAGCAACTCTTTAAAAAAAAAAAATTTAACAATTTGGAGTCTCATCATATCATCAAGCAATAATTTTATGTTTGAGAAATGAAGTATTTCAAAAGAAATTGATGGATTGTACAGGAAATAATAATTTTTGATAATATCTTGACTGCCATTCATGTAACAGATTCATTTCCTTACAGAACTTACATGAAAGGATTTAAGGTGTTTATCATTAATTTGACATACATAATTAATTTTGGTTCAGATTTAAGGTGTTTAAATTAGTGTGTTCAGATAAAATAAAGGTGTTCAGATAAATGCTACTCTAACCTGGCCATCCTTTTCCCATCTGGGACTGCTGTGGCATTCAGATTCCACACTGGATATAAAGGTGTGGGACTGACTGCTGGCACTTGATGTAGCCAATCTTTTCCTAGACTGGAGTAGATTAGAAGTTAGACATTTCACAGGCATTCCAGGGTTTGAGGCAACTGTTTCAAGACCTGTAAAGCAGAGAAAATATTGATTTACTGATGCTTAAGTCACATCTTTCTTAGTTCTTTACTGAACCTCAATCTTTACAGATAATTAGGCTAAGTTCTAAGCATTGTGTGTCAGAACTATTTCAATATAAACATCCAATCCACACAGATGGCTTTAGGTGTTTTGGGCATCCAAGAACAGTTCTGAGTGTTAAAAATAAAAGAACTCTCGGGCCTCCTGGGTGGCCTAGGGTTAAGTATCAGCACTATCACCGTTAAGGCCTGAGTTCAATCCCTGGCCAGGGAGTTAACCCACATATGGCACATCCTGTCTTATCTGCTGCTCCCCTTATCTCTGGCCTATATCTCAGCTCTTCTACACAAAAAAAATTAAATCTTTAAAAATAAAAATTAAAAACTCTCAACATTGGTAAAGCAAAAATCAGGACAAGGGAACCAATTTACAATTTTAAATGCTTTTTTAATAAAGGGACATTATTGAAGTGTTCCTGTCAGAAATGTCCTTCACATGATGAAATATAGGACTGCTACAGGCTATTCAAATATTTGTATTTCAAGTTTATTGTTATTAGAAATTTAAAATATGAAAAAATTTTATTCCTCAAAGGATACACTTACAGGAATAAACTCTTTTATACTCACATGACTTCAGTAATTTGCTAGAAAAAGGAGTAGTGACCTTTTGATCGACAGACATAGGACAAATTAGTCCTTGAGAAAGCTGCGATGTTTCAGATACATGGGTTGAAAGAATATTTGCAGAGTCTTGATTTTTTTCTGCAATTGGTGTGAACTATTAAAGAGACAAAAGCAAATACTAAGATTTACCTTTACAAAAATACCATCTAAGAGCAAAGACTATTATACTACCTAAGTACATAAACTGTTAAAGTTACTCAAAATGCTTGCTATTTTACCTTATTTTGAACATTTATTTAAAAAGTTTTTAAATTTTAAATAATTATGAATTAAATAATTATGTAAATAAATTTTTTACATTAGTTTTTTTAAAATCAAATACTTACAAATCCCAAAGAACTAATGAGAGACAGTATTTGTCCAGGGGTTCTTGAATAATCTTGCCTTGGTTTAGCCATTGATGGTGTTGTAAGGATATCCATCATATTAATATCTACATAAAGAAAGAAAAGTATACAAAATTGTTTAGAAATTGCAACTGTCACTGAATAAATCAATGATCATCTGAACTTTGCCCTATTTCCACATTATTAACATTAACTACAAAAATGGCTTCTGCAAGACAAATATACCCAGGGAAACCACCATGCAATAAAGCAAACACATATAACTAAGTAACTGATTGAAAGTCATGATATGATAGAACAGAGTCTTAATCTGGAAAGAATAGAACACAGTATAATGAGGCAAAGTCTTAACTTTTTACAAAGCATTTAGTCACTAGACAAAAATGTTATCCAAGTGGCAACAAAATACTTCTCGGCAAATCAAATATATATGTAAAATTGACTATAGTAAATAGAATGGATTATTTGGTCTAAAAGTGAAGAAGATCCTGTCACATGCTACAATATACAAGAACCTTAAGGACATTATGATACATAAATAAGTCAGTCACAAAAAGACAAATACTGAATGATTCTACTTATATGAGGTATCTAAAGTAATAAACTCATAGATACAAAAGCGGAATTGGAGTTGCCGGGGCTGGGAGGGAGGGAGAAATGAGGGTACAGAGTTTTAATTTTGCACCATGAAAAGTTCTAGAGATTTCTTGCACAACAAAGTGAAAACAGTTAACATTTCTCAACTATACATTGAAAAAGGGTTAAGATGATAAATTTCATGTTACATTTTTTAGTACAATCAAAACACAAAAGCCAAATACAGAAAAAAAATCTGTATACTCACAGATATTTCTCATAGCATTATATTAACCTATATGTACAATGTTTGAGAGCCATTATTGAACCAATCGTGAGATACTTTATATTTTTTTTAGATTGATTTTATTTATTTATGCATATAAGAGCTGGGGGGTAGGTCAAAGGTGTGGGGGTGGGTGGCCGAGAGGGTTCACCAGAGAGAAAGTGGGAGCAGAACAGGTGGATCTACTGAATATACACTGCTGTGGGGAGCAGTGGGGGAGACAGGGAAGGTCTGCTGCACCATGTGCGTTATTGAACTCTGTGCTGCAGTGGCTGCAGATAGCTTCCTAGTGCTGAGACTTAATCCCTTGAGCCACCTGGGAGGCCTGAGATACTTTTTTTTTTTTAAAGATTTATTTATTTATTATTTATTTATTTATTTATTTATTTATTTATACAAGCACTGGGTACAGTCAGAAGCGCGGGTGGGTGAGAGAATTCACCAGAGCCAGAGCAGGGAGCAGATCAGGCAGAAGGACCGAAGTACACTGCTGAGGGGAGCAGCGGGCGGCAGGAGAGGTCTGCGCACCATGTGGGACCCTCCTCCGGTGACCGGGGAGCAGCCGGGGATCGAACCGGCGTCGCAGAGGCTGCGGGCAGCTTCGCAACCCAGCACTCAACCACTGCGCCACCTGGGGAGGCCCCTGAGATACTTTTTAAAAGAACTATTAAACTGTTAAAAAAAACAATTTAAATTCACCAATAATATCAACCCAACAAAATTTTTTTCTCACGATTTTTTCCAATATTGTATCCAATATCTTATCTTTCCAATATCTTATCCAAGGGAGTTAGATTTGCCTCACAATTAAATGTCCAGATTTGGTGCCTCCCTGGTGGAGCAAGGGGTTAAGTCTCAGTACTAACAAGCTATCGGCAGCTACTGCAGCACAAGTTCAATCCCCAGGCAGGAAGCTGACCCACATGGCTCAGCAGACCCCTCCTCTCTCACCGGCTGCTCCCCTAGCAGTGTATTTCAGTAGATCCATCTGTTCTGCTTCCCACTCTGTCCCTGGTGAATCCTTCAAACCACCCCTCCCCCCAGTCCCCGCACCTCTGGCCTGCAACCTAGTTCTTATACGCATAAAAAAATAAAATAGGGCCTCCCCAGTGGTGCAGCGGTTGAGCGCTGGGCTGCGAAGCTGCCCGCAGTCTCTGCAGTGCCGGTTCGATCCCTGGCCACCGGCAAGGGTCCCACATGGCGCCCAGACCTCTCTTGCTGTGCCCGCTGCTCCCCTCAGCAGTGTATTTCGTCAGTCTGCCTGTTCTGCTCCCTGTTCTGGCTCTGGTGAATTCTCTCACCCTCCTGTGCTTCTGACTGTACCCAGTGCTTGTATAAATAATAAATAAATCTTTAAAAATAAATAAATAAATAAATAAAATAAATCTTGAAGAAAAAAGTCCAGATTTTAGAAAGAGAATGTGATATATACCTTTATAGTATAGTATGGAACATCCCTAGTGGCATCTCATCTGTTCTGAAATAATACTATTAGTGCTGTGAAATGGCTGAGTAATCAGGTGAACTGGGATCAATTAAAAAAAAATATAAACAGCCCACCTCAGTTCAGTCAGATTAACCAAACATATGAAAAACTATAAAATACGTTTTGAAACATTTTCATGTATTCAAACATTTTTGAAATTTACATTTGCAGATGAAGAATTATAGGTCTGTATTTATTTTCAAATAATTATAATCCCCATGGCTTATAATTTATAAACCCAATTTTGGTTTCTGTTCATTTAATTCAATAGATAACATGACATGCTACCAAGTTGATAAGCCATATTTATTCATGAGTCTATAATAAACTTAAGTAATTCCTAGTTCTCCTTATTATAATATGCTGCTAAAAATAATTTTATTTATATATTTCTTTTGAATCATTTTTGTATCATTCCAGATACAAGTTATTAATTTGGTCTTACAGAATTAAAACCTTTTGTTTCTCAAAACACCTTGGTAGATTTCCTTTGGAAAGCAATGTGCTAATTTACCACTTCCCTAGAAAACTTAGTATGATTTATGTTTTTTGCAGATTAACAATGGATCTTCAGTTTTTTTCTAGCTGAATAGTGTAAAGTTGACTCATTCATTATTTTTCAAATTAGTTATTTCTTTCATTACTATTAGTGAGATTAACAAATTCCTATATGTAAATTGTGTGTGTATTTTCTCTGGTTCTTGTTTATCAAGGTCTTGGTGATGGTAATGTAAATTTACCTATTAACTGCTTATCATGGTATAGTTATTATAATCATTTTATGGATAATTGGTCACAAACAGTTTCAGTAGAACTGAATTCAATTCAGAAGAACAGAAATTCTGAGTCTTCACTGAAAATCCAAAAATCTTCAAGGGACCTTTGAGGATTCAAGAATAATTTTCCCTACTCTTCATCTTAAAATATTATAAAAGAAAAAAGAAAATATTATTACACCTGCCTAGTCTATTTTAGAACAAATAATCATCAAATTTTATTGATTATAAACTACAAAGAAATAGTATATAAGTTAATGAAATATAATATCTATTGTTTATTTGATTTTTAGAAAGATACTTACCTGCTAGTTTCCTTACCTCTATTCAAAGTAACTTTGGAAAGGCCAAAATCTGTTAGTTTAATATGACCTTCATTAGAAATAAGCATATTATCTGGTTTCAAATCCCTGTACATACAAAAGACAAATAACAGATACCTAAAAAAGAGCTAATATTGATTTTAGAGCTACTGGGGGAAAAAGAAAAAGTTACAGAAAAATCAAATCCTATTTATTTTCTCTAAAATAAAGTACTCAGGGCCTTCCTGGTGGTACAAGGGGTTAAGTTGCAGCACTATGAAGCTATAGGCAGCCACTGCAGCAGGTTCAATCCCCGGCCAGGAAGCTAATCTACATAGCTCAGCAGACCTCTCCTCTCTCGCCTGCTGCTCCCCACAGCAGTGTATTTCAATCAGTCCACCTGTTCTACTCCCCACTCTGTCTCTGGTGAAGCCTCTCATGCCCCTGCCCGCCACCCACTCCTCTGGCCTACACCCCAGTTCTTGCATGCATAAATAAATAAAATAAATCTTTAAAAATAAATAAATAAACAAACAAACAAATAAATAATGGCACTCATTAAGCCTTTGAAACTGTGGAAATGGATCTTCAAAAGTGAAGCATCTTTCATATATTTGAGTACAAAAGAAAGCTAAGTGACTAAATGCTAGATTATCATTCACATTACTCACTAGATATTCCATTAAAACAAATAAGAGTGATTAGATAAAATAAATCTCAAGTCAGATCAAAATCACATTTACAAAAAAGGGTATATTAAGCCTTTATATAGCTGAGTCACCTAATCTGATTTCTTTGCACTGAGCGAATCATTGTAAATCACTGGGATTATAAAATATAGCACTTCTGTTTGATGATAAAGGAGTGGAAAAAGGTTCAATATTCTTCACAATAAAATAATAAATAAAATGCTCATGGTAAAAGCAACATATTCAGAAAATGCAGGCAGACAAAAGAAGAGTTGATGAAATTCCTAACTCACATGTTAGTTTTAAACTATAGATAACTTTGTTATATGGGGAAATGGTTATGCAAATATTTAGTATTTAGTTTGATTACTTGTATTTTTAGTAACACTTTATAGAAAAGTTGTCTTTACCTATGGATGATTCCATGTCTATGAAGGTAGTCTAGAGCCAGTGCTACTTCAGATATGTATTTCAAAGCCATGTCTTCATCAAAATAACCATATATATGTAGGAGAGACTTGACATCTCCACCAATAAGATATTCCATTACCTAATAAAAAAGAACATAAATATTGCAAAATAAAACCATTATAATTGCCTTAAAATATACTATTTAAATATTAAGTATACATTTTTAGCTTGGACCTATAAGAACCACATTTTCTTGGTATCATTCAGTATACATTAATTCCAGGTTTGCTCATGTTGCCATATAGTTTTTTTTTTGCCACATTTGCTTTCCTCTCCACATATATGAATATAAAATATTTGTTATTTGTTAACATAATTGCTATACGCATAAAACACAATTGTTAACCTCACTAACATATTTACCTTATATGCATTTGTGTTTGTTCAGATGAAATAGTCTAATTAAAAAAAACTATATGAAAATATTGGCAGGTAATATTAAAGTGGAAGTATTTTTGCTGAAAAATTAGAAAATAAAGTTGAAGAGATCATGACCTGTTCACTTCTAAATTCTTCATCATGACCTTATTAATAGCACATCTTCTCATCCCCCATCCCCATCATTTTGCAAATGTTGAGAAAATGAATCCAAGCAACGAATCAAAGGATGCTACAACCATTACATGAAAGGGGGCCTGGAGATAGGAAATGGATGAATCATATTTGATAAAGTGTTGATGACTGATGACTGGTGAAACTGGGTGACAGATAAATGTGAGTTCATTACATTAATCTTTCAACCTTTGTTATACTCAAATTGTTTATATAATAAATGTTTTTAGGGCCTTCCCAGTGGCGCAGTAGGTTGAGTGCACACTGTGAAGCTGTCTGTAGCCTCTGCAGCGCTGGTTCAATTCCTGGCCAGCCAGGGAGATTCCCACATGACGTGGCAGACCTCTTCTGTCGTGCCCACTGCTCCCCTCAGCAGTATATTTTGGTCATCTGCCTGTTCTGCTCCCTGCTCTGTCTCTGATGAATCCTTTCACCCTCCCATGCCTCTGGCCTGTACCCCAGCTCTTGTATAAAAAATAATTAAAAAAAAATTTAAAAAACAATAAATAAATGTTTTCGTCCTTATATTCCTTGTGCCTAGTATAATACCTAGCTTGCAAGTACACTATTTGCTCTCATTGTGGTTAGGTTTGGTCATGCCTTATCTCTACCTCAAAGTAGTTTTTTGTTTCTAGGAAATCTTTCATTTATGTAAACCGTGCTTCTCACACTTCAATGTTTGTGGGATCTTGCTAAAATTCAGATTTTGATTTAGCAGATTTAGACTGTACTTGAGATTCTGTGTTTCTACAAAGCTAACAGATAATGTTGACACTGCTTGTCTGTAGAGCACAGTTTCAGTATCAAAGATTTAAGCTGATGATGAAGTCAGTAGACAAGATATGGCCCCCTACCTGATTCCAGGAATAGAAAATAAAAAATGCCATGTTGCACACTGATGTGAAGATATAAATATTGGGGTGGGGTGGAGGATCGCCTAAATTGAAGAATTCCACCCAGTTATTCAAACTCCACTAGCATTGGGGAAACTCCTGGCTGCCACAGTGTTATGTCAGGCTTGATGCTGCAGCCAGTCATGGCAATGGGGCAAGCACCCACACTCTGCATATGAACAGTATATAGTAAAGGCAATATAGAATTAAAGGATTAAATAGCCCCCACTTCCTTTGCAATAGCATGAAAGTTTCCCTCTTTTTCTGTAGAGACAGATAGTAAATATTTTAGACTTGTGAGCCATATGAACTATTACAACTACTTCACTCTTCAGTATAGCAGGAGCATAGCCATGGGTCACCACTTGCCAACCACATACTTAGAAAATGGAAAGTTGATTATTCTTATTTATTATTCTCAGAAGAACCTTTAGAGTTTGTAGTCAAGTCATCTGCTAGTTCCATCTTTTCCTGTGCCCCCTCAGCTCATTAGAATTAATAGAATGTAAGCTACTTCTTTATAAAGCAAGTCTCAAAATTCACTGTTTCCTAACAGCTTTCCTTACTGTACACCAAACTTTATATCAAGTATTTTTATGTCTCATGCTAATCAAATATTTTAGCTCTATGTACCACCACTGTTCTACATGCTTTCTATTAACCCACGAAAATTAACCTCAACCTTTGAGGTAGGTACTGTTATGTCCATTTTGCAAATGAGAGGTATGAGAGTTAATTTTATACATAAACTTGGCTAGACCATGGCACTCAGATATTTGTTCAAACAATCACAACATTTCTATGAAGCTGTTTTTTAGATGAGACTAATGGATCCATTGCTAGATTTTTGAATAAAAGTTGATTAGCCCCCTTGTGGATGGGCCTTATACAATCAAGTTGAAGGTCTTAAGAGAAAAAAAACCTAAGGCATCATCACTTCACCACCACTAAGAGGAAATTCTGCCTCTAGACTGCTGTGAGAATTGAGCTGCAAAATCAATTCTTCTTTAGGCTACAGCCTACTGATGTATGATATACCCTGTAGATTTCAGATTTGCCAGTCCTCACAATCACATAGGACAATTCCTTAAAATAAATTCCCCTCTATCTACACACACGTGAGCCCCCCACCCCATTACATCTTTTTCCCTGGAGAGTCTTTTAAAAAAAAAAAAAAAGATTTATTTTTATTTATTTATGCAAAGAAGAACTGGGGTGTAGGCCAGAGATGGGGGGAGGGGAGAGGAGTCAACAGAGACAGAGTGGGGAGCAGAACTGGTGGATCTACTGAAATACACTGCTGAGGGGAGCAGTAGACAAGACAGGAGAGGTCTGCTGAGCCATGTGGGTTAGCTCCCTGGCCGACTCCGGCCATAACAATGGATGATAGCATAACAGCACTGAGACTTAACCCCTATGCCACCAAGGAAGCCCTCTTTTTCCCTGGAGATTCCTTGACTAACACAACAAGTAAGGTAACTTGGCCAAGATTATAAAGTTAGTAAGCACAAGAGTTGGAATTTAAAAACTAGGTACTCTGAATCCAAAGACTGTATTCTTAAATCAATGGGATCAGTGATTACTGAAAGAAGAAAATGTAAAATTATTTACTTACCAAGTAGATATTGCTTGCTGATTGCAACGAATAGTACAAATGGACAATAAAAGGACTTTTGCTTAGTGCCAGCGCATCTCTTTCAGCTTGTATCTGATGAGTCATATTTTTGTTGATCATATCTGCTTTTTTGACAACCTAGATAACATGACAACGGACATTTTGTTTTTTTATTACAAGGTATTCTCAGGTATCGAAGTTGCCATCATGAAAACAACCAGAGATAAAACACATAGATGGCATTTTGGACCTCATACTGCCACAGGGAACTCTGCCAGAAACACAGCTAATATTGTAAAAACAAAAACGAAGCATTCTTTAATGGAGAACTACTTATTTTGGGATCAAGTGGCAAGAGTATCATATCCCTTTTGAGTACGAAAAAGAGATAAACAATTGGTCCCTGACAATTGAATTTAAGATAATCTTTACTTCTTTCTTGACCTAGAGATGACTGGGAAAAAAATCTGTTGAGCTGATCTTTTAACAAAATCAAAGGATAGTGATGTTTCTAATAAGTTCCCAGATAACAGGAAACCTAGGCACAGAGAAATAGTAGCTTATAATTTTTGTAAGAGCTGATTCTTTGATGATGTGAATAGTCAGAAAGAGTGAGAATGTGGGAAATTTGTCTGCACAGGAGAAAAATAAATCTTTTTTTTTTTTTTTAGATTTATTTATTTATTTATACAAGCACTGGGTACAGTCAGAAGCGCGGGAGGGTGAGAGAATTCACCAGAGCCAGAGCGGGGAGCAGAGCAGGCAGAAGGACCGAGGTACACTGCTGAGGGGAGCAGCGGGCGGCAGAGAGGTCTGCGCGCCATGTGGGACCTCCTCCAGTGGCCGGGGAGCAGCCGGGAATCGAACCGGAGCTGCGGAGGCTGCGGGCAGCTTCGCAACCCAGCGCTCAACCGCTGCGCCACCAGGGAGGCCCAGAAAAATAAATCTTAACAATGGTTAGATTTACTGGAACTTGACACTATCAATGCTATCTTACAGAAAGTACTAGTGACTCCTTTTCAGTTTTAAGGTAATTAGTAAAGAAGGAAAACTATAATCTACATTAAAATTTATGCACTAAACTAAATAGTAACAAGGGCATCAATTTTCAGGGATACAAGTGAAAGAGGGCATATTCCTTCCAAAGGAAGGAATATGATTCATTAATACATTGCAAATACCAGTTTTACAACCCTTCATTAAGAAAACTAAAGGAAAGTCAGAAATCTAGTCTGTAACATGGTTTCACCTACCATTCCACTGTATTACAAGCCCTACAGAGGAACATTCTGTTTACCACTGAACCCCAGATACAGCAGCGGTCATGAGAGAGGAATGGAGAAAGGAAACACAGGAGGTTAACAAGGCACAGGTTTAGTGCCTGCTAAAGAGTCACATAGCAATGTCCAACCAGATGTTGAAACCACCTCCTGACACTCAGGTGCCTGGCTTCTTCCCTTTGTCATGTTCACTCAGTGCTGAAATGTGAGTAATCTGAAACTATGGGAGTGAATGAGAATCAAGAGATGCTAGAACAGTTTCAGTAATATTGAAAGCTAGGCTTTTGGAATGATACCTCCTTCTGCCAAGAATAAAGGACTGATTTGGGACATATCTCAGATTAGTCCTTAAGATACAATATCATTTTATAATTGAAGGTCTGAGAAGAAAAAAAAATGAGTAAAATGAGATCTTTGGGCTACACAGATCAGAAATTAATCTCTAACGGACAGAATTAAAATATAATCTGGAAATAATGTTTCCAATTTAAATATTCAAACGTAATCGGGTAAAAGATAACCCAGAAGCTCTCCAAAGTCTTTCCAAAGCATTCGCAGTGAAGAGAAGGGCGGGGCACAGGAGATTTGGTACTTGCCTGAGCAGATGGCACCCCAAGTGAGAAGTCAGCCTGCTAGGTTCTGGAGTTTCAGCAAGCCAGGCCACCCCATGCAGCCTGGGGCCAGCCCAATTCAGGGGGCAAGAAGAAAGCCCGAAGGCCTCCATGCCGCCCTTCCCCCTTTATTTACACCCCTTCTTACCTTCACCGCGTACAACTTGCCTCCTTTCTGCCCCAGGTACACCTTCCCGAAGGCGCCACGGCTAATGGGCTTCACTATGTTGAATTCCTCTATGGAGGGCGGTCTGGGCACCGGAATCCTATTCGAACCTGGCGCTGAGGCCGCGTCTCCCCCACTGTCCTCCTCGCTGCCCGCGGAGGGCTCCATCACAGCCCACCTCACAGGGAAACCCGCGGTGGCCGCCCAGGCCCCTCCCGAGCAGCCACTCCCGCCAACTGGGTTCAAAGTGAGGCCCCGCCCCCGCCGCGCGCCGTCGTGACGTCACCGCGCAGCGCCCGGCCGCCGGGCCCAGCGGGCGGGTGTCCCACGGGCCTCGCCTTCCGCGGCGCCCAGGAATGGAGTGGGCGTGAGGGTGGGGGTGCTGGGTCGAGTGGGCGTGAGGGTGGGGGTGCCGGGAAGTTCGCGAATCGACCAGACTTCTCGGGAACAGTAACCGCGGTGGATTTACCTCTTTCGTGAAGCCGGGGGTGTGGGGCTCACAAACGTTTCTTGGGCGACAAGAAAGCATCAAGGGCGACTTGAATGTGATTCGTGGAATTTTTTTTTTTTTTAAGATTTAGTTATTTATTTATACAAGTGTTAGGGGGAAAAGGATGTCCCAAAGCTAATTCCATACAGGCTTTGTGGACTCCACCCCCACCCCAGGCCAAAGCCAAAGACACTGGGAACTCCAAATCCCATCCCCACCAAAGGGAAGGTGGCTGGGACCTGAGGGTGGGGTTAAGCAGCCAGGTGGATATAAAAGGCAGACACGTGGGCTTTGGGGATCCCCCATTTTTGGCTCTCGGCCAGCTCGCAGCCTCAGGCCAGCTCTGAGAGTGACTTTGGGTTTCCAGGTGGTCGGATCTGGTAGGATGCATTAAAGACTTTATTTCCCTATTTTCTCCCTGAGTTGTACATTTTCCTTATTTCCTTTTCTCTTGTAAATAAACCTTTTATTAACCTTTTGTGTGTGCCTGTAGTGGAGTATTCATAAGTCCCTTTAAAGCGCGCGGGTGAGGACCCACAGCCAGGAACCCGTTCAATATCGGGGTTGCTCTATAACACAAGCACTGGGTACAGTCAGAAGCGCGGGAGGGTGAGAGAATTCACCAGAGCCAGAGCGGGGAGCAGAACAGGCAGGCTGACAAAGTACACTGCTGAGGGGAGCAGCGGGTGCGGCAGGAGAGGTCTGCGCCCCATGTGGGACCCTCGCCCTGCAGCCGGGGATCGAACCAGCGCTGCAGAGGCTGAGGGCAGCTTCGCAGCCCAGCGCTCAACCGCTGCGCCACCAGGGGAGGCCCTGATTCGTGGAATTTGAAGGTTTCGCCTGACCTCCCTGTCATCGTCTCACTTACTTTGTTTAAACTCTTCCCGACTTCACATTTGCGCAAGACGTGTTCAGGATGTGTTCAGGAGAGGGGTGGCTGGTGAAATCCCGGAATGTGGAGAGACCGGGTGAGCAGGAAGAGGGGGCTGGCCCTCTGAGCTGGCAGAACACGGTATAGCTCTCCAGACTGAAGCAGAGCTTGGTTCCAACTGGAGGAGTTTTTTTATTTATTGTGGGGGAAGATAGAGAACACTAAATTGTAGCCAAAGAGCTTATACATAGCTCAAGGCCGACTGGGACAGAATACACTGGAAGAATTGGTTAGGAAGCTAGAGAAAGTCACTCCTAATAGGGTCGATGCTGTTCTTCCTTAAAAAAAAAAAAAATAAATAAAATCCGGGCCTCCCTGGTGGCGCAAGAGGTTAAGCACCGCACTATGAAGCAATCCGCAGTCTCTGCAGCACGCAGTCTCTGCAGCACGCGTTCAATCCCCGGCCAGACAGGGAGAAACCGACATGGCGAGGCAGACCTCTCCTGGCTCGCCCTCAGCAGTGTATTTCACTCCGTCTGCCTGTTCTGCTCCCCGATTTGTCTCTGGTGAATCCTCTCACTGCACCCCCCCATCTCTGGCCTGTACCCCAGCTCTTATATGCGTAAATAAATAAATCTTAAAAAAAAAAAGAAATCCACTAACTCACATCATACCAACAGTTAATTTGAATTGCACCTAGTCTTAATCCAGAAGCAAAAATAATAAAACATTTACAAAAACACAGAATGTATTTACAAACTCTGACAAAATGATTTATAACACAGAACACAAATATACAAGCCATTTTGTAAAAAAAAATAGACAAATTGTACTTCATCAAAATTAATATTTGGGGGTTCCCCCGGTCGCCTAGAAGTTAAGTCTCAGCACTCTCACCCCGATGGCCTGAGTTCGATCCCCAGCCTGGGAGTTAACCCACATATGGCACAGCAGACCTCTCCTATCTTGCCCCCTGCTCCCCTCAGCAGTGCATTTCAGTCAATCTGCCTGTTCTGTTCCCCACTCTGTCTCTGGTGAATCCTCTCACCGCCCCCCCTTCTCTGGACTGTACCCCAGTTCTTGTATGCATAAATAAATATTACAAAAAAAAAGAAAGAAAAAGAAAAAGAAATCCTCAGCCAGGGAGCTGTGGGCTCCCAGCACGTACACCATCCACCGAGAACTAGAGCTACTTTGGGGGGCGGTGGCCCTCAGCAGCCGGGCAGAAGCGCCGGCCCCCAGAAGGCGGGGCCCGGCGGGGTCGGGTGCGGGGGTGCGGCTGCCCCGGAAGTACTGTGGCCCAGCGCCTCGCCTTCCGGGCCAGAGTGTCTGTGTCGTTGCAGCAGCTGTAGGAAGGAGAGGCCATTTTCCGTTTCTAAGAAGAGTCTGGGGCAAAAAGAGGTGGGGGAGCGAGGGGGCCAAGAGGGCTCAGCGCCTCCCTGCCGAGCCGCGAGCGCACGGGAGTTTCGGCCGGCGGGTGAGGTGGCCGAGGGCCCGGAGATGTTTTCTCTGTCCAGCACGGTGCAGCCCCAGGTGAGTGAGGGATCCCGTCTGTTTTGTCCCGCCCTGCCTGCGGCTTTTTGCCATTTGTGTTTCGTGGGAGAAGTTTCTCGTAAGGGACCGAGAGGGACGTGATGAGCCCAACAGCAGGCCCGGGGTTGAGAAAGTGCATCAGGGGCAACGCTGAGAGTCGGGCCTGAGGTTTAGTAAAGGTCTGATGATGAGAGGGAGGTGTTGGAGCGTGATGCAGACCTTGGCTGATGGAGTTGATGGCGTGGAATTTTTGCTGGAGAATCAGGCATTGTTCATTGCCGGGCATTTTGGGGTGGCGTTGGGGAAACATCTGGGCCATTCGTATATGTAGAGAGAGCGAATAGTGGTCGCTTTCCGGCTTTCCCACCCCAGTGACTTTAGTATTCATCACTTTAATTCCCTGTTTTCCCTTTAAGTGGAATTTCATCCAAACGTGCTATAACAACAGCAATGAAGAATGAATAATCTACCACGAATGCTTTCCCGATTTTGACCTGAAATGGTTTTTTTATGTCTTTGTGTAGCTATTTCAAGGTACTGACTGCTTTGCAGTTAAAATTTTGATTCAGTCTCCTCCCATCCTTTCGTAAAGCAAAAGAGAGGGTAGCACAAAAGTGATTACGAGGCTTTTTAATCATCTTCTTTCAGAGTAATCATTTGTGACCATAGTTGCCTTCTTGGTTTATTTTCCTTCTTGGTTTAAAAGTCGATGGTGACATTTTGGTAACTTTTGGAAGGTTCTCACAGTTTTTGCAGATGAAGGGTTTTGGGAAAGCATTCAGGTTTAAAAATAATTTTTTGATTCTTAAGTTTCTTGGCTTCAGCAGGCAATTATGTGCCTTTGGATACCCTTTTTGTCAGTATTGGCTGGATAATAGAAACTGAAGTCATAGGAAGTGATACTTTGCGAGCATTAGTACTGCACCAGATGAACAAAGCAAATGTGGAATCTTGATACCAAATAAAAGATGAGTGAGTAGGAGTAAACTCTTCACTTAGCCAGGTGATGAGTGAAGGGAAGGGAACAGGTACCCCAGCAGAAGGATATCCGGAGGTCCTCAGATGGGAAGAACTAAACTGATTGGAAGAACAAAAATAAGGCGTTTGTGACTGGAGAGTGGTGATGAAAGGGGCACAGTGACAGAAATGAGGTGAAGCCTTGAGTCAGATCATACAGAGTTATAATGGACTTTGGATTTCGTTTTAAGAGTCTTGGGAACATTGAGTGTTTTTAAGCACGGAGTAACCTGACCGGTTTTCGTTTTTGATAGATCACTCTGGCCTCTACCATATGGAGACTATGGAAGGACCGAGTGAAAGTGTTTTCAGTTAGGGCTGCTGTTGTAGTAATCCAGGAGGGAGAATGCACCAGTCAGGTGGTGGCAGTGGTTATGGAAAGGAATGAGATTTATTTTGAAGAACAAAGTTTATGAGGGATTGGAAATAAGGGATGATGTAAAGAATTTAATTAGCTGGTTTATTTAGCTGGATGCATAAAGGTGTTATTTACCAAAGTGACAACCCAGATGACTGTAGTCATGAATTAGATTATCTGAGGTAGAGCCCTTGTGCCAGTATTTTCTAGTTGTGTAACTTTGAACATGCTGCTGAACCTACCCAAATTTTTGCATTTTTCATCAGTTAAATAGGAAGTATAATAGTATTTTTTATGACTGTTATGAGGTTTAAATGAGATAATGTAAGAAACCATATACTATAAAACCTGGCATATGGTAAGAACCTGTTTTTTTTTTTTTTTAAGATTTATTTATTTATTTATACAAGCACTGGGTACAGTCAGAAGCGCGGGAGGGTGAGAGAATTCACCAGAGCCAGAGCGGGGAGCAGAACAGGCAGACAGATGGAGGACACTGCTGAAGGGAGCAGCGGGTGGCAGGAGAGGTCTGCGCGACATGTGGGACCCTCACTGGCAGCGGGGGATCGAACCGGCGCTGCAGAGGTTGCGGGCAGCTTCACAGCCCAGGGCTCAACCGCTGCGCCACCGGGGAGGCCCGAACCTGTTTAATTTTTTCATGTACTCAACAGATATTTATTTAGGAGCAACTGTGTGCATTGCTACACTGGGATATAGTATTGAATAAAATGGAGAAAAAGAAATTATAAAATATGTAAATTGTGTATTATGTGAAACCATTTTATGTTGAGTAAGTAATTATATAAATAAAAAAGAATACTAAAATAGAAGGGGAAATCCCTTTGCCACCTGTAGCTTACATTCTAGTGGGGGTGTATGGTATGATAAAAAATAAATATGTGGTCACTGTTCCACTTCTTAGCATAGAACCCTTGGAATTTCATGATTGATAGATGTGTTTTATATCTTATTATTCATGAGTTGCTCCTTTAGTTTTCCTCTGGACATATGCTAAGAAGGTGGACTAAGGGTGGTATCTCTAAGAAGGAGGGCTAAGATGGCCTCAAGATTGGGCTGTTCACCAGAAAGATCTTATGAGTCCAGATCCCCTAGCCTCTGGGAGGGGAGTGCTGGCCTGGAGATTGAGTTTGGTAAAATTCTAGAATAATGAGTTTTAGTGCTTAGATTCACAGTGTAGGAAGGGTAGTGTAGGCCAAATATATGGGGAACATGATCTTCTATGGTTGGGATCCTTCTGGATCTTGGTCCTATGTACCTCTTCTTTATCTGACAGTTCACCTCTATCTTTTCTAATAGACTAGTAATAGCTAAGTATGTCCCTTGATTCTCTAGGCTAGTTTAGCAAATTGTTAGTGCAGGGGAGGGTTTGTAAGAAACCCTAATTTATACTGGTAGATCGGAGGTATGGTTGCCTGAGATTTGTGACTGGCATCTGAAATGGGGACAGTCTTGTGGAACTGAGCTCTTAATCTGTGAAGTTTGCACTCACTTTAGGTAATTGATATCAAAATTGAATATCAAAATTGAACTGTTGGACAACCAGCTGGTGCTGGAATTGGTCGGTGTCAGGTAATTGGTTGAAAGAGAAACTAATAAGTAAGTGATGTATATACATAAATAAAATAGGCACATAGTATTAGTGTAAGTACCAAAAGAAAGAGCAGCGAAAGGGGATAAGGAATATTTTTTAGGGGAGGGTTGTTGAAATGTTAAGAAGGTTGGTTAGGGAAAAAGATGTTTGAAAAGATGACTCTTGAGTTAACTTAAGAGTACAAAAGCAAGCTATGTTAATAACTGGACCAAAGGGAATAAATAGCACTGCAAAGACCTTTAGGTAAGAGCCTGCCAAGTGTGTTCCAGGAACAGCAAATATGGGGCTGGAGCAGAGAGAATGAACAGGGTGGGGGTGGGGGAAGAGTAGTAGTGGATAAAGTATTAGAGGTGAAAAAAGGGCTTGTCCTGTCTTAGTTGTAAAGACTTTGCTTTTATTGTAAGTGAGAAGGAAGAGAAGCCATTGGAAGGTTTTGAACAGAGGAGTGATATGATCTGACTTTGATTTTAATAGAGAAAATGTGGGAGTAGTTAGGAGTCTATTGTAAAAGTTCACATTTAGATGATGGTGACTTAGAACAGGGTAATACAGTGGGGAAGTTGAGAAGAATAAAATTATGAATATGTGTTTACTTTTTTTTAATGTCTGAAACATTTCATTTTGTGGTGGTATCATTTATTAAGTCACTCTCTTAATGGTAGATATTTCTAGCTTTTACTAATTAAACATTTTTTTAATGTTTTGATGTATATTGCCATTTATGCATATGCAAGCACTTACAGATTATTTCCTTACAGAATAAATTCCTAGAAATTAGATTGCTGGAACAATGAAATGTATGTATTTTTAATACTTTTGATTCATGTAGCCAGAATACTATCCTAAAAGAATTATACCAGTATCATTCCTACCAGCAATAAATCTGAGTATTTGTAATTTTTAATATACAGTTTATATACATACACACACACAAATATACAAATCTCAAGATATAGACAAATCCCAAATCCTGACCCAAAAAAAGATTTTTTGGTTTTATTTTATAACCCACTCAACTTAATTTCCACTTTTTTACTCATCTAGGTTACAGTGCCTCTGAGTCATCTCATCAATGCCTTCCATTCTCCAAAAAGCACATCTATTTCTATAAGTGCATCAGTTTCTAAAAACCAGCATCGAGATGTAGTTCCTGAACACGAGGCTCCCAGCAACGAGGTAATAATTTTTACTCTGCTTGTGTGAGAAAGCCTTTTTGATTGTAAATATATTGGAAATACCTGTCTCTGTTTAGACATTGGTAATGTGATTTCTGTCTTCAATTTAATCTCCTTTGTGATTAAAGATGTCTCATTCTGGCTTCATTGTACACATGGAAAGTTACTTTGTTTTATTCAGCATGTAATTTATAAGACGTTTCATGTGGCAGCTACTTGGTATTCATATCCTAGATTACTACTTCTGTGATGCTATTTAGATTTCTTTCCTGTTCTTCTATAGCAGCGGTGAACCCACAGCTAGCTTGCCATAATTGCCTCCCAAGTCTTAGGGAAGATATAATAGTATTCACTGCTTTACAGGAGCTTTTAGTGTAATATAGGTATCTGAAAGTGAAATGTATAAGGTATGAAACTAAAATTTCAGTATTCATGGAATTTCAAATCAGTGTTCTAGGATCTAGAGAATTCTTAAAATAGGAACCTTTGTATATGTAAGCTTCATTAATAGTTGCTTATAGCTCAGAATACATTTTGACATAGAAAATATACTATATAGTTGTTTCCCAAAAGCCGCTTTAATCCATAAATAGGTTATTTCTTAGTCCCACGATATGTGACTATGGTCAAGGAAAATAGAGGAGTTGGAAAAAAGTTTGCTTTGGGTTTGTGGGGTGACTCTTAGGATAAAATTTTATAATTAGATGAAAAGTTTGGTTTTGTTATCTTTATGCTTTATTTTTATACTATTTACGCAGGTCCTATTGCCTTTTCTGTAAGTAATCGTCGTCTTTCTACTGTTCTGCTTCTCCCAAATAAAGTCCAAAAGTACTTTCCTAGTACAAATACATGTATCAAAACTGCTACATGCAACAAATTATACTAATTTTGGAAAAAATTATAGAGATGGAAGAAATAAAATTATCTGTAACCCTATTCCTCAGGAATAATGCTGTTAACATTTTGTATTTATATGTTTTCCCTTTTTCACTTGTATGTGTGTAATAATTATACTATACTGCATGTACTGATTTTCTTGTTTTTTATTTCTTTTATTTATATATACTGATTTAGATTTTGCTTTGTTCATTTAATAATGTTTTGAACTTCGTATGCCATACATTTTCTATATTTTAATAACTTGAGTGCTCATTGTATAATGTCCCATTGTTGAATATTGTTTCCAATTTTTTGTTTCCATAAACTACACCATTTTTATGATCCATGTTCCTAAATCTTTGTGACTGTTTCATTAAGTAAAATTGCCAGCTCAGCAGTGAAATACATTTTAGGGACTTGGCAGGTGGTTCTGGAGACTCTTAAGATCTCAAGTACAGAGGTGGTTTGACCTCTGATATACATTCAATAGTTGTATTGTTTGTCTTTATTTATTTATTTATTTATTTATTTTAAGGACAGGTGCCATAGTTTTGTGTTTTTGTTTTTTTTTTTAAAGATTTATTTATTTATTTATTTATTTATTTATACAGGCACTGGGTACAGTCAGAAGTGCAGGGAGGGTGAAAGAATTCACCAGAGCCAGAGCAGAGAGCAGAACAGGCAGAAGGACCGAGGTACACTGCTGAGGGGAGCAGCGGGCGGCAGGAGAGGTCTGCACGCCATGTGGGACCCTCCCCGGTGGCTGGGGAGCAGCCGGGGATCGAACCGGCGCTGCAGAGGCCATGGGCAGCTTTGCAACCCAGTGCTCAACCGCTGCGCCAACGGGGAGGCCCTGTATTGTCTTTAATGGGTGCTCATTATTGCTTCAAAAAACATATTCATTCTCCTTAAGCATCCTACTTCATCTCTACTGTCACTTCCTTTGCTATGTGTGACTTTGTTTTTTTTTTTTTTTTTTTTTTTTAAAGATTTATTTATTTATTTATACAAGCACTGGGTACAGTCAGAAGCACGGGAGGGTGAGAGAATTCACCAGAGCCGGAGTGGGGAGCAGAACAGGCAGAAGGACCGAAGTACACTGCTGAGGGGAGCAATGGGCGGCAGGAGAGGTCTGCGCACCATGTGGGATCCTCCCCCGGCGGCCGGGGATCGAACTGGCGCTGCAGAGGCTGTGGGCAGCTTTGCAACCCAGCGCTCAACCACTGTGCCACCGGGGAGGCCCCGTGACTTTGTTTTTATCAAAGGGTTTTCATTGGAACATCCATTTCACCATTGGTGTTGCGGACTGCAGCCTGCTGAGTCCAGGAACAAAAACTTTCCTCCTACAATGTCTCTCCCTTACCTCCTACTGAGAAAGTTTAATGTTGTGCCAGCTGGCAAAGAACAAATATTTAAAGGGCCCAGACCCATGTTCATTAACAAAATTTATGAAGAGTAGGGCCTCCCTGGTGGCACAGAGGTTAAAGTCTCAGCACTATGAAGCTATTGCCAGCCACTGCGGCATGAGTTCCATCCCCTGCCAGGGAGCTAACCCACAAGGCTCAGCTGACCTCTCCTGTCTCACCTGCTGCTCTCCTTAGCAGGGTATTTCAGTAGATCCGCCTGTTCTGCTCCCCACTCTGTCTATGGTGAATCCTCTCCTCTCCCCTCTCCCCACAACTCTGGCCTACATACCAGTTCTTATATGCATAAATAAATAAAACAAATCTTAAAAAAAATTATGAAGAGTGACTCTGGAAAACAAATTGATAACCAGTACATCCATCCAGAAAACCCTTTTCCCTCTCGATCACTATACTCTTGGTTTCTTGAAATGTCTGTAGGCTATGATTTGTTATTTCCATCCTTAGCAAGGCTTAGTTCAGGCTGATACCATTTTCCTCTTGTTCCATGAACCTACTCTCATCCAGTGTGTCTTATTTGTCTGTGTTCTTCCTACAAAACAAAGCTAACCACATTAAACAAGACTCTGCATAATTTGACCATGGCCCACTTTCTAATCTCTTCTTCCAACACTAAACTTTTTACTACGTTTCAAATATTCTTGGCCTTTTGGTGACTCTGTTTGCTCCCTTCCCCACAACCTCCTCCCTCTCATTTTGTATATTAGAAGACTTCAGTGACACTTTGTGTGTTCTATGTTCTCACACCACTTTTTCAAGTATTACTCTATAAAAATAATAGTTACCATGTTGTTTACATGTACTTTGTGTCTCTTTATGTTCCTAGTATCTGACACGCAGTAAGTAGGAAAAATTATTCTCTTAGTGAAGAAACTTCATTTTCCTTTTAATGTCTAAGTATATAAATAATTTTTGATTTACCATTTTAAATAGTAACTTGAATAGTAGCTCTTAAGTATTGTACTTCTGTTTTAATTACAATATCCTTTGTATTGTATTGTCTTTAGTAGCTTAAGAGGCACTTTTAACTATTCTGTCATGCTTTTATGTTAAGATACTTGGATGAACAACGGCATGATCTTTTTCTTTGAGACACACTATCTTGTTGTGAAATAGTCAGGGCATATTTCATAGTCACTTCACTAATGAGGTAATGAATTTTAAGACTATGAGTGACTTATGACATAGCTGATAAGTTACATGGCCCTCAGCATCAATCCAGAGCTATGTGATTTCTGGCTCTAACTTTACATCCATCATAAGAAACTGACACTTGTTCTGTTTACTTTGGTTCTTTTTACTTGAGCTTTTAGCTGATATAAATATTTTCTGTCTTTAATATCTCCTTGTCAGCTCGTGTGGATAAGAAAATAGCTCACTATCCTATTTGTAATTACTTTAGAACTGTTTAAAGATGAGTGTATTTTCTCCCCAGTTTTCACACATTTTGACTTTGTTTATGTTCCCCTCCTTTTTAAAAGTTAGATGTGGGTAACTGTAGAACTTCTCTGTTCATAGAGGGATCTCAGCAATGAGGCCAGAGGAGTAAGATGTCCTGTGGTAACACGGCATACCTTTTCTTTATCAAATAAGCTGTTGTATCTGGGTATTAGGCATTGGAGGAAGTTATAAAGCTCTATGAACTGGTGATAACATTGGAAATAGAATTTTTTAACTTTAGTCAAACCTCGTATGATTGATAAATCTTGATAATATTAATGCTTATTTGGTTGACTTAATCTTTTACAGTCTGTACTTAATTTGAGGGACCTTGGATTATCTGAACTGAAAATTGGACAGATTGATCAACTGGTAGACAGTCTACTTCCTGGATTTTGTAAAGACAAAAAAGTTTCTTCCCATTGGCATACTTCTCACATCTCTGCACAGTCCTTCTTTGAAAATAAATATGGTAAGTTAATATTTTTTGTTCCAAGTAAAATTAACCATTTTAGTACTGTTAATAATGAATTATAAAAGGTGCAATTTATTAACTTTCAGAATGTACGTGCCAAATTCTTTCCTGAGCTGTTCCTTCTCCTGCTTTGGGTAACTTTTCATGTTGGAATAAGTTAGAGTTACAGAAAGTTGCAAAGATTATACAGAGTTCCTATATATCCTTCACCTGACTCCTGCTAATACTGACTACTTACATAACCATGATACAATTACCAAAACCAAGATAAAACATCAGCACAGTATTTTAAACTGAACTATAGATTTTATTTAGATTTTTCTTAATAAAATTTAATATCAACAAATCACTAGTCTTCCACAAGGTTCCTTTTTCTGTTCCAGGAACAGGTTTGGCTTGTAAGGTGACAAACATTTGCTGGATTACTGATTTCTGATGATACAGTTAAGAACCAGTCATGATCCTTTCTTTTACAAAACACCCACCTGTTTTCTTCTTTGACTTGTAACAGTCTGGTATTATAATAAGTGGGCAGTGTGTTGAAAAGGATGTCAGCTTCATGAGTTTCTCTTTGGATGATATATTTTTTGAAGATTTATTTATTTATGCATTCAAGAGCTGGGGTACAGGCCAGAGATGCGGGGGGTGAGAAGATTCACCAGAGGCAGAGTGGGGAACAGAACACAGGCAGACTGACTGAAATACACTGCTGAGGAGAGCAGCGGGCGAGACAGGAGAGGTCTGCTACGCCATGTGGGCATCTCCGCGAACCGGCACTGCAGAGGCTGTGGGCAGCTTCACAGCGCTGCACTCAAACATCTGCGCCACCAGGAAGACCTGCTTTTAGATATTTATAAAAGTGGAGTCATAGATGGACAAATAAAAGGCAAAATATACTTTGGTTTTTCTAATACTTAGTAAAATTATTTCACTTCAGAAGACTTTGTTTTGTTTTGATTTTTAGTTTGGCAATTAGAGTATTTACTTTTTTCAATTTCTTTCCAGGTTACTTAGACATGTTTGGTACTTTACGATCTTCTTGCTTATATAGGCAAAATTCAAGAAATATTAAAAGCATTTCTTCAGCTCTTCAGGACTGGCCAGGTAAGAAGCAACAATTGTATTTTGAAAGAAAAAGAAAGGTTTAATATAGTTTGAATTTTCTTTTTCAATGGATCAGAAATTTTGACTGCTTTCTATAAATTGTAATGTAGATGACATTAAATTGATAACAAAATCAAATATATCTTCATATTTATTTAATACCAGGCACTAATGATAGGTGTTAGGTGATAGTGATTAGTTTTAAATTGAAAAAACAGGCATTACTTATCTTCATGGAGTAGAATGACATGAAAGAGATGTGTACTATTTCCATTAAAACTTAGGAAAATTCCAAGTCAATAACAGGCTCTCAGGTGGTTGAGAGAGTAAACAGTGGAAAGATTGTCAGAAGTAGACCAAACACAGGATGATATGGTTTCTAATTTTCAGGCTACAGTTGGTAAAAGCACCTTTATAATAAGATGTGTACCTGTGTATATATGTGTGTGTGCATGCATGAATACATTTTGGGAGGAGTCTGTCTCTGCAGACTCCTTGTTTGAGTATTGATATTAAAGAGAAATAGGACAGTGTATCAATTATTTTGGTCTTAGATCAAACACTGAAGGTATTTTCAGTCACCATAAGTCCTTATTTTGATGTTGAAATACATGTACCACCTTGGTAATACTCTTCTTTAAAATGCAAATAGCGGGAATCTCACATATTTGAGAAAAACAAGTAGTGTGACAGGCACCAAGTTGAGCAAAATGGTGTGCAGCTCAGTGCCTCTGAAGAAATCCTCTAATGAAATGGTTACTGCAGAAGACAATACTACTGAAGGATGATCTGTTTTTAAATATTTATGTAAAACATAAAAATTGAGCATGTATTAGTAAATTTTCTTAATGTTGTGACTCAGATCTTTTTCTGATCATGTAATAAGACTGAAGTCAACTAAAGAACATAGCTAAATTCCCTGAATATATGGGAATTTAAAGATCCCTTTTAAGCATGTTAATTGATTAGGGAATAAAGTAATGTTAGTTTATTGTATGATAAAAGGTTATGTGATATATATTTTTTAAATCTATTTATTTATGCATACAAGAGCTGGGGTACAGGCCAGAGGTGTGGAGGGTGAGAGGATTCAGCAGAGACAGAGTAGGGAACAGAACAGGCAGATTGACTGAAGTACACTGCTGAGGGGAGCAGTGGGTAAGTCAGGAGAGGTCTGCTGCACCATGTGGGTAGCTCCCTGGCCAGGGATCGAACTCATGCTGCAGTGGCTGCGCATAGCTTCATAGGTTGCGTCTTAACCCCTTGTGCCACCAGGGAGGTGCCTGTGATATATTTTTATTCCAAATTCCTAAGAGCTCTTAGGAAGAAGGGCCTCCCTGATAATGCAGGGGGTTAAGTCTCAGCATTATCAAGTTATCTCCAGCCACAGCAGCATGAGTTCCATGCCTGGCCAGAGAGCTAACCTACATGGTGAGGCAGACCTCTTCTGTCTCACCCACTGCTCCCTCAGCAGTTTATTTCAGTAGCTCTGCCTATTCTGCTCCCCACTCTGTCTCTGGTGAATCGTCTCACCCACCCACCCCCGCCTCCTCTGGCCTATATGCCAATTCTTGTATGCATAAATAAATAAAAATAAATCTTAAAAAAACAAAATTGAAACTCTTAGGAAGAAACTTTAAAGTTCCTATGGATACCTATGAATATTAGGATCTCCTTAACATGAGAAAAAAGAGCTAATTGTGTACTGTGTTGGTCCAGCAGTAATTTGGTGATTCTGAACAATGTATATACAAAGAAAAAAAAGAATGGAGTTAAATTATAACATTTTGTGTATTAGATTTGTACAAGTTTAAAGGATTTATATTTATACTATTCATTGTTGCATAAAGTGTGGATAATTCATTGGTGGGTGTATAAATTCATGGTATAAATAACAATTTAGAGGGGAGTTTCTTAGTGTTAAACAGTTTAAAGCTTAAAATTTTACTTTTAGGAATTATGAGAGATTCTAAGAATTAACTATGTGTACAAGAATTATAACCACTGCATTATTCTAGTAATAGGAAATAACTGGGTTAAAAATAAGATAATCTAGGGTATATGGATATGATGTCAGACCTTTGAATCTTCAGCATTTTTTTTCCTTGTAAAAACTTAAGAGATCTAAATATGATACTGTTTTATTCAGTTTTCATACAGTCTCGAGGTTTTAAAACCTTGAAATCAAGGACACGACGTCTACAATCCACTTCTGAAAGGTTAGCAGAAACACAGCATATAGCACCATCATTTGTGAAGGTAATTAGACCTTTCCCCCCCTCAAATAAGCAATTTTCAAGTTATTAAAATAAGAATCTCCATGTTTAATTTCCCACTTACTAAAGATTAATAATCTCTGTGGTCATTATATCTATAACTCTTCTGAGTGCCAAACCTGTCTCTTCACTTGCCTATTAGACATCTTCCTTTGATTTTTTTACCCAACCTACACCTACATACATGTTATCTGTGTTAATCAGTAGCCTCTACATAGGGTAGAAACCTGGTGTGATCAGCTGTGTTCATCTTTCATTTGCCACATCCATTAATCACTAAAGTCTTGTTGATCCAGCCTCTTAAATAGTATCTTAAATCTTTTTCTTTATTACTAGTTCCACTGCACAGATAGAATATGACTATTTCTTACCTAGATTATACTCATAAACCCTTATTTAGTATCCTTGCCTTTTGTTTTGCTACCTTGAGTCTATTCCCTTTTTTAAGATTTATTTCTTTATGCATACCAGAACTGGGGTATAGAACAGAGGTGTGGGTGGGGGTGAGTGAGAGGACTCACCAGAGACAGAGTGGGGAGCAGAACAGGCAGATTGCCTGAAATACACAGCTGAGGGGAACAGCAGGGAGGTGGGAGACATCAGCCACACCATGTGGGTAGCTTCCTGGCTGGTGGGGGATCGAACTCGTGCTGTAGTGGCTGGGGAGAGCTTCACAGCACTGTCTTTAGCCCCTATGCCACCAGGGAGGCCCAAGTCTATTCTCTACACTGCCTCCCACCAGTGTGTCTAAAGTCTTTTACTGTAATAATTGTACTCCATTGTTTTATTGTCATCTTCTGCCATGGTACACAGCATTTTATCATTTGACCTCTGCCTACCATTTTCTAGTCTCATCTTTTAATGTGCTTCCTGGCTGTACCTTGCTCTCCTTTTTATATTATTTTAAAGTCCTGTCACACAAGATTGTTTGCCATTCTCAAACACTGAAGCTATTCTTGACTCCTCTGTCATATTGTTTGTGCCCTTTTTTCCCTGTGGTTTAGTTAACTATCCCATTCTCTTTAAGGCCTTTCTTGACTTCCTTAGGTAACATATATTTTACTACCACACCTATCCACACAATTTAAAAAATTAAGTAATTTACATATCTCTCTGCAATAGCCTAAAACTTTCAGATCATTAGTTATGCCAAATATATGAGATTTGTCAGTGAACATTTATTATATTACTGAGGTTTTCCTTCTAGCAGAGGTAAAGGAGTATGAACATGAAGCCATTAGAATCCTAAGTCAACATTTGACCTATTAGCTATTATCAAAATAGTGTTATTACAGAGTTTCTTTATAATTAATGATTGATATACAAATAGGGTCCACTGTTAGTCTCCAGGTTTATTGTTGGGACTTAATCCAATTACTCATATTGACAAAAAAATCTTTTATTTTTAGAATTTTAATAAATTTTTTGTGAATAACGCTATTTCTAAGGAGTGTCATTAGATATAAAGTAACCAATACTGATATATTGTTTTCTTATGTAGGGATTTCTTTTACGGGACAGAGGATCAGATGTTGAGAATTTGGACAAGCTCATGAAAACCAAAAACATACCTGAAGCTCACCAAGATGCATTTAAAACTGGTTTTGCAGAGGGTTTTCTAAAAGCTCAGGCACTGACACAAAAGACCAATGGTAAGTTGATTTGACACCATCCATTTTTGAGAGGACTGTTTTGAAAGGAAGTCATAGTTCTAACTCTTTTAAGTGGTTAAGTAACTTTCCTAAGAGTTATCTAACTTGCCATGGGTTATATGCTTCTATATTTGTAACTTAAGCTGCCGAGAAACCAGAGGGCAGATCTGTGAGTGGTTTCATGAAGTTTTTGGTAACCGTGCAGAAAGGAAAGCATGGCTATTATACAAAAGAATGCAAGTTACAAAAGTACATGTGATAAACTATCACTGCCGTCAGTAACCTAATAATTGCATTTCATCGAGTTGTCTTTTCTTTCTCCAGATTCTCTAAGGCGAACTCGGATGATTCTCTTTGTTCTGTTGCTGCTTGGTATTTATGGACTCTTAAAAAACCCATTTTTATCTGGTAAATACTCTATTTATCTCACTTACTAATTTAAAAAAAATCTTTAAATGTTTCTATTTCATAGTCAGTCTGCGTAGAACTTAGAGAAAGAAAACATTAATGTTTATCATTCCAAAATCTAGTCCTTTCATTCCTAAATCAAGACTTCTCAGAATGGGTGACTTTGGGATCACATCAGTCTATTAGGATTATGTACCATCTGCCTTGTCGTATTACTTTAACATTGTTTTATGTATTTAAAAAAATTTTTTTTTTAACACTGTAGAAATTCAAGTTTTACTTGTTTTGTTGAAATATTAATATTTTGTTAGCGTTCCAAGGATTATGTTAGAGTAAAAATGTTCTAGTAGTGGTTAGTTTTACTAGATTTTTATAAAATGATACATATCTAGCTATAAAATTTTTTTAAATGCATAGGAATTTATAATAGCAATATAAAGTGAAATAGCTGTTTCAAAGATAAAAATTTATTTAAAGATAACTTTAAATGAGTCAATATGTCTTATTTTGCCATCCCAGAATACAATCATAATGTCGTTTAAGTCTACACTAAACTATTTTTTATCTATTCTGAAATTAACTGCTTTAAATTTACTCTCAACTTTTATGCTCTTGGTATGTTAAGAAGTTCTAGTTAACTATATTTTTGCTTAATCACTTTTGTTTTTCAATTTTAGTTTGTCTTAAAGATGATATTTTTGGCTTCTTCTGAGATTAGAAATTGCTTAGTTTAATCATTTATATGTCTACTGTGGAATCTTGCTAAAAGGGGAGGGCTTTGTAATAGTTGCCCATAATTCATGTCAAATATTTTTCTTACCAAGCTTTTACATTTTTCTTACACTTAATTGTGTTGTTACTGATACATCTTCTGTGGCCAAATAATAACAGTTGTTAGAAGAAGGCAGCTACATGAAAAGTGAAATAATCTGTTTCCCCTTTCATTTTTTAATGGTTTTGCTAGTTTTTTATGTTTGTCTTAAGGCAATGTATTTCAAAGACTAGATCCCAGACTAGCTGTATCAGGTTAATAGAGGGTGATTGTTAAAAATAAGACTTTTCTGGACCCTTTCTTAAATCTACAAGTCAGAAGTGTTGGGCTGTGGTCTGTGAACCTTAACACATTTTCAAGCAATTTTATGTTCACTGGAGATTGAGAACTGTTGTTTTTTTTCCTTCCTCAGCAAGGAAAAGAGGAAAAGAGAAAAAGGAGAGACTCCTACATAGACACAGATGGGCAGTCTTAAAAGACAAGATCTGCCGAGAACTGTTGGTTTAATATTTTCAGTTAATAGATTTTACAGGGAGGAAAGGAAAATAATTCCTAGTTTTAATTGGAAATTACAAAGTTGTCATTTGAATATGAATAATTTATTTTTTATTTTTTTAAAGATTTATTTATTTATGAATACAAGAACTGAGGTGTAGGCCAGAGGTGTGGGGGGTGGGGGTGAGAGGACTCACCAGAGACAGAGTGGGGAGCAGAACAGGCAGACTGACTGAAATACACTGCTGAGGGGAGCAACAGGCAGACAGGAGAGGTCTGCTGCGCCATGTGGGTACCTCCCTGGCCGTGGATCAAACTTGTGCTGCAGTGGCTGCGGATAGCTTCATCGGTTGCGACTTAACCCCTTGCACCACAGGGGAGGTCCCTATGAATAATTTATTTTTTGGTCATAGTCTACAAATCCAGAAGACCTAATTTCTGCTTCTCACTGTGTTATAATATATGTCAACTTAGATATTTAATTTTTCTAGACTTTCTTGTTTGAAAAATAATATGGTTGGAATTTTATGTTCTGTCTAAAATACACATTTCGTTTCTTCCCCTTAGTACGCTTCCGGACAACAACAGGACTTGATTCTGCAGTAGATCCTATCCAAATGAAAAATGTCACCTTTGAACATGTTAAAGGAGTAAGTTAAAAAGTTTACCTTGAACTTTTCAGACATATCAAATGGTATATGGTCAATATTTGATTTAAAAAATAGGAAATTGAGAAAACATGTTGGTTTATGCCTCTGCTTCTTGGCACAGAGCTGCTAAAACCCTGGTAATATCCTAAATGTTAAGAGTTCTAAGGTCATCTTTTGTTCTCATATTTACCCTCGGACCCCTGTTCCTGACACAGAACTTCTAAATCTTTTGGAATTTCCTGGGTCATAAGAGCATCTTTTCTTTTACTCTGTTGTCTTTATGGTACTCCTGGCTAGCTTCAGGATGGAGGCTGGTCACCAAAAGTTAAAAGTTTGGAATTTTCTTCTAGAGAGAGGTGAGGGCCTAGAAATGGAGTTAATAATTATTCACATTCATAAGAAAGCCCCAATAGTGTGGATTTCAAGGAGCTTTTTGTGGATTTCAAGGAACATTTGGAAGAGCTGGGAGAGTAAAGGAGAATGCCCGAAGAGAGTGGGCATGGGAGTTACGCATGGCTTCCCTCATACTTTGCCCTGTGCATCTCTGATTGGTTCTAAATTACACCTTTATAAGTAAGCAATAACCTAGGAATTTCTTTTCCTGAGTTCAGTGAGCGACTTTAGCAAACTAATCAAACACGAGAAATGGTTGTGGGAACCTTCATTTTATAACCAGTTGGTTGGAAACACAGGATTTAGGACTGGCTTCTGATGACTGTGGGGTGGGATTGAGGATGGTCTTATGGAACTCACTCAGCCCTTAGCCTGTGGGATCTGATGCTATCTCCAGTTAGTTTCAGAACTGAATTGTAGGACATTGGTCTTTTTTATTCTAGTACGTATGAGGTGATTATCTCTTTCTTTGATTTACATTTTCCTGCTGATTAGTGATGTTGAACATCACTACCATAAAAATACTCATAAGGGCGGTTTTTCACTGCCTTGAGCCTCTTTTTTTTTTTTAAATTTTTTTTTTAATAGAGGCATATTTTATTTATTTGTTTGTTTGTTTATACATGCACTGGGTACAGTCAGAAGCAGGGGAGGGCGAGAGAATTCACCAGAGCCAGAGCGGGGAGCAGAGCAGGCAGAAGGACCGAAGTACACTGCTGAGGGGAGCAGCGGGCGGCAGGAGAGGTCTGCGCGCCATGTGGGACCCTCCTCCGGTGGCCGGGGAGCAGCCGGGGATCGAACCGGCGCCGCAGAGGCCGCAGGCAGCTTCGCAGCTCAGCGCTCAACCGCTGTGCCACCGGGGAGGCCCTGCCTTGAGCCTCTTAACCCTGTTTTCTTCCATAGTTGTCGTATTCCTAGCTTGAGTTCTCTTACCACAGAAGTTGGGGAGAGAAAATAATTTGAGTTGCAGATATTTAATCCCTTTTCCTTTTTCCTGTAGTTTAAAGTTATCTGTTACCTTAATCAAATGTAGTTTGGTCTTCTTTTAGTATATGGATACTTTGAATCTAAAAAATATACATTTTAGCCATCTCCCTGGTGGTGCAGGCAGTTGAGCGCAGCACTGGGAAGCTATCCGCAGCCTCTGCAGTGCTGGTTTGATCCCCGCCGGCCGCAGAACAACCCACATGGTGCGGCAGACCTCTCCTGTCTTGCCCACTGCTCCCCTCACCTGTGTATTTCAGTTAGTCTGCCTGTTCTGTTCCCCGCTCTGTTTCTGGTGAATCCTCTCACCTTCCTGCACATCTGGCCTGTATCCTGGTTCTTGTATAAATAAATAACTCTTTAAAAAAGTATGTGTGTGTGTATATATATATTTTAAGAATCCAATCAACATATATATTTTAAGAATCCAATCAACTATTTTTTAAGCATGCATTTCATTGAAGCTTAAAATTCACACAACAAAGCACAAATTGTAAGTGTATACCTTAATAAATACACAATAAACACTTGTCACCCAGGTCAAGAGAGAGAATATTACCACAACCTTCCTAGTGTTTCTTTCTAGTTATTATCTGTTCTCACCCCAACTATAATCATTGTTCTGTCTAGTATCATGCATTCATTTGGCCTGTTCTTAAATTTTACTTAAATGGTAACATGGCTGGTATGTGTGGCTTCTTTTAACAGCACAATGATTATGAGATCTATTCATATTGTTACGTGGAAGAGTAATTCATTTGTCCTCATTGCATAGAATTCTGTGAATGTCATAATACTGCATATGCTTAAAAAAATATAAAATTGAGTTGTTTTTAGTTTTGGTTCAAGTGGTGCTACTTTGAGTATTCTTGTACACATATCTTGGGGAGCAGTTACACACTCCTAGGCCTAGAAGTAGACAGGTTTGCTTTTAACCATTAACTTTATAAACATTTGAGTGAACTTCAGTAATTTAATCTGAATAACTTTTAAAGATTATTCGTAGCCTAACAAAAAACCTGCTTGTTCAGCTGTATGTTCATGAAAATAGTCCTAGGAGATGTGCTAGGACTCTCAGATGATCCTGAGTTTAACTGGATTTTCAGAACGTCCTTTTGCTGAAACTTGTGTTTTTATATCTTAGTACATTTCTTCCCAGGGAGTTTCTTTTTAACCCTGCCCAAAATACTTGAGGTCTTTTTTCTCACTGAGAGCCTTTTAAAGTAGTCTAGTGAGAGGTTGCAAATTGATTGCAAATGTAGTGTTTGTCCAGTATAATTGAAAATAAATGTAAATCAGTATATATACAAACACATTTTTAATTTAAATTGGTGGGCAACATTTTTAAACTGGAAAATTTCACAAAAAGTGGTTTGTTTGCTTGAAAAATTAAAGGCTGGAAACTGGGTCTCTATTCCCTGGTAGAGCAGTCATGGTGTTAACCTTCAGTGGACTGATGCTTTTCAGTTCAGCATGTTGTCATCATACTCTCACTGTAGGCACCTATTTCTGGTATTTTTCTGGAAAAAGGTATTTATATTTGTGACTTCTGGTTGTATGCTAACTAGGAAAATTGCACACCATTTCTATAAGCAATTTTCTTGAACCTATCCAAGTTTTAAAAATTGACCTCATGTCCTGCTTGCCATCTTTGTTGGCGAGATTAGAGTTTATTCTTGCTGTGGATCTCAAGTCTGCATATTTTGTATTTTGGAGGTTAAATCTTCTCAACTTTTTGTCACAGCCATTTATAAAATAATATCAGTTCACCATGGCTTAATTTTAGTCAGTTTTTTTGGCATTTATTAAGAAATGAATGGCTTATAATCTAGTAATGAGTCTTTAAAATGAAAACAACCCCATAATTAACCACAAATTAATGTTAACCACACACTTCTTTCTCATTAAGATATTACAAATCCTGGTGGCACAAGGGGTTAAGCGTCAGCACTGTGAAGCTATCCGCAACTACACTAGTTCGATTCCTGGCTATTGGGAAGTGACCCACATGGCACAGCAGACCTATCCTGTCTTGCCTGCTGCTCCCCTCAGCAGCAAATTTTGTGGATTTTGTATTTTGTATTTCAGTCAGTCTGCCTGTTCTGTTCCCCACTCTGTCTCTGGTGAATCCTCTCAGCCCCACCCCCATCTCTGGCCTGTGCCCCAGCTCTTGTTGCATAAATAAATAAATCTTAAAAAAAGAAAAGACATTATAAATCCACTCAAATGCCCTTGCAGTTTTTAACCAGGTACAAAAAATGTCTGGATTTGAAAGTTACTAGATGACTCCTTCTGTTTATATCAAATGCCACTGACAGATTGTACTAACAGTTTGAACATCATCCTTGTTAACCAGAGGAAGTAAAGTATTATTTCTTGAAAATGTAAGAAGTGAAAATGGATTTTGTTGGGATATATAAGGAGATTAGATAATTAGCATTAAGGATCAGGAGAAAATCCTCTCTGGTTGTATCTGTCAGAGGGCTTTTTTGTATACTACTTTCACTAAAACAAATAGAAAGCCCAAATTAGTTTCCTGTTAAGTGTATCTTGTCAAAAAAGGATGCCTCAGTAATATAATCATTATTTAATTTATTTGGTGTGTCACTTTAGGTGGAGGAAGCTAAACAAGAATTACAAGAAGTTGTTGAATTCTTGAAAAATCCACAAAAATTTACTGTACTTGGAGGAAAACTTCCAAAAGGTAAGATATCTTCTTTTTACCAAAACTGACATCTAAAAATTCTGTGTGTTACTAATTTAATTTTTATCAGATTCAACTTATTGAGGTTTAGCTCTTAATTTGTGTTTCACAAATATACATTCATTCTGAATGAACAATTTTGGGGTTTTTTTGTAATTTAAAATTTTATTTTCATTTCAAATTTCAGTTGCAAAAATGGTATAGAGATTTCTCTTCATACTCTTTACTCTTAAACTCGACTTTTTAAAAACATTTTCTTCCATTTGCTCATTTGCTTTCTTTACATGTATTTACATACGTGTTTAACTATTTGAGAATAAATTGTAGATATTACGCTCCCTTCACACAACATTTAGATTTTTCTTTAATTTGAAAAAATAAATCCTCATCCTCTTGTGTAAATGGGGGTGGGGGGCGGATGTCTTTTTTGATCTTAGCACTTGTGTTGAGAGTACTAGTTAATGTGTAGAATGTTTCTCAGTTTGGTTTTTCTATTTTTTTTCCATTACTCAACAAAATGACTTTATTGTTGTGATTTATTTATTTATTTATTTAAAACTTACATTTTATCATATTTGATGTTAAATATTTTATATTCCTTTCCTTCAAAATTCTGTCTTGTCTATGGCTTTTATGTAAGCAGTATTTAAATGATACAGAAAAATTAATTATGGAGATGATTCAGAAGTGAATCATTAATGGAGACGAATATTTTTATTGTGCTTCAAAGCAGTGGTTGGTCACTGATTTGCCTTCAGCCTCAAAACTATCAATCAACCATTGTTCCTTTGCTAGGTTCTTATCAGTGTTCTTTGTTGTTTAACTCCATTCATGTTTGCTTTATCTTTTAGGAATTCTTTTGGTTGGACCACCAGGGACAGGAAAGACACTTCTTGCCCGAGCTGTGGCTGGAGAAGCTGATGTTCCTTTTTATTACGCTTCTGGATCAGAATTTGATGAGATGTTTGTGGGCGTGGGAGCCAGCCGTATAAGAAATCTTTTTAGTATGTTAATGTATCTTTTTCTACAATACCATGCTTTCTTAATTTTAGAGGAAGAGGTTTCTTACCTTTTCTTTGCTACTTGATGGATTGATAATCACCTGAAATAGTCATTGCTGGGTTCTGATTTCAGATAATTTAATGTGTGAGTCTAAACATACCTGTCCTTTCCCCCACATAGTCAAAAGAATGGAAGTGCTAGATGCGTTTGAGCTCTAAAGCTGTTTTTTTCTGTGTGTTGGTCAGTTCTGTAGTATGTAATGTCTCCAGACCTGATGGTATGTAGTATTTGTACATCTAGGAAGAAGGAATACCCAGTTGATCTTATTCAAACCACTGGGCTTGAATCAGGTTTATTTTTTTTTAAGACCTCCTTTTTGTCTTATTTTGTCCCTCCTTGAATGCCTTTGATTGGCTTTTGACAATCGTACATGTTTTTAATAGTATTTATGTGGTTCTAAAAATGTTGATTTCATTAAACTTAATCTGAATCTTTTTGCTTTTGCAGGGGAAGCAAAAGCAAATGCTCCTTGTGTTATATTTATCGATGAATTAGATTCGGTTGGTGGGAAGCGAATTGAATCTCCAATGCATCCATATTCAAGGCAGACTATAAATCAGCTTCTTGCTGAAATGGATGGGTAATTGAATCTTCCTTTGTCCATATAATATGGTGAAAATTTGGTAACATTCTAGAGATAAGGAAAACATTGGACTTGCAGCAATAGAAAAGTCTAAGAAGTCAAGACAAGATTTTTTTTTTAATTGTATTTTTTCCATTACTAATGGGGTAATTGATGTTTCAGCTCTTTTTAATTGATGATATTTATGCAATTCTTTTCATTTATTATAGTATAATTATGGAGGAGAACAGTGATTCTCATTGAGAGTGTTAGTCTATTTCGAGAGTACAAGAAAAATGTACTGGTTCCCACACAATTTGTGACTTTCTTTAAATATCGTAATAGATTAAAAGGTTGTATCAGTTTTCATAGTGTAAAAAAGCAAGAAGTGGGGTTGCTGTGGGAGGCCAAAGTTTCTTAAAGTCATATAAGACATACTGAAACCAAATAAACCTAGGAGCAAATAATTTGAATGGGTAAACAGTAAAATAATTTTTCAAAATTTAGTCAGGTTTTCAGGATTTTTGTGTGAGGTCATAATTCCTGAGTAGAATAAATATTGTGACATTATATAATCACAGGTGATTTGGTGATTTATTTTTAGCAACTTTATTGATGTACAGTGGTGTAAAACTTATTCCATCTATAAAAAAATTACAGATATTTGATTATCTTGGGCACAAGAAAACGCAATCCTGTTTCTTTGCTGTTAAGATTAATGATAAACAGTTTTGTTTTAGAGTATTTTTATGTTTGTGGGGTTAATTTTCAGTGAAAAGAAACTTTTTTTTAATATGAACTTTTCCTATTCTTTTTAGTTTTAAACCCAACGAAGGAGTAATCATTATAGGAGCTACAAACTTTCCAGAGGCATTAGATAAGTAAGTATTAGAATAAATTATTGTGAAGTACTGCTACATGCTAAATGTAGATGAAAATTTAAAAGAAAGAAGCCTATCACAGAACTCATTCTATGATTCTAAATTTATGAATATTAGGAATAAGAAAATCCATAATGACAGAAAATGGATTAGTGATTGGCAGAGGCTGTGGACAATGAAGACTGACTACAAATGAGTATAGGGTTCCTTTGGGGGGCCGGTAACAAAAATGTTCTAAAATTGGATTGTGGTGATGGTTGCATGACCACAATCTTCGTTAATTTCTGTGGTATGTGTATTACATCTCAATAAAGTGGTTATATACCTGTATCGCAAAATATTGGGGGGACACTCATCTAAAATTCTTAACTTAGCAACTGAGGTGTGTATATAGCAGTCATTGTAGATAGCTAGAGAATATTTGTTTCTTGACTGACTTGCATGTTTTTGTTTCTGATGGGTGTATACTGTTTATATGAACTGTTCTGCCTGTGGTTACTGAAAAGGTTATTTTTGCCATGTTTTACAAAGAACCATCTCTTCATTTATGTTCAAAACTTCATCAACCTCTTACTGCCATTTTCTTTTCCACCTCTGTTTAGTGTGGCAACTTGTATAACTGACCTTGAGCATAGTCACTAATTAACTTACATTTCTTTTTTGTATTTTCCCTTTAGTGCCTTAATACGTCCTGGCCGTTTTGACATGCAAGTAACAGTTCCAAGGCCAGATGTAAAGGGTCGAACAGAAATTTTGAAATGGTATCTCAATAAAATAAAGTTTGATCAGTGTAAGTCAGTTGTATAATACAAACATTGTTGATTCTCTAAAATGGCACTATTTCTGTTCTCTTTGTGCTCCTTCCTTAATAAATATCTTAAAAGATCGGTTCTTTTAGATATATATCCTTTTTCCCTTCCTTTATTTGCCCATTAAAAAAAGGTTCTTTCCTTAATAAGTGTGTATCCAGGAGATTATATCATCTTGAATCCTGATTCCAAAAAAAGTTTACTTTAGAGTATTCAGATAGATAATACTTAAAAATGAATATTTATGAATATTTTTAAGATGAATTTGAAATATAAAATAATAGAAAAAAAGTCGGTGTATTAAGGAAAGTTTTTTGTTTCATTAAGATAAATATTTTAATTTATAGATAAGCATAACTTTTCTTTTGAAATGTGACTTCTTTGTGAAGAGCTAGTTTTGAAATTTTAATGTTGTGTTCTATCTACATAGCTGTTGATCCAGAAATCATAGCTCGAGGTACTGTTGGCTTTTCTGGAGCAGAGTTGGAGAATCTTGTAAACCAAGCAGCATTAAAGGCAGCTGTTGATGGAAAAGAAATGGTTACCATGAAGGAACTAGAGTTTTCCAAAGATAAAATTCTAATGGGTAGGCTTCCTTCGTTTCTTTTCTTCTTCCTACCCCCCACCCCCATCTTACAGTGTTCACTATATTACAGAATAGTTTCTTCATTTTGAGAGGAAGTTTATAAATGAAAGGTAAGGGACATGAAAATGTCATACTTGAAGATAGCTGCAAAACTTGGCCTCTTACAGGAAAAATATATGATTACATTCTTCAGCGGTTGGTGGTACCCATGCATTTCTCTTGTCTAATATCGCTGATTAGTTCAGTCTAATTATTCCCAGTATTTAATTTTGATTTTAGGTCTTGAATTGACTTCAAAACAGGTTTAGGACCTCCCTGGTGGTGCAGGGGTTAAAGTCTCAGTGCTATCAAGCTGTTGCCAGCCATTGCAGCATGAGTTCGATCCCTGGCCAGGGAGCTAACCCAGATGGCACAGCAGACCTCTCCTGTCTTGGCCGCTGATCCCCTCAGCAGTGTATTTCAGTAGGTCTGCCTGTTCTGCTCCCTGCTCTGTCTCTGGTGAATCCACTACACCCCAGATCTTGTATGCATAAATACATAAAATCTTTAAAAAAAAAGTCAAAACAGGTTTATTATGACATGCTTGTTAAATTGGAAGTTTATTTTCTAGAAATATATTTAAATTTTCTCCTTAGGTGTAAGGATTATCATAATAATTGTTACAATTTTGGTTTTTGGCCTGTGAGAATGACCTATATAAAGATAACCAGAAACAACTGTTGAGCTTATAGAGAAAAAGAAACTGTTGGACACTGTGGGAATGTAGACTGTACCAGCTCATATAGAAAACAGTGTGGAGGATCCTCAGAATATTAAAAAGAAATGTATCTTTGACTCAGCATTTCCACTCCTTGATATTTATTCAGCGAATACAACAACACTAATTTGAATTGCTGGTAGTTGTGGTGTGGTAACATACATCTGAAGAGGCATGAGCCTGTGCCCCTAAATGTAAATGAATACTAATGAGCAAGATTAAAGCATTACTCTGAGAATGACTTTAAGACAAATGGGTTTCACTCATTCCTAAAGGGGTATTTTATTAAATTTTTATCCATAGGGCCTGAACGTAGAAGTGTGGAGATTGATAACAAAAACAAAACTATCACTGCATATCATGAATCTGGTCATGCTATTATTGCATATTACACTAAAGATGCAATGCCTATCAACAAAGCTACAATCATGCCACGAGGGCCAACACTTGGACATGTAAGTATCTTACAGTATTTTCTTTTCTTTCAGATAATGTCCCCCCAAGCAGAGGGAATATAGCTCAGGGGTAAAATATTTTATTGCAAATAATGTTCCCTAAAAGTTATGTAGGAGATGTTGATGAATACATGTAAAAAGAAAATTTGGTTGCTTCCTAAGTTAGTTGATACTTTCTTTTTTAACTTTCTTTTTTAACTTTTTGAACTGTCTTGAAATTAGAGATACCTATGGAATTTATTTCCTACTCAAGAGTATTTCCTAAATATTTTACATATCACATATTTACATTATGAAGTTTAATCATGAATGACAGCAAATTATAACTTCATTAAGATGTATTAAGAGTCCTCCTTGGTGGCCTAGGTGTAAAGTCTTAGCGCTATCATCACTACAGCCTGAGTTTGATCCCTGGCCAGGGAGATAACCCACGTGGCATAGCAGACCTCTCCTGTCTTCCCCGCTGCTCCCCTTAGCAGTGTGTTTCAGTCAGTCTGCCTGTTCTGCTTCCCACTCTGTCTCTGGTGAATCCTCACCCCCCACACCTCTGATCTATAACCCAGTTCTATGCCAAAAAAAAATATTAAATATGTAATTGTTATATTCCCCTCCAAAAGAAGTTATATAACAGAGTAACTGCTTCAGTAGATTGTCTACAGTTATGAGTGCAAGTTTTATTCTCATACTTTGTAGTTATAGATATTTTAAATATTTTTGTGCAGTTCGGAATAAACAGGCCTATTGCAGCATTATGTTCCTGTTATTTGTGAAATGCACTTTTACTTCATAATTTTCCCTCATTTTATAAATCACTGGTTTTGTCATCAGTCACCTGGCCACAGTCTCTAAGTGTCTTTAAATTTTCTGCAAATGGTACTTCTGGTTATTAATACAAAGTGTCCCAAAACTATGTCTGAACTTTTCTTTGGTTTTCAATTGTCTAGGTATCTCTGTTGCCTGAGAATGACAGATGGAATGAAACTAGAGCTCAGTTACTTGCACAAATGGATGTTAGTATGGGAGGAAGAGTGGCAGAAGAGCTTATATTTGGAAGTGATCACATTACAACAGGTTGGTTGTAAAGAATGACTTCAGTTCAAATTGTGTTTGCTGGTTTAAAGATATTTTTAAAATTGAATTCAATATTTATTTTTAAATTTTAGGTGCTTCTAGTGATTTTGATAATGCCACTAAAATAGCAAAGCGGATGGTTACAAAATTTGGAATGAGTGAAAAGGTAATGACTAATTTCAGCTCCTTCATGTATCAAATGATGTGCCAAGTGTCTAAGAAAGGGTTCTAGTTAGAAATTGATCATATCTTCTTTACCCCATCTTATTACAAATAGATTTGACATAGCTTATTCTAAACTAAACGTAGTCTAAGTAATAAAATGTAGAATTCCCTTTCTATTTTAGCTGCTTGGGATAGAAATAGTTGTTACCACACAAATTAATCAAATGCTAAGACAAATACTCATAGCTTCCTCTGTTCGTAGAACATGACAGGCCTGTTTGCTGAGCTTGTTCCCTGTCCCCTTTCCACATATTTCACATTCCTGCATTTTCACTGTGTCTCTGTAAGGAATTCTAATACTCTGAATTAAGGATTCCTGGACTTGGAATAGCTGCCAAGTTTTCATGAGAAGATAAACAGCACATACTTAAGATTTTACATTTTCCTTTTAATTCATACTTTTAATTTGTCTTACACTTTCAGAAGAACCGTAAAATTTCTTTGTCCTCAAGAACAATTTTATATTGTACTTCTTGCCCCCATTTTATATATCTTCTTGGGTATAAAATACTACTTCCTCTGTTACATTTATTAGTATTTTGGGTCTTCTGTTCAATTTCACTCTTCCCATTTGTTTTAGCTTGGAGTTATGACCTACAGCGATACAGGGAAACTGAGTCCTGAAACTCAATCTGCTATTGAACAAGAAATCAGAATCCTTCTAAGGGTAATGATTATAATTTTCTTTACTTATCTAGTTAGTTAGAATATGCCGAAATAGTTTGGTCCTGACCAATTTTTTAGGGTATATAGAGTTCTTTTCCAATTTATGTTTTTTTTATCTCAGGTTTTTTTGCCTCTCACATACCTGCTTTTCTATTTCAGGACTCATATGAACGAGCAAAACATATCTTGAAGACCCATGCAAAAGAACATAAGAATCTAGCAGAAGCTTTATTGACCTATGAGACTTTGGATGCCAAAGAAATTCAGATTGTTCTTGAGGGCAAGAAACTGGAAGTGAGATGATAACTCTCTTCTAATGGATAGATTGCTGGTTTTATCGCAAGAATATTAGCATTGCAGTAGTCTCCTTTTGCAGCACCTATTTCTTATTCTTGACTTGGTATCACTCTAGGGTGTGGAACACTGTCAATCTTTTCATCACATTTATGTAATTTTGTTTATTCTCTGATGACACTGCAAATTAGCAATCCATAGCAAATGTGCTAAAGAAAATAAAGAACGATCAGGACTGAAAACAGCTTGTTTGAGCAATGTCAATCAGTTATTAAGTTGAAAGTAAAGATTATATGGCTGGTTGCTCTATTGGATGTGAATAAAAGTTGTGCCTTTAGTTCCTAGCAAGTATTTTCACTATAAAAGTGAAATTATTGAGGGGATTATCTTTATTTCCCCATAGTACCCTTTTTTCTTTGATAAAGAAAATTATGCTCTTTAACTGATGATAAACCAAATTTCAACTTACATCAGTGGAAACTTCATTAAGATGCATTTAATTATGTTCCAGATTGACCATATGTAGACTTTTTTTTAAAGGTCTAAGAATAGAGAAATGTAAACATACAATCAGAATTTAAATGATTATAACCTTTTAAAAATGCAGTTTTCATTTTCATGGTCTTTTTTTAAAAATATGACTGTGACTCTGACTAATAAAATTTATTTCAGAGCAGCAGTATTCTATTAAATAAGAACTCCTTTATAACTATGCTTGGCATTGAAAGCAAAAGTAATCCAAAAAGTCAGTTCCCTTTAGAGTAAACTTGAATTATACCCTGTGTTAGTTATAGAAAGTTGAGTTTACTTTTCATTTAGTATTGTGAATAGTATTGTGAATATGAACATGTTACAGGATTTACAGATGAATTTATTTAACTCAATAGAAAAGTTATTTTAGAGCACATTGTATTGGTTTTACAGCGAAATTATATTCTTGAAGTGATTTATTAAATTTACCTACAGTTTTCTAATAACTTAAGCTGTATATGGTCTTCATTGAAGAAATTGAAAGAGAGCTCGACAGCCAGTATTATTCACCTTTTTTTAATTTTAAAATTTTTATTTAATTTCAAACATGGAGAGATGTTAACAGAATAGAAGGAACTGCCACTGCCATAGACCCTTGATCCAGATGCATCAATTACTTTCATTTGTCCCATATTTTTATGCCCCCAATTTCTCTTAACCCTCTCCCTCTGTGTGTATGTGTGTATACTCATACACGTATATATTTATAACACTGATTAAAGTCTTTCCTGTCTTAACTTATCTGACTTAAAATTTTTTTATATGTATGAGTTATTTCCTTATTATATGTTGTAAGAAGTCATGTATTCTGAATACACGTCCTTTACCAGATGGATCTTGATCTTTTTAATCTGGTCTTGCAATCTCTGCAATTTAAATGAGATGTATAGTTCATATGTAATACCGATACTGTGTTTACATTTGACACTTTGCTATTTGTTTTCTGTTTTTCTCACATCTTAAGAGAGTCCACTGTTCCTTCTTTTTTGAGTTAACATTTTAGTGGTTGCTGGGAATGCCAATATGCATCTTAACTTGGTATGTTCTATGGTAAAATAATACAAATTGTATTCTGGTAAAATGTAGGAACTTTGCTCCAATATCTCTCTTTTTCTTTTCTTCGTGCTTTTGTTACCAGGTATTACAGTAGTTCAAAAAACAGTGACAGTTACTGCTTTATATAATCATATATCTGCAGTCTTTATCTGGGGGGGGGGTCTTTATTTTCCCCTGGCTTTTTAAGAGTAGTCCTGTTGCATATAGTATATGCGGTTGACAGTTTTTTCTTTAATCACTTGAATATGTCATCACATTGACTTCTAATTTGATTATTTCTGGTGAGAAGTGAGTGCTTAAATAATTTTGATCACCTTTTGTGATAAGTTGTTTTTACCTTGCTGCTTTCTTCATTTTTTCTCTTATAGTTCAACAGTTAGTCTCTGTGTTTAGGTGTGGATCTGCTGTTAGTACTACTTGAGAGTTAGTGAACTTCTTGGATCTGTAGATTGAAGAATTGCCCAAATTTGAAAAATTATGGAAAATTATTTCTTCAACGATATTTATCTACCTGTTTCTCTCTTCTGGGATTCCCCTCACACATTTGTTGAAACACTTCATGTTGATCTGGTCTCTGAGGCTTTGCTCATTCTGTTTTTTCTCCTTCTGGTCTTCAGATTAAAAAATATCTGTTGGTTCTTTGAATTAACTGTTTCTTTTGCTGTCTCAAAACATCTCAATTTTTCACTTCAGTTATTTTGTTTTTTAGCTCTACATTTCTAATTTGTTCTTTTATGCACTTTGTACCTCTTTATTAAAATTCTTTATTCACTGTCATTTTCATTTTTTAAAATATGACTTCCAAAAAAAAGACTTCCAGTAGGTCTTTGGATATGTTCACAATAACTTTTTAAATCTTTGCTAACTCTAACATGTGGAGAACATTCGGTTTCTATTTGCTTTTTCTCTTTGTAAGGATCATACTTACTTGCTTCTTTGCTTTTTAATCTTGTTGAATTTCAGATAATTTCATGATTACAGAATCTGGTTTTCTCCCCACAGATTTGTCTTCTTTCATAGTTCGTTCTAGTCAGTCCAGAGAATTTGTGTCTGTATACCTTAGTGTTTAGCAAAGATTGTACAAAGGTTGTATTCAAACCCCATTAGTCAAGCCTCTTTTGTTGATGTTTGTGTGGGGGCTGGCAAGTACAGTCAATGTTTAGGTCATTTTCAAGTGTGCCCTGGTTTATGCTTTCTAATGGGCTTTTTTGCTTCTTTGTGTATATGTGCAGACTTTGGCAAGCATGGATGTCTGGGTGACTTCTGACCAGTATGCCTCTGGTACATCTGGAATATTTAGAGTGCTCTCAAATCCAGAGTGCTCTCAAATCCATATGGTTTCTTACTCTCCCAGAATTTCAGTTAAATACCTAGCTACTCCATCTGTTGTGTTTCCCCAAACAGGATTGCAACCATAGGCTGCAAAACTCTTGTTTGTTTAACATCAAAATGGACCACTTTAATTTATAATTATCAAGTTAAGTGAGACCCTGCGACATTGGCAACTTACCTTGTTCTCAGGAGTCTGCTTTCCTCCTGATGGAACTGCTGCACTGGTAGACCTGCCTCAGATGTGGAAGCCTAACAATACCACAGAGGCACATGGTTCTTACCTAAAGGTCAGTGATTTTCATAAGTATACCTCTCTCTGAGTTTGTTGTAGGTCTTCAGTTTTTCTAGCGTGCTGAAACTGGTTGTTTCAAACTATTTTATCCAACTTTATACTTGCATTTTTTAAAGTGGAGATGACTGGTCACCCTCCTACCTCGTCATACAGAAAATGAATCTCTCCTGACTTATCTTGGATCACATCCACCTAAAGCAGTTATTAAGAATGGACTTAGAGAGAATTTGTAACATTTTCAAAGATACCTTATTCAAAGCTTTGGTAGTTTTGGTGCCAGACAGCACATACACCTATGTATTATTTTTGGTAATTGATCCAGATTTCATTTTCAGATGTATTTGTTCATATTCACTTTAAATTATTTACTTTTGGTTGAGTTTTGTCAACCCAGCTAGTTATTAGCATATTTCTTAATGTAAATATGTAATATTTTAATATGTTAGAAGGAGGAACTTAATCTTTGGATTGAAAAAAAAACACCTATTGATGAACATAAAAGTTTAATAATAAAATATACCGCTGTGTTTATTCAGAATTAGAGAAATGTGCTGGCGTGAAGGGATAGCTTTTTAGTTGTCATATATTGAATCTTGATCATTTGATTGTAATGGTAATGATCACACACATGGTGCTTTCACAGGAAAGATGACAAAGAGCTATAGTGAGGGTGAGAGAAGGCATGAATGATAATCCTGGCAAAAATGGAGAGGAAGTGATAGGATTTTTAGAGAATAGTGCTTAGAAACCAGATTTTATGTGCATGTAAAGCTGCTTCTGACCTCTCGGCATTAACTGAGCTATAATTTTCTGATATAGCCATCGGGTGGTCTTTTAATCCTTTATGTCCACCTAAGGCAAGGCTAGCAGGCCAGCTGGACTGCTCTGGGTCCCAAAGGTGGGGCATCTTTAGTCGTATCCCAGGTGTTCTCTCCTTTGCCAGCACTAACTTTATACCGTGCCACCTGGTCCTCCTTAATCTGTTGTAATACCTCTCAGTAGCCCCTGGCAGCTTCCATTCTTCCTGTCGTTATGATTTGTACACTCATAAGTCTTTCATAAAAGTGGAATCCCATAGTACTTGTCTTTTGATAGACTTATTTCACTTAACGTAATGCTCTCAAGGTCTATCCATGTTGTAGTATATTGCAGAATTTCCTTCAAGTCTGAATAATATTCCACTGTATGTGTATCACATTTTGGTAATCCATTCATCCATTGATGGACACCTGGGTTCTTCCATGTTTTAACATTGTAAATAATGCTACTATGAGCATGGGTGTACAGAGGTTTTTATGGACCCTGCTTTCAATGCATTTGGGCATAGTCTCAGAGATGGAATTACTGAGCCATACGATGGTCCTATTTGTATTAATTTGAGGAACTATCATACTATCTTCTACAGTAGCTGCACCACTTTACCTTCCTGCCAACAGTGCACAAGGGTTCTAATTTCTTCACATTTTCACCAACACTTGTTTCCTGTTTTTCTTTTTGATAGTAGCTATCCTAGTATGTGTGCAGTGTTCTGGTATGTACGTTTTTATATCCACATGTGAATGTATTTGTAAGATAAATGTTTAGAAAAGGACTTGTTGGGCTAAATAATACTTGAATTAGAGATTAATAGTAAAAATCAAATGAAAAAATTTGTAATATTTCCTAACCCTGAAGTTTTTAATTAGCATTTTTAACATCATAAGGAAGGTAAGCACTTATTGATACGGTGAAAGCTGTCTGTTTTTTTCTTAGAAATTTTTTCACTTGTCTTTCATCTTTATTATATTTTCCTGAAGAATTAAAAATATAAAAAATTAAACATGAGGGGCCTCCCTGGTGGCTCAGCGGGTTGAGCGCAGCGCTGTGAAGCTGTTGGCAGCCTGTGCAATGCGGATTCGATTCCTGGCCAGCCAGGGAGATTCCCACATGGCGCAGCAGACCTCTCCTGTCTCGCCCGCTGTTCCTCTCAGCAGTGTATTTTGGTCCCTCTGCCTGTTCTGCTCCCGCTCTGTCTCTGATGAATCCTCACCCTC